ACCTGCACAGACCTCATTACCAAAATCCTCCATCACGACTTCCTTGTAGAGAGTTCTTTGGCCTGGATCCAGGAGATCTCACTCCTCTTTGGGGATGTGCACACCCGCCGCCTCCAACGTCACCAGTTACTGAAAGAAAGAAAAAAGGACTTTCAGTTTGAAATGGTTGTGGGAAATTGCAGGCAAATATAACTAGCAAGCGTAGGGCTAGTTAATGCATGAAGGGGTTAAGACCACAGAAGTTTATTCCTAGACTCAGGTCATGTTCCTGGAAGGAAGTTAATTTTCCTAGTTTGTTTGTTTTCTTTCATCTTGTGAACCCACCTTGCTCGCTACAAACTCAGACCGCTGTTTCACTATATTTTATATCCAAAGATTTCTGCCTGTGTTTGTTTGTTGCTACTTGGATAAATGCACGAACCTGACTTTAGGAACTTTGTAAGTAAAGTATGCCACCTGCGTCTTCCTGCATTGCTGGGGTCGGAGTAGATGACTTCTGGGGTCCCTTACAGTTCCCAGGTGACAATTCTGCAAAAGGAGTCAGATCCAACAGATCAGCTTTCATTTACCCCTCCAGAGCAAAGGAGTCCAGCCAAACTCTCAAGAGGGGGTCTGGAGAAGACCCTTCACCTTCTTCAACAGCAGCAACCTCAGAGGGAAGGAGGGGGATAATTTATTTATTGCCACTGCCTTGGGACTAGAGCTTTAGAAGGCAAATTGGAGCCAAACAGGCTCTCTTCAGGTCCAGGAACTCCAAAAGCAGCACTGGAGCATGAAAGCTGCTCCACCTCTTTCTGTGTGGCTGGTGGCCTCTCCTTCCTTGAAAGTTTTAAAGCAGATGGCTGTCTGTTTGTCCTGAATGCTTTAACTAAGATTCCTGGATTGCAAGGTGTCGGAGCCAGCCGTACAAATGGCGAAGTTTAGCATAAAATTATGACACAGAGAGCCAGCAATATTTTCATGATGGTAGGAGCAGCTCCTCTTGAACTTCCCTCTCCTCCTGCAAACTTCTTTTATTACCCTTTGTCTCTCTCCAGCCGCATGGCTGTTTGCCAATGTCTCACGTTACCTCATCCGGTCAAGGCTTTTATTGCCCCCAACACCGTATAAGGTCAATCACTGCCCAGAGGAAACACAGCTCCAATACATTCCAATACATTGTAAAGCTCAGAGTGCTGGTCAGTCGAGGTCAGGGGGCACCCTGCAATATTACAAGCCTTTACCGTGGCTTTATGACTCCCACAGCAAGGGAGTTAGACTAGATGAGTCTCAGGGTCCCTTCCAACTCTGAAATTCCACGATACACCCCCTACAGGGACTGGATGGAGCTCTTAGGAAGGAAGATCCTGCAATTGAGAAAAATGCCGTTTTGAAGTCAGTAGACCAGGAGACTCTTAATCCCAGGGTTGTGGGTTCAAGTCCCATGTTGGTTAAAAGAGATTAGTTTCAACTAGGGCCAGGGCCTTTTCAGTGCTGTCCCCGACTTGGTGGAACGCTCTGTCACAAGAGACTAGGGCCCGGCGGGACTTGACATCTTTCCGCAGGGCCTGCAAGACAGAGCTGTTCCACCAGGCCTTTGGTTTGGGCTCGGTCTGATCCTTATGTTTCTCTCCCCTTATGATCTTGATTTATCAGCTACTTTAAAATGAGGCTGCATTTTAAATTGCATTTTAACCTGTATTTTAAATTGTGTTTTTCCCCCTCTCTCTTTTCCCCCTTTTATGTTTTTACTATGATTTTATTGGTGTTTAGCTGCCCTGAGCCCGGCTCTAGCCAGGGAGGGCGGGGTATAAATCAATTTTTTTATTTTTATTATTATTATCCCCGCATTGCAGGGGGTTGGACTAGTCTGGGTCCCTTCCGACTCTACAATTCTACACGATTCTATGGCACTTTGCAGCTGCAAAAACCAAGATTCTTGGGACTGTGGAGTCCCCTTCCTTATATCCTCATTTTTTGTGTGTGTGTTTTAAGAGGGTCTGTTTCTCCTCTTCCAGGAGCAAGGCTGCTTCTTCTGCACCAAATCAGCCCCCTGGGGAGGGGGAGGGACGCTTCAAAGGAGCCTTGTGCAAGGGGGCACCCAGCTGATGGACCCCCATTTTGCAACCTGAGCTCCTGGGTCAAAAGGAAACTCTGAGCCTCTGAACCCTTTACCTCTTTGGTCCTGCCCTGTGCAGCATCTGCCTCCCGGCCAAGGGACGTCGCCGGGCCTCCTTCCCCTTCCTGGAGGACCAAAGCAAGTGGCCCACTCTGGCCTCCCCTCCCTCAACTTGACAAACTTCCTGCCCCTCTAGGAGCCGCAGCTCAGTGTTTAACCATTGGAGGACTGAGTGTCAGAGGCGGCCTTCTCCAAGCCTTCCCTGCGGCTGCCATGCGCCCGGTATTTCCCGGACGGAGGATGGGTGGGATTTTCGGGAAGCGGCAGAAAATTATATACTGCACTGTACAGTGCTGTATACACAACCAATCGACTGTCCGGGAAAATCCGAGCGTGTGGCAGCCCCCTTCGGAAGTGTTGAGTTATTGGACTAGATGGCCATTCTGTACCCTTCCAACTCCACATTCTACGAAGTGTTTAAAGGGGTGTGCGGCACCTTGGAGCCGGGGCGGAGAAACCGAGGGAATCAGGGTTCAAATTCCCACGGATTGCGTTTGGGCCCGGCCTACCTCACTAGGTTGTTGTGAGTGTATGTGTTGGGGACGAGGAAAGAACCTGGCCCACCACCATGAATTCCTTGGAGGAAGCTTGGGACAAAACTATAATGTATAAAAACACAGTGAGAATATTCAACCTGCTTGTGTTAAGCAGAAACGGCTGTCCTTTTTGTACCTTTAACGGTTAAGGGGAGAACAGAGTTCTCCATTTTCCCCCAGCCTAGAGAGGAAGGAAATGGAAGGCAAGGGGGACCGCAATGAGAGTTGCACCTTCTCCTTCTAGGAACTGGGTTTTTGTGTTCCCGTTTTGGAGAAAATTGGAGGAAGCTTGTGCCTGTGGATGTCGAGTGTTACAGGTGCATTCATTTAAAAAAATGGGGGGAATATAGGGGGCTGGCTGGACTTGGGAGAGGGGCGGCTGCAGGAGAAGGAGAGAATGAATGGTAGTGGAAGGGATTACTGTGCAGTGGCAGAACACCTGCTTGGGGTACAGGAGGTCCCTGGAGTGATGCTGCCAGTCAGTGTAGACAATAGGTAAAGTTAAAGGGAGCTCTGACCATTAGGTCCAGTTGTGGCCGACTCTGGGGTTGCGGTGCTCATCTCGTTTTATTGGCTGAGGGAGCCAGCGTACAGCTTCTGGGTCATGTGGCCAGCATGACTGCTTCTGGCGAACCAGAGCAGTGCACGGAAACGCCGTTTATCTTCCCGCCGGAGCGGTACCTATTTATCTACTTGCACTTTGACGTGCTTTTGAACTGTTAGGTTGGCAGGAGCAGGGACCGAGCAACAGGAGCTCACCCCGTCGCGGGGATTCGAACTGCCGACCTTCTGATCAGCAAGCCCTAGGCTCAGTGGTTTAACCCACAGCGCCACCCGCGTCCCTAGTGTAGACAATAGTGAGCCTATTTAAAAAGCTCTTCCTTTTGAACCATGAGCACCAGCACCTTCCTTTAAGGGAAGGGGCCACAGCTCAAGGGTGGGGTGCCGGCTTGCATGTAGAAGGTCTCAGGTTCAGTCTGCGGCATCCCAAGCAGCCTCCCCTACAAAACCCCGGAGAGTTGCCGCTGCCAGTCAGTGCCAGCAGTGCTGAGGTAGATGGGCCAAAGGTCTGGCTCAGTAGAAGGCAGCTTCTTTTGTTCAAAGGATTCGAGGAAATTAGGGGGTGACTCACAAGCAACAACATCCAGTGCCCTTTTAAAATGTGTTGGTGCGGGTTATTGAGTTCTTTTTGTTTTGATTATGTGTTTTGTGTTTTTATATTGTGATTTTATCTCATGAACCGCCCTGAGACCTGCAGGCATAGGGCGGTATACAAATTTAATTAACAACAATAACCACAAGAAACCCTTGCAGAGGGAGGGGCAGCCCCATTAGATGCAAAAATGCAAAACAGTAATTGTTCTGCTGTTCATAAAATGGAAAGAGTTGGGCAGAATCGGGTCCCTCCACAGAATCGTAGAAAGGGATCACCAGGGTCATCTAGTCCAACCCCCAGCAGTGCAGGTTGCAGGAATGATGTAGTCCAGCCATATATATACATATATGTATTCTGTTTTACAATTTAGAATACTCATTCAAACATCCTTATAATATCAATGACTTTCCTTCTTCTCTTTCCATGGTTCATTTTGGATAGCATAAATCCCTGCATCTTTTATATAAACTAACCATTCAGTATTCCATTATTGCATCCATCAAAACTTATTTACACTGTTGAATTTATCTTAATGCTGCCCATGTTTTCAAAAATACACATTTCCCCCCCCATATATTCAATAAACATTTTCCAATCTTCTCTAAACCTATGTTCATCTTGCTCTCTTATTCTATATGTTAAGTCTGCTTGCATATTCCATCAGTTTAAGTTGCCATTCTTCTTTAGCTGGGACCTCTCTCGTTTTCCATAATCCAGCCATTTTCGAACCGTCACAGGTTCCCCATCTGTGGCCCAAAAGACAACAAAGTGCTGCCATATATTGTACCACGGCTATGAATAGTGATGCTGTCCCTTCAGGCTTTGATAGAAACATAGGAGGCGGTTATATTCAGGCTGAGGGACTCCAAGATTTCAGGCAGGGGACGTTCCCATCTGTGCCAGGAGAGGTCAAGGATTGAACCAGTGGCCTTCTGCATGCAAAGCAGATGTTCTGCCCATGAGCTATGGCTCTCTAAGTCATTAGGAACATTGGAAGCTGCTGTCTCAGATCATTTGTCCATTTGGCTGGCAGCAGCTTTCCAGAGTTTCAATAATAATAATAATACACAATTTCATTCCTTCCTACATTTGCAGAACAAGACAAAGGGCCTGAGCTGAGAGACAGGCATCCCCAACCCTGTGAGTGAAAATGGCTGCAGAAATCCCAGCAGCCTCTCTGGGTCTCCAGCTCCAGTGGGCAGCAGAGGCCGGTGCGGAGACAGGAATTAAAATGGAGCAGGCAGAATTGGCAAGGCTGGCACCAGAGATGGCACCGGAAGGGACTGTCTGCCTTGGGGGCACAGAGGGACTGCGTCCGAGCTGGACGGAGCCACAGCGTATCAAAGAGGAGCCGGAAGAGGAGCTCTCGTCCCGGCAATGGGAAGCCCAGTGGCAGGAATTCCTCCGGACTGTGCAGGCCCCACACTCTGGGGGAGAAGGAAGCCCACAACTCTCAGGAGATGGGGCATGGGGCGAGGTGAAGCCTTCTGGGTCCTCCTTTGAGGGAGCAGCTGTTCCCAGGCAGTGGGCTGAAGCAGCAAAGAACAGGACCAGTCTCCCTTCCAGACCAGACGCTGCCAGGCAGGGAAACATCAGGCAAGCGAAGGAAATCAAGACGGAGGACGTCAGCAGCTCTGAGGCTCATCGCCAGCTCTTCCGGCAGCTCTGCTACCAGGATGCCCAGGGCCCTCGCGAGGTTTACGGGCTCCTGAGGGAGCTTTGCCATCAGTGGCTGAGGCCAGAGAAGCACACCAAGGAGCAGATCCTGGACCTAGTGATCCTGGAGCAGTTCCTGGCTGTCCTGCCCTCGGGAATGGGGAGCTGGGTGAAGGAGCGAGGCTCAGAGGGCTGCGTCCAGGCCCTGGCCCTGGCAGAGGAATTCCTCCTCAGGCACCAGGAGGCGGAGAAAGCGGGAGGGCAGGTGAGAGAAGCATTTGGGGGTCCAGAGTCAACAAAGGGGTTAAAGAAGTGGCCATTTTGCTTAAGAACATGACTCCTCGATCACCCAATGAACAGCCGTGGCTCTCCGAAGTTTCATGCAAGGAATACTCCAAGCTATACATGCCGAGAAGTGAACGTGTTCTCTCTTGCTCTGCAGGGGCTGAATAGGAAAAATGTTTTCTCCTTCTCTTTCAGGGACTGAGGACCATTGCAGAGGCGGCTGCTTGTGTCACCGAAGGAGAAAAGCAGGAAAACAGGGTGACTTCAGGTAAAAGTTTACAGGAAAATGGGATCAAAATATCTGTGTGTCAGATAGGGCTGGGCGATATCTGGTTTTCAACATTGCAATACAACCTGGTATACCAATATATCACAATATATCACAATGTCTGAAAGTATTGCAGGAGGCATGGTCACTTGAGAAAAAATTTTCTCTATCTGTTTTCTCCATGCCCAGAGTGGCTAGAGAAACCCAGGCAGATGGATGGATTATTATTATTATTATTATTCCATTCATAATTTGATAGACTTCTCTTGTGTCGCCTTTTACTTGATTTTTTCCCCAAACCCTTGTGGGAGAAAATTTGTTTTGGGGTTCAACACAGCTCACACCAAATTCACAATTAGACTTAATGTGGTAATCCATTAGAAGGCAGAGTCCAGAGAGTCTGTGATTGCTCTCAAACTGTATAGGAAAATGCACATCACCTTGGCTGTTTCTGACGGATTGGATCCTAAAATTCCTAGGCACTTCGTCAGCTGATGTCCCAGAAGCGTGTACAGTGGTACCTCGGTTTACTAACTTAATCCGTTCCAGAAGTCTGTTCTTAAACTGAAACTGTTCTTAAACCGAGGTGCACTTTCCCTAATGAGGCCTCCTGCCACCAGAGCTCTTCCACCAATCGGATTAGTCTGATTAGACTGAGGTAAAGTTCTCAAACCAAAACACTATTTCCAGTTTTGCGGAGTTTGTAAACCAAATCGTTCTTAAACCGGACTGTTCTTAAACCAAGGTACCACTGTTTTTGGAATGGAGGCGTCGTGTAGTAATAATACACACAGAGTCAAAGGTCCATCACTAAAAGAAAAACTTTTACTAAAGACAAAAAGGCTTTATTACAACAAAAAACAACAACTGCAGAGTAAAAACTGCAAACGTGCAAGGTACAAACAAAAGTAAGAGAGAGAGAGAGAGAAGCTTGCTGAGCACACAAATTTATCTCTCCTGGCTCAGCGTGACCTTGAGATAGTCAAAACAATATTTGCAACAGAAATGAACCTTCTAGAATGAACTAGAATCTTCCAGCATTTTCCAGTTTCTTCCCTCAAAGATTTTAGCCATGATAGTTTCATCCTCTGGCCAAGCACCTCATTGTCCCAACCTCTATAATCCACCTGCACTCCTTAGAAACACTTACTCAAACCACTTTTTTGCAGTATGTGCAGACCCTTTCTCGTACCTTATCTGCAGTTGTCTTTAACTCTAGCCTCATAATGGGTTTAATAGGATTTCTACCTCACGCTGCAACCTTTTCTCATGGGAAGTTGCTCCTGTTCCGTTAATTGAGGCTCGTATCTCCCTCTCCTCTTGCAGGTGTTGGCGGAGAAAGCGATCAAGATGGCAAAACGCTGAAAGGGGAAACTGAGGCAAAGCAGGCATGGAGGACAAAACTTGTTGCTCCTGAAGGCGACAATGTGCATGAAGTTCAGATCAAAGAAGAATATTGCGTTGGAAACGACAGGACTGAATTCCCTCTATGTGCAAAAAACTTAGCTAGTAGGTCACGCCTTAGAACAGACAGGAGAATGCACGCTGGGGAGAAACCGTTTAAATGCGCCGACTGTGGGGAGAACTTCAGTAGCCGGAAAAGCTACGTTATCCACCAAAGAATCCACACAGGGGAGAAACCTTATAAATGCTCGGACTGTGGAAAGAGCTTCAGGCAAAGGATACAGCTTACCATTCATCAGAGAATACACACAAGCGAAAAACCCTTTACGTGCTCAGAGTGCGGAAAGAACTTCCGATGCAGCTCAAACCTCATTTCCCATAGGCGAATACACACGGCGGAAAAACTCTTCCGATGTTCGGCGTGCGGAAAGAGCTTCAACCGGAGCAAAAGTCTGACGTTGCATCAGAAAATCCACATGGGGGTAAAACCCTTCAAATGCTCAGAGTGCGGGAAGATCTTTAGCAGGAGCAAAAGTCTTAACTCGCATCTAAGGGTCCATATGGGGGAGAAGCCATATACATGTTCGGAGTGTGGGAAAAGCTTCAGTAGGAGGACTAGCCTTACTCTGCATCAGAGAAGCCACACGGGGGAGAAGCCGTACATGTGCATCCTGTGTGGAAAGAGGTTCAGCAGGAGCTCGAACCTTCGGTCTCATAAGAAAATCCACACAGAGGGGAAACCGTATAAGTGTCTGCAGTGTGGAAAGAGCTACCGTCACAGCATCACCCTTGGTATTCATCAGAGAAGCCACACAGGAGAGGAACCTTATATGTGCCCAGTGTGTGGGAAGAGATTCGGTCATAAGCATCACCTTACTTCACATCAGAAAATACACACAGGCGAGAAGCCATTTGCCTGTTCCCTGTGCGGAAGGAGCTTCAGCCACAACATCAGTCTTAAGAGACATCAGAGAATCCACACAGGGGAGAAGCCGTATAAGTGCTCGGAGTGCGGGAAGGACTTCAGTCGAAGCACCAATCTTAGGTCCCACCAGAGAATCCACACGGGGGAGAAACCGTACACCTGCTCCGAGTGCGGAAAGAGCTTCAGTCGGAACACCAGCCTCACTTACCATCAGAGAATCCACACGGGGGAGAAACCCTATAAATGCCCGGAGTGCGGAAAGAGCTTCAGTCGGAAAACGGGTCTTACGTCTCACCAGGAAACCCACAAAGGGAGGAACTGTATCGGTGCTCGGAGCGTGGAAAGAGTTTCGACAGTCACACACCCTTTAACTAACGCGAAAGAAACTGTGGAAGGGAAAATGGAGTGAATCCCAATGAGCACAGAAAGAACTTGGTGCTGGCATGCAGATCTTCCAAATGATCCTTCTCCAGAAGGTGATGTATAAATAATTTAGACTGGATATTTTCCGGACTTCTTTTCCCCCCAAATTTGTTGTTGTTGTTGTTTAGTCGTTTAGTCATGTCTGACACTTCGTGACCCCATGGACCAGAGCACGCCAGGCACTCCTGTCTTCCACCGCCTCCCGTCCATGGGACTCTCAAGAGTCTCCTCCAGCACCATAATTCAAAAGCATCCATTCTTCGGCGGTCAGCCTTCTTTATGGTCCAGCTCTCACTTCCATACATCACTACTGGTTTTCAAATTTAGAAAAATGCAAAAAAAAAAAAAAAAAAGCTTACGGTGCAAAACATGCCATAGTACGTTGTATAAATAAGTAATACACAATTAACTGGCTCAGGCCTAAAAATACAAAGGAAAAATGCAGAAGAGAGAAAGGGAAGAGTGTGTTTGTGTCTTTGTGTGTTTTGCCTCGCTTGGGTATTTCCTTGAACTCTGTGGACGCCTCTCGCTTGTCTGGATGAAGGATGGAGGTTTGGGTATGTGATCACCAGAGCCTTCACAGCAGACCTCATGATCAAGGTTTCCCAAACTTGGGTCTTCCGCTGTTTTCGGACTACAGTTCCTATCATCCCTGACCACTGGTCCTGCTAGCTAGGGATGATGGGAGTTGTAGTCCAAAAACAGCTGGAGATACTGGGCCAGATGGTATGCGGAGAGGGGTCCTCCTCAGGGAAAGGTAACTGGCAGACAGGTACTATTGCTATTTCCATTATAAAAGCCTTTATTTTCCATTATAAAGCCTTTATTTTGTAGCATAAAGTTTATACACTGCTTGATTATGTTTTAAAAAACACACCTCAAAGCGGTTTACAAAGAGAACGAAAGAGTGAAATAATCAGTAAAAAAAAACCCTCTTAAAACATTCAAAAGATAAAATCAACAATAAGCTAAAAACAGATGCAGCGGCACTCTATATATCTGGGTTTAATAAAAATATATGTTTTTAGCAGGTGCTGAAAGAGCACAGTGAAGGCACCTGCTTGATGTCACTAGGCAGGGAGTTCCAAAGTGAAGGACCTGACACACTAAAAGATTGATTTCATACCAATGGAGAACGGGGATTATGTGGCAGCTGTCAGTTCCGCAGACAGAAGTGGTCGAGTGGGCAAATACATTTTATTTTCTTTTGTAAAATTCAATCTTTATTATTTTTAAAAAATATACATTTATACAACACTCTGTTTTTGTTTGTAACAAAAAAAGAAAATGATGGCAACTGAAGCAAAGGTACTTTATATACCTCACAATACACATGACACTACAGTTTATGAAAGAAAGAAAAAAGAAAATAAAAGAAAGAAGAAAAAGTAGTTGAGGTTTTAAAAAAGACTTCCAAACATTCTCATTGCACGTTATCTGTTAAATACACTTTTACCGCAGTCTACGGCTGCATGCACTCTATATACATGAAAAGCACGTGGCTTCCCGCAGCAGGAACTATAGTTTCCCCCCTTATGGTGCTACAGTTCCCGGCACCCTTAAACTACTGCTCCCAGGATTCCTCTTTTTGGGGGTTTAGTCGTGCTTTAAAAGCACGGCGCGTTGCAAGCTAAGGGTTAAAGCAAAGGAGTCCCGCTTCCTAGAGAGGCGGCTGGAAAGAAGGAAGGGATTTATGAATGGGAAGAGTCGCATCCTGCCCCTCCCCCACGACTGGGGGAGTCGGAGGCGGCCTTTGATCTCCCTCCCCCGCCCCCCACGCGCGGCAGCCTTCCTCTGCCTCTCTTCCTTCTCTCCCCCCTTTCCAAACAAGGGATCTGGTGAGTGCAAACCCCTCGGGGTGAACTGGGGTCCCTGGGGCTGCTGTGGAAGGAGGGTGAGTGGGGAAACTGAGGCAGGGGAGGGCCGGGGAGGTCGGAAGGGGCCTCGCGGAGGGACCCCAGCCGGCGCTTCAAGGCGAAAGGCAAGGAGGCAGCCTCAGATTCAGGCAGGTTTCAAAAGAGGATGCGTGGAACGGCATGGACTTGGAAGGGGACCCCGGGGTCATCTAGTCCAACCCCCTGCCATGCAAGGAATCCCCGGGTGGGCTCGAACCACCAGCCTTCTAGTCAGCTAGCTTCCCTTTCCTCCGTCGGAGGCAGCAAAATTGATGGATTGCACTGGCTGGTCCATATCCAACATTACTGTTGTTATTGTTATTGTTGTTATTCACTGACAGACTTTCATCTATAATAAAAGTACATATTAGCCTCTCTGTGTTCAATTCATAGAGTTATTTCTACAGGCCATTTACATTCCGTGTGGGACGCTGCTATCATAGGCAACGTGCAACATTATTATTATTTTTAATTAAATTTCTATACTGCCCTTCATCCAAAGATCTTGTGGGGGCTGCAACGAAGAGGCGAGAGGCAGGGAGTCGCCTTCTATGAGAATACTGTAGTCTTGGGCTGGGGGATAGTTTGGGGGTTTTCATACCTTTATTTTAGATCTGGTTACATAGGAATTGTTCAATCTGATTGCGTATTTTTGGGTGTTCCATTTATTGTTTATGATTGCTTTTGTTGTGCCGCAATTGTGCATTTTTTCCATGTTGTATGGTCTGAACTGATACCATGGCTCATTCCGTAGAGCAAGAGACTCTGAATCCCAGGGTTGTGGGTCCGAGCCCCACTGGGTGAAGAATTTGTGCATCGCGGGGGTTGGGCTAGATGACCCTTGGGGTCCCTTTTATCTCCTTTATAAATCTAACTTTGGAAAGGTGGCATACCATAAAAATTATGTGTGTAGGTATGCATGTTGTTGTTTAGTCGTTTAGTCGTGTCTGACTCTTCGTGACCCCCCTGGACCAGAGCACGCTAGGCACTCCTGTCTTCCACTGCTTCCCGCAGTTTGGTCAGACTCATGTTGGTAGCTTCAAGAACACTGTCCAACAGCGGCAGTCAGCAGCCCGGAGCCAGCCTGGTAGCGCAGTTGTCTCTGGCTGGCTTCGGGAGCTGCTTGCTGCCGTGGCGCCCGCCATCTTGCCTCGCCGGAAGTTCCCATATGATGTGTCTTGTGCCGTTGAACCCATCACGCAACATTCATTCCCTGCTAATATATCTACAACACTTAAAATATAAATCCGGGGACATTAAATGAAATCCGGGGACATTCCAGGGACGGATTTTGTCTGGGAACACATTTGTAAATCCGGGGACTGTCCCCTGGAAACGGGAACGTCTGGTAATCATAGGTTAGAGGGTTTGATGATGACCCAAGAGACCTAGGTTCGAATCTCCGCTTGGCCAGGACGCTCACTGGGCAACCGTGAGATAGTCATGGATCATAGCTGTCAACTTTCCCCTTTTTTAAAGGGAAATTCCCTTATTCCAAATAGGATTCCACGCAAGAAAAGGGGAAAGTTGACAGCTATGCCTGGATTCTCAGCCTAACCTACCTCACAGGACTATCGTTAAAATGCAGAGGAAGAGAACACTTTGAGCCCTTTGGAGAAAAAATGGGATAAAAATGCAGTAAATAAATGAAAAAATACCAAGTCTGTGCATTGATCTACCTCACTGCAGAGTTATCTATGCTGACTGCTGGTGAGAATTGAACCCAGGATCTTCTGCATGCAGGACAACTGCTTTACCCCTGAGCTATGGCCCTTCCTGGATTTTGCAGCTTTTATTCTGTGCCGGATGAATTCCCTCGCTCCCACATCCTCATTCCCAGCCTCTCATTGCTTGCCTTGTTTACAGGAGGAAACCTTAATCCTTAACCAGGTGGATTTCCAGTTTTTCCTGCAAAGTACCTTCTCCGCTTGGCAACATGTGCAATTGACCTGTTTCCTATGCTGGATTCACCTCCACCCTAAATCCCAGGCCGTCGGAAGATTCGGCAGCGAGGGAAGCAGCCGCTCCCGACCTCTCGGGAGCCACGGATCGAAGATGGGAGAGCGGGAGCTGGCTGGGTCCCTAGCAAGACAGGACCCTTGCGTCACCCAGACTAGGAGCAGCGGGGGATTCTGGGAAAGAACTGCACAGGAGATCCCAGGAGAGGAGGTCGTCCTCAGCTCAGATGCTCAGCGCCAGCGTTTCAGGCATTCCCGCTACCAGGAGGCCGAGGGACCCAGAGAGGTTTGCAGCAGACTCCACCATCTTTGCCATCAGTGGCTGAAGCCAGAGAGACACACCAAAGCTCAGATCCTGGATTTAGTGATCCTGGAGCAGTTCCTGGCTGTCCTCCCTCCGGAGATGGAAAATTGGGTCAGGGAATGTGGGGCAGAGACCAGTTCCCAGGCGGTGGCCCTGGCCGAAGGTTTCCTCCTGAGCCAGGCAGAGGAGAAAAAGCAGGCAGAGCAGGAGGTGAGAGATTCATCCAAGTAGAAGCTTATTTTCATGCAGTGTAAGACTATCAGCCTGGATTGGTTTGTGGTTTTTCACAAGAGCCCAGCACAATGAATGCTTTTTGTGGGGGATGGGGAGGGAAATGCAGCTTTTAAGAAGTTAAAACAAAACCACAGTAGAAAATACAATGTTTAGGTGGAATGTGTCCTTCCTGCTTGTCTGTATGGAGACACGAATGTATGGAGACATGAATATTAATTTAAATGTATGTGTAGAAACCCGCTTCCTTCACAAAAACATCATTTGCATTTCCCGCTCCACCCACTATGCGGCCCTCAGAATGTTGCCCGGATGGGAATTCGGCCCCCACGCTGGAAAAACCTCCTTTCATCTGCTCAGAACTCAGAACCTTGCCTTTTGCTTGCATCCTTTTCTTTTCTGATTTCTCTCCTCTCCCTCACCTGGGTCCCTTACATCGCTTCCAGCCCCGGACGCTGCCAGCAGAATCGGTCCCCGCTTCCTCCGAATCCGAGATGCCTCCGTCGGACTCCAGGCGGAGTCGGCCCTCCTGGGGGAACACGCAGGAGGGCGAAGGGAACCCCAGCTCCCCGGGTAAGAATGGGCAGAGAAGATTTCAGCTTCTGCCGGGTGTGCGTAGGAATATAATAACAGTACAGTGGTACCTCGGGTTACAGACGCTTCAGATTACAGACACTTCAGGTTATAGACTCCGCTAACCCAGAAATAGTACCTCGGGTTAAGAACTTTGCTTTAGGATGAGAACAGAAATTGTGCGGCGGCAGCGGGAGGCCCCATTACCTAAAGTTCTTAACCTCAGGTTAAGAACAGTTTCAGGTTAAGAACGGACCTCTGGAACGAATTAAGTTCTTAACCCGAGGTACCACTGTATAATCTGCCTTATCCTGATTCAGACCATTGGGTCTATCTTAGATTAGTGTGTCCAACGCTGATTGGCATATTTGAATCCTGGTGTCTCCCAGAGTCCTAGCCTGAGACTCTAACCACTATGACACACTGCTGTGCGTGTGCTCTCTCTCTCTCTCTCTCTCTCTCTCTCTCTCTCTCTCTCTCACACACACACACACACTCTGTCTCTCCTGAAACACTAAAAAAAATGTTCCTAAAGCAATGCAATGCTTCCCAGCATTATTGTTGTTTAGTCGTTTAGTCATGTCCGACTCTTTGTGACCCCATGGACCAGAGCACGCCAGGCCCTCCTCTCTTCCACTGCCTCCCGCAGTTTGGTCAGACTCATGTTGGTAGTTTCAAGAACACTGTCCCACCATCTCGTCCTCTGTCGTCCCCTTCTCCTTGTGCCCTCCATCTTTCCCAACATCAGGGTCTTTCCCAGGGAGTCTTCTCTTCTCATGAGGTGGCCAAAGTCTTGGAGCCTCAGCTTCAGGATCTGTCCTTCCAGTGAGCACTCAGGGCTGATTTCCTTCAGAATGGAGAGGTTTGATCTTCTTGCAGTCCATGGGACTCTCAAGAGTCTCCTCCAGCACCATAATTCAAAAGCACCCATTCTTTGGCGATCAGCCTTCTTTATGGTCCAGCTCTCACTTCCATACATTGTGTCATTTCAGGTGCAGGCACGCCAGCGGCCATGCAGACTGAGCCTTCTCCTCTTGCTGGTGGAGGGGCACCTGTGGCACCTGACCAGGTAGGTAGAAGTTTGGGGACAGACCGGGCGCCTCTATCCCTGGGCTACTTGTCAAAGGACACACGGTGAGAGGCTGCGTGACACCCTTTGAGGGGCAAAGCTGACCTGCTCAGCCTCGCCCTCCCTGCCTGGGATCCTTAGAAGGGGGAGCAGACTGAACGCAACACCTCTTAATTGCCGCCAGGATTATTATCGGTCAAAATTGGTGGCGAGGGGGCGATGAGAACAGCAGCCTCGAGAGAAAATCTGGAGCATCATATGCCTGGTTACCAATATGGTGGGAAAACAGACTTAATGATTTAGTTTCCAGTCTTGTAGACTGTTTCAGAGCGTTTCAGAGTGGTGTGCAACACGATTAAAATAAGTTGAAATGCCAAAAAACGAAACAAAACACCAAACTAAAAACAATAAAGCCATTCCAACGTAGCACGGACAGCGAGCCCCTTCTGAAGTTGTCACAGGGTGACTGACGTGATTTTTATATCTCCTCGCAGACCCAGATAAGTATGTGCCCTGGCGTGTAGCACTCTTTGCAACTGCTGCTAGGAAAATTAGAGCAAATTATATAGCCAAGGTAGCCACCAACTGTAAAGGAGATGAATTTATTTGACCCTATCTACAACAAGCTATATTCTTTCTTCATCACCAAACTCCGAATATAATTGCACACTGTATTAATTAACATTATTTTTTAATATATTAGTGGCCATGAGATAATTTTAGCTTATAAATTTTATTGTTCAATGTCTTAATTTGTATATTAAGGTACTTTTATAGCTCTGTTTAGAGTAGGTAATGTCTTGATAATATAAATGTTGTAAGTTTTTTGTATCAATTCAGTATATTTTCTTTTAATTGTTGAATGATTCTGTGTACATTGCGGCAGCCTTTGGCTATGTGCAATAAAACTGACTGACTGACTGACTGGTGCTAAGCCCCGCCCACTGGCCTGTGGTTGGTGAGAGATGCCAGGATGTGGCTTACAATAATTGATTATAATAGTTTGTTTAATGATGAGGATCCGTTATATAGTCTGCAAGGAGAAACTGTTTTCTTCTTCTTCCCCTTCCAGGTTCCGGTGACGTTTGAGGAGGTGGCTGTGTATTTCACAGAGGAGGAGTGGTCTCTGCTGGATCCGGGCCAAAGAGCCCTGCAGTGGGAAGTCATGGTGGAGAATTATGGGATTCTGGCTTCTCTGGGTAAGGCTTATTGATTTAACAAAACCTATATACTGCTTGGTTGCATTTTTTTTTTTTAAAAGAAGCAAACTTCTAAGCACACGAAAATGATAAAACATTGAAATTCTCAAGAAAAGCAACTAAAAGCAGGTATTTAAAACATTCAAAAGACGATTAAGAGATCATTAAGATGATTAAGAGATAAAACACATGCCTAAACAAAAATGCACTAAGCTGTCAATTGGCAAGGAGTTCCACATTAACATTAAGTGCTGCCACATTAACAGATAGATTTCTTACATTGTTTTGAGTACAGTGGTACCTCGGGTTACAGACGCTTCAGGTTACACACTCCACTAAGCTGCCTTATCCTGATTCAGACCATTGGGTCTATCATAGCTCAGTGTGTCCAATGCCTAGAGTCCTTATCTAGAGGTTCTGCACAGGAGTCACCTTAAACAGCATCAGAGGCCTTTCACACTGCATTTTCAGTTAATGGCAATCAGCAAAATTAATTTAATATTGGCCAGATCTGCCTTACATTCTGGCGTGAGCAGCAGCAGACGTTCCCTCATTTAGAGGCTGCGTTTTTTCCTTCGATCTTACTAGTTTTCTCTCCTTCCTCCAGCAGGAGATGGGTGGAAGAACGGGAATGAAGTAACACCGTGCACGGTCTCCTTGGAAAAAGCCAGACGTTCGGAGAAGGAAGAGCAGAAAAGGGAAACTGAGGCAGAAGAGAAGAGGGGAAATCCCTTCCTCGCTTCCGACTTCCGCAAAATCACAATCCACGAAAAGACGGACGCCGAAAAGAAGCGGATTGTGTGCGCCGTGTGTGGGAAAAGCTTCAGCCGCAAATCGCACCTTAACGAACATCAGAGAATCCACACTGGGGAGAAACCCTACAAATGCGCCGAGTGCGGCAAAAGCTTCCGCCGGAGCACAGACCTCTCTTCTCATCAGAGAACCCACACGGAAGAGCAGCCGTTCAAATGCTCCGAGTGCGGGAAGAGTTTCCGGGGGAGCTCGGACCTCCGGTCTCACAAGCGGATCCACACCGGGGAGAAACCGTACGCCTGCTCTCTGTGCGGGAAGAGCTTCAGCCACAGCATCAGCCTCAACTCTCATCAGAGAATCCACACAGGAGAGCAGCCGTTCAAGTGCTCCGTTTGCGGGAAAAGCTTCACGCGCAACACGGGCCTGACTCTGCACCACAGAATCCACACCGGGGAGAAGCCGTACACTTGCTCCTTGTGCGGCAAGAGCTTCAGCCACAGCAAGAGCCACGCCATCCACCTCAAAGTGCACGCAGGGGAGAAACCCTACACGTGCTCGGAGTGTGGGAAAAGCTTCATCGGGAGTTCGTATCTTAAGTCACATCAGAGAATCCACACAGGGGAGAAGCCCTATACGTGCCCAGTATGTGGGAAAAGCTTCAGGTGGAGTACAAACTTTAACGAACATAAAAAAATCCACACGGGGGAGAATGTGGTGAATCCTAGGAATCCCTGGATTGGAGAAAGTCCCCCTGGTAGGGCACAGATCTTCATAATGGAGGATTCACTCTAAGGCAGAGCTTTCCAAACTTTTCAAGTTGGGGACACACTTTTGAGACATGCATCATTTTGCGACACTGCAGCCGACACACTTAGCGTAACACAACACACAGTTCGGAAAGCTCTGCTTTGAGGAGCAAGGAAGGCTGTAGACCAGGGGTCAGCAAACGTTTTCAGCAGGGGGCCAGTCCACTGTCCCTCAGACCATGTCGGGGGCCAGACTATATTTTTTGGGGGGGGAGGATGAACAAATTCCTATGCCCCACAAATAACCCAGAGATGCATTTTAAATAAAAGCACATTCTACTCATGTGCTGCGCCTGACCATCTGCAGACTAAAGAATGCATCGGCCAGGCCTAGTTGCCTACCCATGTTGCAAAGCTCAACCAACAGAGAATCCTAAGCTCAAAATGTAACAGAGACAACTGTTATCACAAGAGGGAGAATCAGTGAGTGTCAGGAGGAAACTGTGGTGGAAGACAACACTGGGAGCGGCCGCTGGGACCATATAACACCGGTCCTAAAATATCTACATTGGCTCCCAGTACATTTCTGAGCACAATTCAAAGTGTTGGTGCTGACCTTTCAAGCCCTAAACGGCCTTGGCCCAGTGTACCTGAAGGAGCGTCTCTACCCCCATTATTCAGCCTGGACTCTGAGGTCCAGCTCCGAGGGCCTTCTGGCGGTTCCCTCCCTGCGAGAAGAGAGGTTACAGGGAACCAGACAGAGGGCCTTCTCGGTAGTGGCGCCCGCCCTGTGGAACGCCCTCCCACCAGATGTCAAAGAGAAAAATAACTACCAAACTTTTAGAAGACATCTGAAGGCAGTCCTGTATCAGGAAGATTTCAATATCTGATGTTTTGCTGTGACAACCCAGGATTTACAGAATGTTGAGGCACATTCTTCGTAAAGAAACCAGAATTTGAGCAGTCTGTACAATCTGTCAACTGAGAGAGAAGTAACCCTGGTCTGTCTGAAGGCAGATGCCGGTGTATATTTTTATTTATTTATTTTGCTGGACTTTCCGACTCTCGATTCCTGGTGCGCTTCATTTTAACTCTCCACCCCGAGAGTTATCTGTCCCATGCCTGATAGCATCGTCTCGCTTGTGGCGTTCCATTGTCTGTGTGTTGTGTTAATAAAGATTTCCCCTCTAACTTGGATTGCAGCCTCTGTGTCTGTTTTGCAGGCATTTGAAAATATTAGCGCTGCGATATATTTTATTGCGGCTTTCTTTTTTTAAAAAAAGAAACACCACATTTTTATTGCATTTTCATTATACAGAAATGTAAACTGAATAGACGTAAGAGAATACAAGCGTAAAAGCAGCAGAAGGGAAGGCAATATTAAATCTCTAAATTTCCAACTAAGCGTTAGGAAGAACTGCGCCCAACGGTTAGAGCTGTTGACAGTGGACCTCTCCCTCGGGAGGTGGTAGACTCCCCTTCCCTGTCCAGATGCTATAGCTGAGATTCCGGCATTACACGGGGTTGGATTAGATGACCCTGGTGCCCCTTCCAACTCTACAACTACGGATTCATATAGCATACAGTGGTATGTTGGTTTTTGAACGTAATCCGTTCCGGAAGACTGTTCGACTTCCGAAACGTTTGAAAACCAAGGCACAAAGGGTGGCCTGCAAATTTAACTGAGAAAATGGAAAAATAGCAGAAGCCGTTCAACTTCGGAGGTGCGTCTGAAAATGGAAGCATTTACCGTATTTTTCTGTCTATAAGATGCCCCCATGTATAAGACTATTTTGGAGGACTCCGATTTAAGAAAATGGGGGGAGATGGTCCCCATGTATAAGACGCCCCCAAATTTTGGACATTATTTTTTAGGAAAAAATCCTAGTCTTATACACGGAAAAATACGGTACTTATGGGTTTTTAGCGTTTGAAAACCAAAATGTTCAGCTTCTGAGATTTTCGAAAAACTATACAGTGGTACCTCAGGTTAACAACTTAATTCGTTCTGGAGGGCCATTCTTAACCTGAAACTGTTCTTAACCTGAGGTACCACTTTAGCTAATGGGGCCCCCGCGCTACCACCGCATGATTTCTGTTCTCATCCTGAAGCAAAGTTCTTAACCCGAGGTAATATTTCTGGGTTAGTGGAGTCTGTAACCTGAAGCGTCTGTAACCTGAAGTGTCTGTAACCCGATGTACCACTGTATTAATAAGATCATAAAACAACAGTATCCTGTCAGTATCCTTCCTGACAGTAAGATAATAATGATAATAATAATAATAATAATTCCCAAAAGAATATTAAAAACATGATAAAACATCAACATTAAGAGCTGTTCGACAATGGAACGGTCTCCCTCAGGAAATGATGGGCTCTCCTTCCTTGGAAGTTTCTAAGCAGAGGTTGGCTGGCCATCTGCCATATATGCTTTGGCTGAGATTCCTGCATTTCAGAGGGTTGGACTGGATGACCCTCCGGTGTCCCAACTCATTCGATTCTATGCAGCTAAGCAGAAACATGAAGAGAAGCAGAAACCCGGAAACAGGTGAGAAACCAGCCAATTTCATTTCTGTTTGGGGCTATGCCTCTGCTTGCTTTAGCCTGCAGCTCTTCCAAACCCCAACCCCACCCCAGCTGCGCAGCTCTTTATTCCTCGCCAAAGCCACTCTCCTTGCCAAAAACCCCTCCGGTTGCCAAACCTCAGCAGGTTACCTGGGTCACCCACTTGTCTCTTCCTCACCCTCGGGTGCTGGTTCCCTCGCCCGGCCTTAGCTTGGGTGTGCATGTACACTCCTGTCCGCCTGATGACAGATAACTACAAATAAAATAGGGAGAGAAGAGCAGAGAGGCGATAATCCTCTTTCTCCCTGCTTGTTGATTAATCCTAGAATTGTAGAAGGGACCCTGAGGGTCATCTAGTTCAACCCCAGATAAGAGAAGAGAACAACAACAAGAAAGCCTAGCAATTTTTTAATTATTATTAGAACCAAGCAGAACAGCAACGGAGAAAGTTGTCTTTTACTATGTCGGGCTATTGCTCCATTAAGTTTAGTATTGTCTCCGCTGACTGGCAGAGACTGCCCAGGGTTTCAGGCAGAAAATATCTCTGGAGTTGGTGCTGGGGAATGAACGTGAGAGGCCCCCTGCATTCAAAGTACATTCTCTTCCCTCGAACTGTAGTTTCCCCTCACTTTAAAGGTAAATTCAGACTCCAGTCTTCCTCATTCTAAACACAGACACATAAAACGTAGAGGACCCCTGGACAGCTAGGTCCAGTCAAAGGCGTCTATGGGGTTACGGCGCTCATCTCGCTTTCAGGCCGAGGGAGCCAGTGTTTGTCCACAAACAGCTTTCTGGGTTATGTGGCCAGCAGGACTGAACCACTTCTGGTGCAACGGGACACCATGACGGAAACCAGAGCACACAGAAACGCCGTTTACCTTCCCGCCGGAGTGGTACCTATTTATCTACTTGCACTGATGTGCTTTCAAACTGCTAGGTTGGCAGGAGCTGGGACAGAGCAACGGGAGCTCACTCCATCGTGGGGATTCGAACTGCTGACCTTCTGATCGGCAAGCCCAAGAGGCTCAGTGGTTTAGACCACAGCGCCACCCACATAGGCATCCATGTTGTCTGCTTCTGCTGCACTTTGGACTGGATTTTCCTGCAGTCTGGTGTGCTCTCCAGATAATATGAATTATGACTCCCTTTCCCCACAACACAGGACAACAACCTCTTCAAAACCCTTTGTGCCTTTGCAGCTCCCACGGTCCTCTGGGGGAAGCCAAGGCTCCCCATGGCTGCCCTTGCATACCCTCCAAATAAAAACAACAACAACATTTATACCTTGCTCATCTGCCTGGGTTGCCCCAGTCACTCTGGGTGGCTTCTAACATGTCTAAAAGCACAATAAAACATTATACATTTTTTTAAAAAGCTTTGCCTTCAGATGTCTAGAAGGCATAGGTACAGTTACTTGTCTCCTTGAGACAAGTTTGGACATACAAAATTTCACTTGTTTCGGTGTGTGTTTTTTGCTTTTTTGCTGCAAAATCACTTTGAGATAAAAGAATGGAAAGGGTTTGTTGAATATTTACAGATAAATTGTAAACAGATAAAAACCTTAGCAGGATGAGCAGGATGAGTGTAATAACCTGCAGTTTCCTAAGAGTATATATTTACAGTAGATAATTAAATGAGGAAATTAAATGAACTTGGATATGCGGAAGATATTAAGAAATAAATTTAGGGGACCGCAGAAGGAGGGAGGAGGAAGTCAAATTTTGAAATGTCAAATGGATTGTAAAACTAATGAAATGTATAAATTTGAAAAGTAGCTTTTTAAAAAAAAATTTACTTTTTTTGGAGTGGAAGCAATTCATAAATGAGATTAAACTGATTGCTCAAAGAGAGGGATCCAGCCTAAGGGTTAAGGGGAAGAGTGTCTGGGTTCCTAGAGAGCCCTGGAAGGAGGCTCTGGAAGGGTCACATCCTGCCCCGCCTCCTTCTAAAGATGCTTTGATTATTATTATTTGCAGGTCCCCCCCAGATGCTGCCCAGATGGTCTCCACCTCCTGCCCTCTCCATCCAGGGATCCGGTGAGTCCAAAGTGCATTTGGGGGGGTGCGCTGGGGCGCTGATGGAGGAGAAGCCCAAGGCAGAACAAAATTGGGGAGCGGGCATTGGAAGAAGAGCCAGAGAGGGCAAGGGAGACAAAAGGCCGGCTGGTTGGAAATGGAAGTGCCTTAGCTGGCTTGGTCGAGCAGAAAGCCCCGGGGTTCAGACCCCAACATCTCTGTCTGAAACTCTGGAGGGCAGCTGCCAGTCCGTGTGGGCAATGCCAAGCTAGGTGGATCAGTGGTCTGCCTCCGATGCAGGGCAGGTGGCCAGGCTGCTCCGAATAAAGCATTTTCCTGTGTTCCTATTTAACTGGAGGGCTGTAGTAAACTGCGGTGGTAAACGCTTTTAAAAAAAAAATCTTTATTGAGAATTTTAAAAGTACATCAGTATATGTGCACTAAACACGGTGAGACGTAAATAAAAGAGAGAAAGAGAAGAAGAGAAACAGAAGGGGAAACAAAGAGGGGAGAGGGAAAACCCCCAGAACTGTATACTTTGCAAAGTTGTTATTGTGCTTCACCAGATCTAAACCTATGACAGTATTTGTAAGAATGGATTCCAAATGTCATTGTATTTGTCTATGACAAGTCTGTGTTTGTATGCAAGTTGTTTGTATGCTGCGAGTTAGTATAAGTCTTCAATCCAATCATAGAAGGGAGCCACATTTTAATTCCCCCCCCCCCCCAATTCATCAGTATCAGTCTTTTTGCTGTGGTCAGGGCACGGAGATTCCACTCGTATCGCCCTTTCATAAGGTTCCATGTGCTGGGTATGTAATTCAAGAAGGTGTGTCCGCCCTTATATAGACATTTTAAATTGCCCGCCTTGGAGTCCGAGAGCACCCCAGACACAGCATACCTACATCACAGAAAGGGGTGTAGCTCAAGAGAAAACTGAGTGCGTTGTTTATCTCCTGTCATTGTTTTTCTCCTGTCTGGCAGGTTACCTGTTAATGCTTACTTGATTGGATACCCTGCGGAGCCTGGCCAGTCTTTTGTAATGATAACTACTTAGTTCCTGAGCCAGGTCACAGGCTCACCCTATTCATAAACAGACATACCCTTAAGACAGGATTTGTGAATGAAAAGACAATGGGGAGGCTTTTCCATTTTCCTTTGACCTTGCAGAGTAAACATTTGATCAGTCTGGGAGCCAAAATGGCTCCAGGACTGCTTTCCTGTGCTGCTTCAGACATCTGGTTTATATATTTATGTATGTGTTTGCTTGGTACATTTATGAACATTTATTATATATATAAGACCTTCATTTATTTATTTCAATTGTTTGCAGGAAGAAGCCTCGTTCTCAACGCTGACCTGCTGATGCTTTCTGACTTCTGGGAGGGGGGCCAGCGGTGTTTGCAACTGTTGTGCTGCAAAAAGTCTGGCCTATCTTTGCCCAATTTGTCCCCCTTACCCCCAAATCCCAATGGTTAGGAGGAAGATGGTGGCCGGTCAATGAGGCTTTTCGAGCCCTGCTGGGGGTCCGAGGAGAAGCGCAGCCTGAAGATGGAAGGGAGAGACACGGATGCCCCAAAAACAGGAAGAGCCCCCCAAAATGTCGAGACTGTGAGCAGCAGGGGGTTCTGGGAAAGGGTGGTGCAGAAGGACCGGGGCATCCATAGGCCACATGCCGAGTGCCAACGCTTCAGGGGGGTCGGCTACTGGGATGACCAGGGACCCCGAGAGGTTTGCAGCCGACTCCACCATCTCTGCCGTCAGTGGCTGAAGCCGGAGAGACACACCAAGGCTCAGATCCTGGATTTAGTGATCCTGGAGCAGTTCCTGGCTGTCCTCCCCCAGGAGATGGAGAACTGGGTCAGGGAATGTGGAGCAGAGACCAGTTCCCAGGCGGTGGCCCTGGCCGAAGGTTTCCTCCTGAGTCAGGCAGAGGAGAAGAAGCAGGAGGAGGAGCAGGTGAGAGAGAGTTTTGTCCTGGTGCTTCCAAGGTGCTCAGAGCGTCCAGTTTTAGTAAGGGGCAAAATCAGACACAAAGCAATTTTTTAAAAAACCAAGACTCCTTGTGCTGTTGTAAACAAAAATCTGCCCTTTTCCCCCTATGGGGTATCCAAGAGCCCATATAGAGTCCTTACATAGGTTCCCTATTGGTAGGAGAGAATAACAGAGGCCAACCAGAGAATATTGAGAAGCAAAGCAGCTAGTAAGCTTGATCTTTATTGATCTGTTGCAACGGGGTGCTCCCATCACCCGCAGGAAAGGAGGAGGAACCCAGAAAAATGGCGCGCAAGGCCTTATATGGACTTTTGAAATTGCCACCCTGTAGATCAAGACCACCCCCAGAAACATCATACCGACATCACAGAAAAAGCGGTCTAAAACAGAAATTTGAATGTTGTTTTTCTCCTGTCGTTGTTTATCTCCTGTCTGGAGTATAGCATCTAGATCAAGGGAAGTAATAGTGCCACTGTATTCTGCTCTGGTCAGACCTCACCTGGAGTACTGTGTCCAGTTCTGGGCACCACAGTTCAAGAAGGACACTGACAAACTGGAACGTGTCCAGAGGAGGGCAACCAAAATGGTCAAAGGCCTGGAAACGATGCCTTCTGAGGAACGGCTAAGAGAGCTGGGCATGTTTAGCCTGGAGAAGAGGAGGTTAAGGGGTGATATGATAGCCATGTTCAAATATATAAAAGGATGTCACATAGAGGAGGGAGAAAGGTTGTTTTCTGCTGCTCCAGAGAAGCGGACACGGAGCAATGGATCCAAACTACAAGAAAGAAGATTCCACCTCAACATTAGGAAGAACTTCCTGACAGTAAGAGCTGTTCGACAGTGGAATTTGCTGCCAAGGAGTGTGGTGGAGTCTCCTTCTTTGAAGGTCTTTAAGCAGAGGCTTGACAACCATATGTCAGGAGTGCTCTGATGGTGTTTCCTGCTTGGCAGGGGGTTGGACTCGATGGCCCTTGGGGTCTCTTCCAACTCTATGATTCTAGGTTACCTATTAATGGTCACTTGATTGGATTGCCTGGGGAGCCTGGCCAGTCTTTTGTAATGATAAATACTTAGTTCCTGGGCCATGTCTCAGGCTCACACCCTATTCAAACACAGACATACCCTTAAGACAGGATTTGTGAAGGAAAAGACAATAGGGAGGCTTTTCCATTTTCCTTTGACCTTGCAAAGAAAACATTGGGACAGTCTGGGAATCAAAAATTGTTCCAGGTCGGTCTTCCTGTGCTGATCTATGTACGTGCTTGGTTGGTACACTTAAGAACATTTAACATATATCTAAGACCTCAAAATTGATAATGTATTGGCAATATTTATGAAACACTCTCAATTGTTTCTGAATTCATAAACAGCAACAAACAGCAAAAAGTGTAGTAGGCTGATTTTGAGTGACAGCTGATCCATGATCACTTTACATACCTTTGGGGACTATTAACTTGCTGATGAAGAAATATTGTTGAAATAGTTCATTATCCCGGAAGAACTGTTCTGTTTGCTGTTTGTTGCTGCTGTGCTCACAGCACCACCCGGCTCCAGTTCATTCTCAACCAAACAATATAGATATAAACTGTGGAAAGGCTTTCTGCCTCAACTTCAGTGTTTCTTTGTGGTTCCCCACCATTCTAAGCATTCCTGTTGATGGAATATTTATTTGACTTCTATCCGTTTCTATTAGTTTGTGACTTCTTGCGCGTATTATATGGCTTTTGTTTATGGATCAAGAAACAATTGATAGTTACAGGTAGGTAGCCGTGTTGGTCTGCCGTAGTCGAAACAAAATAAAAAAACAAAATTCTGAAGTGTGCATGCACACGAAAGCTCATACCAATAACAAACTTAGTTGGTCTCTAAGCTGCTACTTGGACACGGGTGGCGCTGTGGGTTAAACCACAGAGCCTAGGACTTGCCATTCAGAAGGTCGGCGGTTCGAATCCCCGCTACGGGGTGAGCTCCCGTTGCTCGGTCCCTGCTCCTGCCAACCTAGCAGTTCAAAAGCACGTCAAAGTGCAAGTAGATAAATAGGTACCGCTCTGGTGGGAAGGTAAATGGCGTTTCTGTGCGCTGCTCTGGTTTGCCAGAAGCGGCTTAGTCATGCTGGCCACATGACCCGGAAGCTGTACACCGGCTCCCTCGGCCAATAAAGCGAGAGGAGCGCCGCAACCCCAGAGTCAGCCACGACTGGACCTAATGGTCAGGGGTCCCTTTACCTTTACCTTATGGTGCTACTGGAAGAAACAATTGATAGTGTTTCATAAATATTGCCAATACATTATTAGCCCACATGCTGCCTTTTGTAGATCAGATTGCCCCTCAGAGCTGGCATCACGTGGAGCTGGTCCTCAGTGGTGGTGGCCTCTCCTCCTCGCCCGCTCTCTAGCAACTGCTCCGAGGAGGCTGGCAGCAGAGGCCACGGAGAGGCGATGGGACGCTTGCCGCTTGGGACAAGCGCCCGCTCATTCTCCTCCCTGAGCTTGGAGGCAGCGGCACTGGCGGGGGAATAGGGACATTCCAAGATCAAATCCGGACACGGGATGGATTTCATAATCCTGGGACTGTCCCTGTAAAATCAGGGCACTTGAGGGTATGAGAAAGCACCTAAGGAGGGGCGTGGCCTGGAGAGAATGTCGGGGAGGGGGCATGACCTGGAGAGAAGGTTGGGAGGGGGCGTGGCCTGGGGAGCAGGTTGGGAGGGGCGTGGCCTGGGGAGAAGGTTGGGAAGGGGGCGTGGCCTGGAGAGAAGGTTGGGAGGGGCGTGGCCTGGAGAGAATGTCGGGGAGGGGGCGTGACCTGGAGAGAAGGTTGGGAGGGGGCGTGGCCTGGGGAGGTTGGGAGGGGGCGTGGCCTGGAGAGAATGTCGGGGGCGTGGCCTGTGGAAGAGTCTGGCTGGGATTCATGGGATTCATGCCAGCTCCCTGTCCTGAGATTCCCCCTCACCCTTATCTTATGGGTTTCTCACTGCTGTTTTACGCAAAGGCCCTGTTAGGAGAAGTCGCTGCTGAGTTCCTCAAGGCAGAGGAGACATCGCCAGAGGATGCCAAGCGGAGGCTGTTGTTCAGGTGGATGGTGCAGGAGGGCGATGGAGGGGCTGCCATGCCAGGTGAGGGCGGGAGCAGATATTTTGCCACTTGGCCTCCCTCTGCTGGCTGGGCTCAAAATCCCCCCAGGGGCTGTTTTTACATTCCCCTTCAACACTACATGAGGGACGAAAAGTGTTAATGGCTAGGAAAGCACCAAAAAGAGGTGGTGGTGGATTCGAATCCCGCCCTGAAGCCCATCTCCATGACAGGCTTTGCGAACCTGGGGCTCTCTGGATGTCGTTGGACAACTCTCATCATCTGTATTGCTGTAAGGAGTAGAATCATAAAAGCCAACCCTTAGGGGCCGAGATCCCCTTGCCCACCTCCACCCCCAAAAAAATATTTGAGGGGGCTGGGCCCCCCTCAAGTTGCCAGACATTGCTGTTCAAATGGTGCGTGATCTCTGCTTCTTGTGATTGATTATGGGGGACAGAGCTTATCTGACCCCCCCATATTTTATTAGTTGGCACCCCTGAGTGGAATTTGCATGCTTCATCCTAGTGGAAACTTAAAAAGCAGTTGCACTGTAAATTTGCTTTCACAGCCAGTGGCATAGATAGCTGCTTGGGTGCCCGGGGCAGCGTCCTGCAGCCAGGGGTGAGGAGAGCTGTCCACAGGGGCGGGGCAAGTCAAGGAAGGGCACGCTGCGTGGAGCCTCTCCACAGCCTCCCCCTCAGCTGTAGGGCGGCTGAGGCGGTGGGCAGACGCAAGCCCCACACTGCTCGAAAAAGCAGCACGGAGCTTGCAGGCATTCTGCCCACTGCCACCCCCTCAGGAGACGTGTGGCTCAGGCACGCTGCAGGCCCCGTAGTGTGGCACCCAGTACTCCCTGCCTCACCTAGCTACCAGTGGCGTAGGAAGGGGGGGTGCGGTGGGTGCAGGAGTTATTTTTTCAAAAAAAAAAGTCGTGAGCCAAGTTTTTATTTATTTATTTTAAAACTCATATTTTTGCCATTTTGTCACCCGCCTCAGTGATGACACCTGGGGCAGCCCGTACCCAACGCACCCCCCCTTCCTTCGTCACTGTCCACAGCAGTGTAATCTGTCAAAACCAAATTGTGCCCAAGAAACAAAAAGTGTCGGCCAGCGAGCCCTGGGGATTATCTAATGCTTATTTCCCCTAAATTGATTTTTGAATTTATTGTTATCCATGTTTTTATACTGTATTTTATGCTGCTTTTATAATTAAGTGTTTTAAATTTGTTGTTAGCTGCCCTGAGCCCGGTATTTGAACTGGGAAGGGCGGGTATAAAATAAAAAATTATTATTATTATTATTATTATTATTATTGTTTTGCAAGTCGCCGAGATGCATAAACGCTTAGCAAGGATTTCAACCACATTTGTGTGAATTGCAGGTGGCGGAAAGTTGCCAGGAACGGCTACGGAATCGTCTCCTCTCTGTGGTGGATCAGAAGCGGCCTCTTTGCAGCTGGATCCGGTAAAGGATGGATCGCTGGACATATCAAATCGACTGGCTCCATCCCCTCCCCCTCCCCTGCAGGCTGAAGAGAATCTCCCTCTTTTCCTTTGCTTGTGTCAAAGCGCCACATGGGGGAAATCCTCTGTAGGCCCCTCCGTGGAGGTGGGATGACAGAATCATAGAGTTGGAAGAGACCATCTAGTAGTCCAACCCCTTGAGGAGGAGCTGTTTTTTATCGTCTCCTTTCCCTTCCAGGTTCCGGTGACGTTTGAGGAGGTGGCTGTGTATTTCACGGAGGAGGAATGGGCCTTGTTGGATCCGGGCCAAAGAGCCCTGCACTGGGAAGTCATGGTGGAGAATTATCGGAATCTGGCCTCTCTGGGTAAGGCTCCTTCTTTCCCTTTGGTTGATGAAGTCAGTTTCGAAAGCCTTGATAGATAGATAGCATCCTTGGACTCAAGCCTAGGTCCTTTGTGAACCTGCCAAGAGAAATCCCATCACAGAGCACTTTTGTGTATGGAACGGATGGAGAATCTGAAGCTCGGGGGCAAAATCTGGTCCTCCAAGCCTCTCTATCTGGCCCCCTCTTTCTCTAGGCCACAAGGCCTTCTCATGGACCCACAAAACACCTGAGCCCTCCCCTTCCCTTGCTGCCCCTCGCTTGGTCCTTAGGTGCTAAAAGCAGGTCCCCTTTTCTTTTCTGAAAAGTACATTCAACTGGAAGAGGAAGTCAGAAGTACGACGCTCTGCCCCACTTCCTTTCGGAGCTCTATGTGCTTTTCGAGGCTCAGGTCAATTTCACTGGATCTGAGTTTTACCACATCATTTGGGAAGGTGAAGCATGTGTGCCCACACTTTCTTGGTTTCTCCCTCTCCTGGGGGAGGTGGGAGAAAAGTGGCCGGAGGGATTGGAGCCCAGAGCACTCATTCAGAAATCCAAATGGGCCTCAAAAGATTGGCAGATAATTGGGTTTGGCTCCTAGTTTGATGATCCATTTCTCCATCAGGAGAAATGTACTTTTTAGTATGTTTCTGAGCACAATTCAAAGGGTTGGTGCTGACCTTTAAAGCCCTAAATGGCCAGTATACCTGAAGGAGCGTCTCCACCCACATTGTTCTACCCGAACACTGAGGTCCAGCACCGAGGGCCTTCTGGCGGTTCCCTCACTGCAAGAGGCCAAGTTACAGGGAACCAGGCAGAGGGCCTTCTCGGTGGTGGCACCCACCCTGTGGAACACCCTCCCATCGGATGTCAAGGAGACATCTGAAGGCAGCCCTGTTTAGGGAAGTTTTTAATGTTTGATGTTTTAATTGTATTTTTAATATTCTGTTGGGAGCCGCCCAGAGGTGCTGGGGAAATTCAGCCAGATAGGCAGGGTATAAATAATAAATTATTATTATTACCTTACCAGTGTTCTCCCTTTAATCCAGCAGATGACGCCTGGGTCAGCTGGAACGAGGGAAAGCCTCATGGAGCATCCTTTAAAAGGGCCCGATGTACAGAGGGGGAGGTATATAGAAGGACAACGGAGAGCAAAGCAAAAGAGATAAGGAGGAACAAATCTTCTGCTTTTGAAGGGATGTTTTCCCCTGAAATAACAATTCAAGGGGAAATGAGCCATGTCAAAACGTCATTTCCGGAACCCGACTTTGACGAGGCAGAAACCCAAGAGGAAAGGAGTGAAGGCAAGAAAAAGATTGAGTGTGAGGTGTGTGGGAAAAGCATTAGTAAATCGCACCTTAACGAACACAAACGAACCCACACAGGGGAGAAACCGTTTCAATGCTCGGAGTGCGGGAAGAGCTTCAGTCGGCGGGAACACCTTACTTCTCATCAGAGAACCCACACAGAGGAGAAGCCTTACACGTGCTTGCAGTGTGGGAAAAATTTCAAACACAGGAAAAACATGACATCCCATCAAATTATACACAGTAGGGGGCTAACTTGCAACTCCTCGGAGTGTGGAAATTGCCTCAGTCCCAGCCTTACTTTGCAGCACCACGCTCTGGAGAAACCATTTAGATGTTCAGAGTGTGGCAAGAGCTTCAGTCGGAGCACAGACCTGAGGTCACATCAGAGAATCCACACAGGGGAGAAACCGTACTTGTGTTCACTGTGTGGAAAGAGCTTTACCCACAGCCGGAGCCTGAGCTCCCATAAAGTCACGCACACAGAGGAAAGACCATTCGAGTGCTCGGAGTGTGGCAAGAGCTTCAGTCGGAACACCAGCCTTACTATTCACCAGAGAATCCACACAGGGGAGAAACCGTATACGTGTTCCCTGTGCGGGAAGAGTTTCAGTCACCGAAGAAGCCATGCTATTCACCTAAAAGTGCATGCAGGGGAGAAACCTTTTACATGCTCAGACTGTGGGAAAAGCTTCATCGGGATTTCGTACCTCAAGACACATCAGAGAATCCACACTGGGGAGAAGCCATATACATGCCCAGTGTGTGGGAAGAGCTTCCGGTGGAGCACACACTTCAAAGAGCACAAAAAAATCCACGTGGAGGAGACTCTGGCGAATCCTAGAAATGCCTGGATTGTGGAGAAAACTCCCAAGAGAGCACAGATGGTCGTGTCAGGGGATTCACTCCCAGGAGAAAGGAGATATACATAGACTAGTGCTTTTCTGCCCAACTAAACTATACTGTCTGACAGATAATTCACACCAGGAGAAAGGGTGGGGAGTGAGAAAATAAATGCTCAAACTGTGGCAGAAACTCCATCACCGTGCAAACTATAGAGAGAAAGTGAGCAAGAAATATAAGATACAGTGGTACCTAGGAAGCCAAACGTTTCGGTTTTCGAATACTGAAAACCTGGAAGTGAATGCTTCCGTTTTTGAACACGCCTCGGAAGTCGAATGGCTTCTGAGGTGCGTCTCTCCATTTTCTCAATGGAATTTGCCCATTGTGCCTCGGTTGTTGAACGTTTCGGAAGTCGAACGGTCTTCCGGAATGGATTACATTCGACAACCGAGGTGCCACTTCATATTGTAAGATGATACCTTACAAATAGGGCTGGGTGATATCCGGTTTTCAACACTGCGATATATCACTGGCTAATCATCACAATATACTGCTATATCACAATGTCTGAAATAAGGATGGGGCTCGGTAGATGTGCTGGCTGGCTTCACGGTTTTATCCATGTTGTGATTTTTGTATAGCATACAAACAAACATCATGATTTGTGATATATTGCCAGGTCAAATCTTAATGAAACCGATATCACGATATGGGCTTCAAACCAGTTTTGGATGATACATAGATATATTGCCCAGCCCTGCTTACAAGAAGGAAATATCTTACAAGAACCATGTAGTCCTGAGATTGTATAGAGGACATACAAATGAGACCTTCAATAAATGTCACAGTGTTTAGGGCACTCAATTCCAGTCCAGGTTTTCCAGGTTTTTTCTCCATCTACTGGTCAGTATTCTGTACCTGCTAAGCACGCTCAGTCTTCAGTGAGATGGGGGGCAGATTCCTCTTGTTTTCTAACCTTTTTATACTTCTGGAAATCTTGGGGTCCTCCTGAGTTTGCCGATACCTCCTTGTGGGTGAGTGGTATGGTTTTTGGTTGCTTCTCAGGTTCCCTAGAGAGACAGTGCTTCCCAGTGCCTGCATAAGTCTGTGCTACTGGAGGGTCGTAGCTCATCTGCTTTGTGTTCAGAAGGTCCCAGCTTCTCCAGGGAGGGCTGTTGGTGAGATCCTGGAGCCCTGGAGAGTCCCTGTAGTCAATCCTGAGCTAGATAGTCAGTATAAGGCAGTTTATGAACTTCTATAACTAGCTTCTAGATTGGAATAACTCATGATGCTTCCATGATTTCACCAGCACTGGAGGTAAGGGAGCATATGCTCCAAATTTAATTTCCTTAATGGCGCAGCTACCGAATCATAGAGTTAGAAGGGATCCCAAGGGTCATCTAGGCCAACCCCCTGCAGTGCAGGAATAAACTATACTTTTAGGCCTCTGGGCTGTCATGAGTGGTGTTGGCATCATCTCTGCTCCTCCCTTCCCAGGATCAGCCTCCTGCCCCAAAGAAACAGGAAGAAAGCATGTGTAGACACAGACTTCACTTTTGCCTGGGATCGGCGCCAAAACAAAAGGAAACCGATCCGGTAGAATGAATCTGAGCCTTGAGAATCATAAGAGAGTCTGGACAGCACGTGGGAAAGAGCGTCACTCTTCCAAATTCCTCTTTAAAAAAAGATAACCACCTTCGTCACTTTATGACTAAGAGGGCTGCAAAAGGACGCTCAAGATTTGTGGGTGCCATGGTGCCCACAAGTGTTATGTTGGCGACCCCTGGCTCAATCCACACCCCCCCCCCAAATTTTAAACTTCTTAGTGCATCAGTTTCCCTCTCTGCCAAGAGTGTTTTTTGAGACTGGTGAAAACGTTAGAATTTGGCTGGGGAGCCATGTGACATGCTCAGAGGTGTAATTATTGATTAGAAGTTTATTACGATGCCAGTACTTAGTATTCTATTAGCTAATCTTTTGGGGTCCTATCTATACACCCCAAAGGGACAAGCGTTGCTTGTTAACCTGAGAGGCTCTCCACAAGGGGACTCTATACGTCTTCTCTGTCACGCTGATTTGTGCTGGATGTTTATGATGTACTTTCATTCTTTTTTCCCTTCCCCTTTAGCTTGGCAGACGTGTACCATTTTTTTAAAAAAGAAACCCTGGGTTATCTGTCCGCTCTGATTCTTTTGTGTCCTTCATTTAAGTGGGTAATATTAAGTGATGTGTTGTGCCTCTGTCTCTTTCCTGTTTGCAGTGTTCTGTTATAGTTTTGTTGGTTATATCAATAAAGCCATTTTAAATAGATTTCATGTCGTCATTGTCATCGCTGGTGACCCAAATGAATAACATTATTCTTATTCTTATATCCTGTTTTTTCTTGGACTGGAACTCATGGCCGCCTACACACATTAAGCAGCACAGATAAAATACAGAATGTTCAAAGCATATACAATAGTTTAAAAGGAATTAAACTTCAATAGAATTGAAACAATATAAAAATTCCACGCATGACCATGAGGGAATGCTGGAGCTGGGAGTCCAGCCATATATTTGAAGGACTGATAAGTTTTGTACTAAAAGCAGAGGAAGGATCTGGCCTTTATTCATACAACCATAGAATAGTCTTCTTTTGCGATCACTCGTAGCTGAGTAAGATTGTCTTCCATGAACACAATCTTAACAGTGTATCTGTAAGTGACTGTGGAGGCCAATTCTGGATCCACAAGTCCTTCCACCGTGGGGACATAGGTTTCCGGGCGGAAATTGATCCCAGTGAGGGTTTGCCAAGTGTGCCTTCCTTTCGTCCTGAGTTCAAGCTTCTTCAAAGCCCATGACACCTTTGGTAAAGGCTGTTCTCCAGTTGGAGCGCTCGCAGGTCAGTGTTTCCCAGTTGTCGGTGTTTATACTACATTTTTTTTAGATTTGCCTTGAGAGGGTCTTTGAACCTTTTTTGTTGACCACCAGCATGACACTTTCCATTTTTAAGTTTGGAATAGAGTAGTATAATAGACAATAATCAGGGATTCACACAATGTGACCAGTTCAACAAAGTCGACGTTGAACAATCATTGCTTCGACACAGGTGTACTAACATTATTTCACCTGTCTTCCCAAATGATATGTAAAATTTTTTGGAGACACCATTGAAATCTTTCAAGGAGCTGGAGATTGTAAGTGGTCCATGTTTCACAAGTGTACAGTAAAGTTGGTAGTACAATAGTAAGCAAGCATGTTGGTTTCCCTGCGAACGTCCCGCTCCTCAAACCCTCTGCACTTTAATCGGGAGAAAGCTGCGCTCGCAGAGCTAGAGTTGGAAGGGATCCCTGAGGGTCATCTAGTCCAACCCCCTGCAATGCAGGAATCTCAGTTAAAGCATCCCTGACAGGTGGCCACCCGACCTCTGCTTAAAAGCCTCCAAGGAAGGAGAGTCATTCGCTCCTCTTTCAGTGAACCAGAAAGAAAGAAAAGAATGCCACTTCATCGCTCTTGCAACCAAAAGGTTAAAGCGAGTGAGTCCCGGTTTCTAGAGGGGCTTCCCGGAAGGGGCGCGCCGACGAGGGGAACGTCCACTTCCGGTGCCCCTCCTCTCCCCCTCCCGTGGGAAAGCAGACTTTGATTTTCCCACGCGGCGGCCTCCGGAGGGTCCGGCGGGGGTGCGGAGCGCCTTGCGGGTGCGCGGCCGGGCAGGGGCCGCCCTGGGCGGGAGGCGCAAGGAAAGGAAGCGAGGCTGGAGCCCCGGCTCGGAGGTGCCCAGTCAGCGGAGAGAACAAAAGGCAGGGGAGGCCCCTGAATTTTGGGGTGGGGTTGCTGACTAGCACCCCAGTGCACCTCCTGCTTTGCAGGAATGTTCACATGCTGCGCTCAACGATTTTGCAGTTTTGTGCAGCCAGGTATGCAAAAGGCTCGTCCGCACGTTACGCTGAACACGGGTCCAGGCTGCGCACGTGAGCAAGCGTTTGTGTGAACGACCGTACCCGTGTCGGATTGGCCCTCATTGCGGTTGCAAGCACGGATGATGTGCTCGTTGAACGCAATGGGATGTTGCCTCTCCGTAGACGTGTTGCCCGACTCTGGAAACCTCTCGTGGTCCCTCAGCCTCCTGGTAGCAGAAATGCTGGAGAGCTTCACAAATCGACAAGTGTAACGTGTGAATGCACTTCTCTTTGCTAATCCAGGAAAAGGAGGCAGCATATTCCTGGGGATAGCGTTTGAATGCGGATGCAAGGCTAGAGCCTGGGAGAGTACCTGTAAACCAGTTATACTGTACTAGATATACTAGATATAGTAATTATGTTAGATATAAGAGCTGTTCAACAGTGGAACAGTCTCCCTTGGGAGGTTCTGGACTCTCTTTCCTTGATGGTTTGTAAGCAGAGGTTGGATGGCCGTCTGCCATGGATGCTTCAGCTGAGATCCCTGCATTGCAGGGGGTTGGACTAGATGACCATGGGGGTCCCTTCCAACTCTACGATTCTATGGTTGTATGATTAGGAAAATCTAGAAGCAGCCAAGCCTGATTTAATTAGCAGCTATGTTAAAGAAAAACAAAACCGCAAAGAATTTTACAAATGGAGTGTCTTAACCTGCTCTGTAAAAAGAAAATCAGGAATAGCTGGAGTTAGAGAGGATCATTCGCTTTTTTAATGTGTGGAAGCAGCTGCGTATGGAGAGTGTTGAAAAGTATAGCTCTGTGGGTGTGAGCCATTTTTGAATATATATATAGTCAAAAGGTACAGTAAAGATATTTATTTTTGTATATCTGTTATGTTTTTTATGGTCAGTAAAGTATTTTTTTCTATTAAAAACCCTGTTAAAATCTGAAAACCGCAATTAAACACACAAATTGTTAGGGATGGGGCACTGCTAGAGCTGCTGTGTTTGACATTGTACATAGCTGTGAATGAGAGAAAAAGTTTTTATCTGTGCCCCTTACGCAGAGGAAGAGCTCCTGCTTCCCCTCTCCACACTAACCCATATATTGTGTCCCTCTGAATTTTGGTGTTTTACCTGTCTGTTTTTGCAGAAGAAGAAACCCGAGTAGCTAGCTGCAATTCCCTTTTTCTGGAAATACCTTCCCACCGGGTGGACATCCTGGTTACTCTCAGAAGGACCTTGCTGACCTTTGCTGGACTTGAACCCTCATTTGAAAATTCATACAGAGAGAAAGTGACAACAGAGCAAAGAAGATCCTTCTGTTCTCGCTGGGTGCTGTGCTAGATTGCGAATGGAAGAACAGGACTTTGCCAGCCCTGATCCGGAATTAAGCTGCCTTGCCACCCAGTCTGGGACCAGAGGGGAATTCTGGGAAAGGAGCCTGCAGAAGATGCCGGACCAGAAAGCCCTTTCTTTGGATGTACGTTGCTGGAGATTCAGGCATTTCTGCTACCAAGAGGCTGAGGGACCAAGAGAGGTTTGCTGCCGACTCCGCCACCTTTGCCATCAGTGGCTGAAGCCGGAGAGGCACAACAAGACCCAGATCTTGGACCTGGTGATCCTGGAGCAGTTCCTGGCTGTTCTGCCCCCGGAGATGGAGAACTGGGTCAGAGATTGTGGGCCGGAGACCAGTGCTGAGGCAGTGGCCCTGGCAGAAGGTTTTCTCCAGGGCCAGGCAGAGGACGACAGGCAGGGAGAGGTAAGAGGGTATCATCCTGGAGGTTCCTAAGGGTTGAGTCATTCCTAAAGCAAGTGGTGGGGACTTAGCTAGGACCAACAGGCCTCCCCATTAAGCCTGCTGCAGCCTCGGCCCAGTATACCTGAAGGAGCGTTTCCACCCCCATCGTTTAGCCCGGACACTGAGGTCCAGCTCCCAGGGCCTTCTGGCGGTTCCCTCCCTGTGAGAAGTGAAGCTACAGGGAACCAGGCAGAGGGCCTTCGTGGTGGTGGCGCCTACCCTGTGGAATGCCCTCCCTGTGTGGGAGCCAGTGTGGTGTAGTGGTTAAGAGCGGTAGACTCGTGATCTGGTGAACCGGGTTGGCTTCCCCGCTCCTCCACATGCAGCTGCTGGGCGACCTTGGGCCAGTCACACTTCTCTGAAGTCTCTCAGCCCCAGTCACCTCACAGAGTGTTTGTTGTGGGGGAGGAAGGGAAAGGAGAATGTTAGCCGCTTTGAGACTCCTTCGGGTAGTGATAAAGCGGGATATCAAATCCAAACTCTTCTTCTTCTTCCCATCAGATTTCAAGGAAATAAACAACGATCTGGTTTTTAGAAGACATCTGAAGGCAGCCCTGTTTAGGGAAGTTTTTAATGTTTGATGTTCTGTTGTGCTTTTAATTCTGTTGGGAGCTGTCCAGAGTGGCTGGGGAAATCCAGCCAGATGGGCAGGGTATAAATAATAAGTTGTTGTTGTTGTTGTTGTTGTTGTTTTGGCCAAACGGCACCCACCTGCTCAACATCTGATGCAGGTAAGAGGCAGGTGGACCAAAGAGACCAGCACACACCCTCGCAGTCAGCTGGTGGATGGCACAGACAGAGATGGGTCATGTGACGTCAGGTGATTGACAAGTGGGTGGCTCCGCCCACCTGCCAAACGCAGTGCTGGATCCAGACCCCCCACTCCTGTCCCCTTGCTGCATCCCTTCCAGACGCAAGTCCGTCCTCTTTTAAGGGAAGTCACCCGCACAAGATTTTCCCAGCCTCCTTGGGGGAGAATGTGTTGGCAGTGGCATCTGGGGGGAGGTTTTCTTGCAGTCTAGGGCCGGTGTTGCATTCCAGCTCCCATCAGCCCCTGCTGTCATGACAAATAAGGAGGCAGAGGGGGAACTGGCATCCAGAACCTCTGGAGGGCAAACCAAGCTCTGGAAAGCTGGATTCTTATTATTATCATTAATATTATTTAATTAAATTTGTACACCATCCTTTATCTGAAGAGCACAGGGTGGCTCACAACATAAAAATACAAAATGAAAGCATTAAATACATAATAAAACAAAAGCAAGGGGAGTTACATGTGTAAGAGGCTCATTTAGAATTATATTTTGAGAATGATTCCTGTTCTTATGTAGCTGCATTTTTCTATACTTTCCGAATGTCCCATCGTCATAAAGTATTTGTGCTCCGTGTTGTAAAAGAAGCACTGCTAGGAGCTGTTTCTCTTTGCTTTCCTGTGTATTTCCTATCAATAAGACAATCGGTGTGGTGCAAGCAAATTTTTATTCTGAACGTGTGGCCTGGAGAAAAAAAAGTTTGAGAACCAATAATGGAAAATGAATGTCAAACGTTGGGGGTGATCACTTCCATCTTTTGGTGAAAGATGTTTCTGCTCCTTAAAAAGATGCCCATCACTTTCCCAAGATACTCTCTCAGTATCCTTAAATGCTGTGGAAATCACAGCTGGAGAGGCTGTTGTGCTTGGACCCTGCTTTGGACTTATCAGGAATAATAATAATAATAATAATAATAATTTTGTTATTTATACCCTGCCCATCTGGCTGGGTTTCCCCAGACACTCTGGGCGGCTTCCAACAGGATATTAAAAACACAGTAAAAGGTCAAACATCAAAAAGTTCCTTATACATTGGGTTGGCCACTGTGAGAGGCTTGGGCCTGATCTGGCAGTCAGACTTTTCTTACATTCTTGCCTGCTGGCATTTCAGGTGTCGGGGCGGCTCCTGGAGGCAGCCATGACTTTCCCCAGGAAAGAGGTGCCTTCGTTCCAAAATTCCCAGCGGCAGCTCGATGGGGAGTTTTATCCAGAGAAGAAAGAGGAAACCAGTCTGATGGGTAAGGTTTTTCCTGAACTCTTTGGGTTTGTATTTTGCTGAGCTTTTATCTTTTATCGTCAACTGGCTGCTACACATAGGAAGCTGCCTTGTATCTTTTGCATGCAAAGCAGACTCTCTACCCCTGAGCTTCCTTTAAAGGTTCTAGCCCTCATTGTTCTATGTGACAAAATGCTCAAATAAGAGCCTAGGAAGCTTACCAGGTGGTCCATTTTTCTCAGTACTGAAAAAAGTGGCAGTATCTCTCCAAGGTTTCAGGCGTGGGTCTGCCTCAAGTCTACCTAGAGATGATTTACAAGGTGAATTACAAGATCTAATCCGTCTGCAAGAGATCCCCTTCTGAACAGCGTCCGCCACTGATAAATTGGTGTAAATAAAATAAATAAAAGTGGTAGCAACTTCCTGTTTTGAGCTAGCCTCTCCCAGTCTCTACTGAATCTCAGTTCTGTCAAATTTGCTAATTGATTCCAGCTTAATGGCTTTGAGAACTTTTTTTGGGGGGGGCGGTTTGCAGCATGACTTTAAGTGTGTGTGCGTGTGTATAATTTTTTATCTGTTTTACAATTTAAAATACTTATTTAAACATCCTTATAATATCAATGACTTCCCTTCTTCTCTTTCCATGGTTCATTTTGCATATCATAAATCCCTGCATATTTTACAAAAACTAAACCATTCACTATTCCATTATTGCATCCATCAAAACTTATTTACACTGTCGAATTTATCTTAATGTTGCCGATGTTTTCAGGTGTACACAATCCCCCCCCCATATATTCAATATATAAGAACGTATGTTCTTCTTGTTCTCTTATTCTATATATTAAGTCTGCAAGCTGCGCATATTCCATCAGCTTAAGTTGCCATTCAGCTTTAGTTGGGACCTTGCTCATTTTCCATTTTTGGGCAAACAAAACATGGACCACAGTAGTAGCAGACATAAATAACGTTTTTTGATACCTGGGAATTTCAGTCTGAATTATCCCCAACAAAAAGGAGTCTGTGTGGTTGGGTTTTTTTTGAAAAGTACTTTAAACTTTTTTTTTCAATTCATTGTGGATTATTTCCCAATACTCTTTTATCTTTTACAAGCCCACCACATATAAAAGAACATTCCCTCAACCTTTTTGCATCTCCAGCACTTATCTGATAAAGTCTTCTACATCTTGGCAAGCCTACTTAAGAGTTAAATACCATCTGTAAATCATTTTCAAGTAGTTCTCCTTCAAAGAATAACATAATTTTATTATTATATGCTGCCCATCTGACTGGGTTGCCCCGGACTGGTTGGCTTCCAGCAAAATATAAAAACACAGAAATCCTCAACCTTTAAAAACTTCCCTGTACAGGGCGGCCTTCTGATGTCTTCTAAAAGTCAAATACTTGTTTGACATCTGATAGGAGGGTGCTTCACAGGGAGAATGCCCCGTGGAATGTCCTCCAGTCAGATATCAAGGAAATGAACAACTATCTGAAAGCAGCCCTGTATAGGAAAGTTTTTAATCTTTGATTTGAGAAATTATAAAATCTGCTGGGGTTTTATAATTTCACGGAAGCTGCCCAGTGTGGCTGGGGAAACCCAGTCAGATGGGCAGCATTGAAATAATTTTTTACTACTATTACTACTGGGATGCGGGTGGCGCTGTGGGTTAAACCACAGAGCCTAGGACTTGCCGATCAGAAGGTCGGCGGTTCGAATCCCCGTGACGGAGTGAGCTCCTGTTGCTCGGTCCCTGCTCCTGCCAACCTAGCAGTTCGAAAGCACGTCAAAGTGCAAGTAGATAAATAGGTACTGCTCCGTTGGGAAGGTACACAGCGTTTCCGTGCGCTGCTCTGGTTCGCCAGAAGCGGCTTAGTCATGCTGGCCACGTGACCCGGAAGCTGTACGCCGGCTCCCGCAGCCAATAAAGCGAGATGAGCGCCGCGACCTCAGAGTCAGTCACGACTGGACCTAATGGTCAGGGGTCCCTTTACCCTTTACCTTACCACTATTACTACTACTACTATTACTGTGGAGTCCCTCTGCCTGGTTCCCTGTAGCTTCCCTTCTCACAATGAGGGAACCGCCAGAAGACCCTCGGAGCTGGAGCTTAGTGTCCACGTTGAATGACGGGGATGGAGACGCCCATTCAGGTATACTGGGCCGAGACCATTTAAAGGTCAGCACCAACACTTTGAATTGTGCTTGGAAACATACTGGGAGCCAATGTTAATCACCTTGAGAACAGGATGCCAGACTAGATGGGCCTTTGGCCTGATCTCAGATTATTCTTATGTCCTTCTGTTTGGAGAAAGAGCCATTACAGTGGTACCTCGGGTTAAGAACTTGATTCGTTCCGGAGGTCTGTTCTTAACCTGAAACTGTTCTTAACCTGAAGCACCACTTTAGCTAATGGGGCCTCCCGCTGCCGCCACATGATTTCTGTTCTCATCCTGAGGTAAAGTTCTTAACCCGAGGTACTACTTCCGGGTTAGCGGAGTCTGTAACCTGAAGTGTTTGTAACCTGAAGTGTCTGTAACCCGAGGTACCACTGTAGTTAGATTTGAACCAATTTTCAGACATTCACTGCAGCAGTGCATTTTCGTTCCTTGACCTGAAGGTTCCATCACTCACTTAAATTCACTTTTCCTTCCCTTATTTATCACAGGTAACAATAGGCAGGAGAGCGAGGATGAGGCGGAACCTTGGGAAGTATCAGCAAAAAGAGACGAGCGTCTGGAGATGCCCAAGAAAGCTGGAGCTCAGAATTGCCCGGCGACAGAGAAGGGAAACACAGTGGAGAATTGGTGGGGTGATCATGATGGGGATTCTTCTCTGATCCCAGTTCAAAATGAGAAAAACATTGGGAAGAGAGAGTATAAGTGCCCTAAATGTGAGAGCACCTTCAGTAGTGAATTAAACCTGGAGGGACACCGGCGAACTCACACGGGGGAGAAGCCATATACGTGTCTGGAGTGCGGAAAGAGCTTCAACTGGAGCACGAATCTGATTAGACATCAGATAATACACAGAGGGGAGAAACCTTACAAATGCACAGAGTGTCGGAAGAGCTTCAACTGGAGCACGCACCTTATAAGACATCAGAGAATCCACACCGGGGAGAAGCCGTACATATGCCTGGAGTGCGGGAAGAGCTTCAGTTCGAGCACGAGCCTCGCGTACCACCAGAAAACCCACACAGGGGAGAAGCCGTACAAATGCTCAGACTGCACTATGAGCTTCTGCGTCAAATCCAGCCTTATGAGACATCAGAGAATCCACACGGGGGAGAAGCCGTACAGTTGCTTCGACTGCGGGATGAACTTCACGGCCAAGTCGGACCTCACTCTGCACCAGAGAGTCCACACGGGGGAGAAGCCGTACAGATGCTCCGAGTGCGGGAAGAAATTTGGCCGGAGGATAAACCTCACTTCCCATCAGAGAACTCACACGGGGGAGAGACCGTACAAATGCTCAGATTGCGGGAAAAGCTTTCGCAACACGTCACACCTCCTTCGGCACAGGCGGATCCACACGGGAGAGAAGCCTTATAAGTGCCTGGCATGCGGGAAGCAGTTTGGTCGGTGCGAGCAACTCGCTTCCCATCAAAAAATTCACATTGGGGAGAATCCCTGAAAGTGCATGGAAAGTGTTTCAGTCAATATGCTGCCCTCACTTCACATCAGAGAAGTGCGCTCACATAAAACAGTATAAATGGACTCCCCGAGGAGGAGCTGTGTGGGGCTTAATTCTTTGAGTATTATTATTATTATTTATTGAACTTATATACCGCCCTATACCCGGAGGTCTTAGGATGGTTCACATAAAAGATCACAATATATAAAATCAAAGTAAAACCAATAACCCAATAACACACACACACCGCAAAAAAGACCCGCATTTTAAAAGGGTACAGGATTACAGGATGTCGATCAGGTCAGCCAAAGGCCTGGTTAAAAAGGAACGTTTTTGCCTGGCACCTAAAGGTGTATAATGAAGGCGCCAGGTGAATTTTCCTGGGAAGAGCATTCCACAGACAGGGTGCCACTGCAGAGAAGGCCCTGTTTTTGTGTTGCCACCCTCTGGACCTCTCAAGGTGGTGGCACACGAAGGAAGGCCTCAGAAGATGATCTCAGGGTCCGGTTAGGTTCATAGGGAAAGAGGCGGCCCTTGAGGTATTGCGGTCCTGAGCCGTTTAAGGCTTTATAGGTCAAAACCAGCACTTTGAATTGGGTCCGGAAACTAATTGATAGCCAGTGCAGTCAGACCAGGATCAATGTAATATGCTCAAAGTGTCTTGCTCCAGTGAGCAACCTGGCCACTGAATTCTGCACGAGCTGAAGTTTTCAGAGGCAGCCCTACGTATAAGGCATTGCAGTAATCTAACCCTGAGGTTGCCAGAGCAGAGACAACAGTAGTTAGGCTATCCCTGTCCAGATAGGGGCGTAGCTGGGCACCAGCCAAAGCTGATGGAAGGCACTCCAGGCCATCTCGTCTAGGGAACCACACACCAACAGAGCCTCAGTCTTAACTGGATTGAATAGGTGTGGTTAGGATTGTGAAGCAACCTGCGAGAAGAGTCGGTGGAAGAAGATTGGAAGAAATTTAAAGACTATTTACAGAAATATTGCAAAATTAATGAATGTTAGAAGGATGTTGGATTGAAGTTAAGTGGTTTCTTGCTGTATAAGTACAAAAGAATATGGAAAAATTGGTTTTTAATTTGCAAAAATCTAATGTTACAATATATCAAGATTAAGGATTAGGATTAAAAAGGAGGGAAAGGAATTGTTGGATTAACAAATTGAATTGGAATACAAAAGAGGGAGGTATGAGGAGGTCCGGGAAACAAGTAAACGTAAAAGAAGTGAGGAAAATATGGAATTGTTTTTAACTGTTTTTTCTTTTTTTTCTACTTTGTATTTTTCCTTTTTATTGTTAATTTTTTATTAATGTGACTTTTTTTTTCTTTGAAACTTTAATAAATATTATATTTTTTAAAAAAAAGATATTGTGAAGCAACCTGCGGGGCCGTCAGAGTCTTAGCAAAACGGACCGGCTGTCCCTTGATGGGACCAGCCTTTGGAATGTGACCCCCTTTGGATTTTTTTTGGAGGAAGGACAAGACACGAGGTGGGCGTTTTTGCAAAATCACCAGGGGCTGAAAGCACTTAGCTGGAGTTGGTCAAAACAGCGTAGGATTTGGGAATCTGACACAGGATTTGTGGCTCTTCTCCCTGTTTTCAGAAACCGCCTTCTTTCCAGTATGGTCTCTTTGTATTTTTGTAAATAAACAATGTCTAGAGCAGGGGTCAGCAAACTTTTTCAGTAGGGGGCCTGTCCCCTGTCCCTCAAACCTTGTGGGGGCCAGACTATATTTTGAAAAAATAAATAATGAACGAATTCCTATGCCCCACAGATAACCCAGAGGTGTATTTTAAATAAAAGCACACATTCTGCTCTCGTAAAAACACCAGGCAGACCCCACAAATAACCCGGAGATGCATTTTAAATAAAAGGACACATTCTACTCATGTAAAAACACGCTCGTAACCCACAGCATGCGTAACCAGAAGGGTTCGTAACCAGAGGTACCACTGTACTGGACTAAATCTAGCAGCCAGGCTAAATTTTTGCCCTTCTCCCACAAACTGTGATTCTTCTTTTAGATAATAGTTACTGGTTTCGTTCATGATGAACTGCTTTTTATTTTATTTTACGGTGTTTCCACTTCTTTTCTCACATTGCACTGTGATTTGTTAATTTCTTTGATGTAGATAAATGTGGTAACTTCTCAATGCATAAATAAAAATCTCCAAAAGTCCGAATGTCACCTTAAGTTATAAGAGGAAGGGGCGTGGCTCAGCAACAAAGCACCTGCATTGCATGCAGAGGGTTCTGGGTTCAATCCTGGCATCTCTAGGTAGGACTGCCCTGACTAAAACCCTGAAGACCCACCACTGGCCAGTGTAGCTAAAAGCCCAGCGTCTGTGAGGATGGCAGAGCTTTTCAGGACTCCCAACCCCCCGGCCCTCAGAGCTGGATCTCAGTGCCCAGGCTGAAGGATGGAGGTGAAGATGTTCCTGCAGGTATACTGGACCGAGGCCGTTTAGGGCTTTCAAGGTCAGCACCAACACTTTGAATTGTGCTCGGAAACGTACTGGGAACCAATGCAGGTCTTTCAGGACCGGTGTTATATGGTCTCACTGCAAGGTTGTTAGGAGGATAAAATTGGGGGTGGGGGTGGGGTGCAGACTGTGTATGCTATTCTAGCTCCTTGCAGGAAAGGCAGGAGATAAATTGAAGAAGAAGAAGAAGAAGAAGAAAGGAAGTTGCACTGCTCCAATGTCTGGGATCACTAATTGAGTGCACGATTGGAAAAGGCTAAATAATTGGGAATTGGAGTCCCAGTGTTTCAGAGATATATGGTTTTTTAAATAAAATTATTATTATTATTATTATTATTATTATTATTCAATGAAAACCAACAATACAATAATAAAAGAAACCTCATGATAATAATGGAATGATAAAGGGGATTTTATTAACAGCCGAACTTAAAACTTTTTTTAAAAAATCATACTTCCCACACAAAGTAAGACTTGAATTGAAAGGGCATGAAATTTATTTCTTGGGTCACAGGTTTCTAAAAACTCATCAATTCCTAATAAGGTGTCCGATGAGCAGCTGTCAAAAAAAGGGCGAGGAGAGAAGTAGTCTAGAAGTAGCCTGGAAGTCCTTTCTCCGGGCAAGAGATGTACCGCTCTGCAGTTTTTTTTTAAAGTCTATGAGTCAGTTATGAAAGAGCCATTTCTGGGAAATCAGCTGACTATAAAGAAAGGAGAGTTTCGACTTCGGGGCTTGGGCGCTAGAGGGCGCTGCGAGACAAAAAAACGTAAAAATAGCAGCTGCGTAACCAAAATAGTTCAGATTTAGTAGAATAGGAGTAGCAACTCGAGAGAAGCGAATAAACTTGTACAGTATATAAATATGGAGGAAAAATATATGTAGAAGTTTCTCTCTCCCTTGCTCGTATTATTGGGAGGTTTTTAATGCTTGATGTTTTAATTATGTATTTACATATCTTGTAAGCTGCCCAGAGTGGCTGGGGAAACCCAGCCAGAGGGATGGGGTATTATTAATAATAATAATTAATAGTAATAATAACGCTGCTTAGGTGCCAAAAGCATAAGGCTATATTGCTATTCACTATATTATAGCCCCTCTTCTACAATAAATACCCAAATCAGCTTACAGAATAAGAAAGAACCTGAATACGTAAATTCATGAGTATGAGCAACAAAATAATATGCTCTTGACAATATTTCTATTCCACTTTTCCAGCAACAAATGCTGAGATCAAATTGGTTCACAATATTTAAAAACAGCAAGCATTGCAATCCTTATGCCATCAAACACAAGAACATATAAATAACGCAGCGTATTCTTCAAAATGATTGACACAATTCAATAAAGTCATCGTAATTCAAAATATCAGACGATATCAGAAATCATCAAAATGATTAATACAATTAATTAAAGATCATAATTCAAAATAGCAGACTTCAGAAATCATCAAAATGATCAATACAATTCAATAAAGTCACCATGATTCAAGATACAATCAGACGATATCAGAAATCATCAAAATGATCAATATAATTGAATAAAGTCATTGTAATACAAAATATCAGAATGAGCTGCTGAGCACCAGCCCAGTGGCAGAGAACATCTTCTGTCTGGGAAGACCATATCTTAATCTCAGATTATCCTCAGGTTTTAGAGTGATGTACGTCCGTTCTGGAATCAGCAAAACTCCCACAAATATCCCCCAAACTTTGGACGGCCCAAATCCTTCAGGATGTGCTCATCCGCAGAGGCATCCCAGGTGGCTAGTGCCGTGTAGTGGTTAAGAGTTGTGGATTTGTATCCAGGAGACCTGGGTTCGAATCTTCACTAGGCCGTGAAGCGTCTCAGCCTTACCTACCTCACAGGGTTATTGTGGGAATTAAATGATGGGACAAACAGCCAAGTTGCTGTCTCCCCATCAAAGCAAGAGCTGTTTGACAGGGCGCTGATCTCCCTGGGGAGGTGGTCTTGGGCGCTTGAGCTGAGATTCCTGCATTGCAGGGGGGGTTGGACTAGATGACCCTGGGACATAGCTGTCAACTTTTTCTTGCGAGGAATCCTATTCGGAATAAGGGAATTTCCCTTAAAAAAAGGGAAAACGTTGACAGCTATGCCCTGGGACCCTTCCAACTCTGCAATCCTAGGATTCTGCATTCTGCTTTGCCGCAGCTTCTCCCCTTGCCTTCCTACACCCTCCCTGCAGGGCAGGACAGGAAGAGCTGCCAGGGGGAGGGAGAGAGGGAGGCGGCGATTCCCAGCGAGGAGCTGCAATTACAGTACAGTGGTACCTCGGGTTAAGAACTTAATTCGTTCCGGAGGTTCTTACAGTGGTACCTCGGGTTACATACGCTTCAGGTTACAGACTCCACTACCCCAGAAATAGTACCTCGGGTTAAGAACTTTGCTTCAGGATGAGAACAGAAACCGTGCTCCGGCGGCAGCAGGAGGCCCCATTAGCTAAAGTGGTGCTTCAGGTTAAGAACAGTTTCAGGTTAAGGATGGAACTCCGGAACGAATTAAGTACTTAACCCGAGGTACCACTGTACTTAACCTGAAACTGTTCTTAACCTGAGGTACCACTTTAGCTAATGGGGCCTCCTGCTGCTGCTGCGCCGCCGAAGCCCGATATCTGTCCTCATCGTGAAGCAAAGTTCTTAAGCCGAGGTACTATTTCTGGGTTAGCTGAGTCTGTAACCTGAAGCGTCTGTAACCTGAAGCGTCTGTAACCTGAAGCGTCTGTAACCCGACGTACCACTGTACAGTACTTTCTCTTTGCCTCGCCAACCTCGCTCCCAAACTTGCGCCTCGAGGTCTGCCTGGCGACCGATGCTGCATCTGCGCTCCGATTTCTGATTGGCGGAATATTTTCCCCTCGCCCAATCCCGGCTCGCGCTGCTGCTGGTTCCGCGGGCGGGGCAGAGAGCGCGTCTCAGAACGACGGAGGAAGAACGACTTCGTTACAGAAGGACAAAAACCGAACGCCGTTTCGGGGGGAGATGGGGGTCCTCCTCCTCCGCCGGCCCCCCCTGATCCTGCGGACGGCTGCCCACCTGCTCCTGCTGCTGCTGCTGGACTGCGCAGGTCAGTACCTCGGGGGTCAAACTGCGGGGTGAGGACCTTTGCCAGGGCCGAGGCGGGGTGGGAGTTCCCAGGCCGGACTGGATCCGGAGTCCGGATCCCTTCGTAAATATCCTTCCCCGCCCCCTGGGGATTTTGTGCGCTTTGTATGCCGCCTGGGGCAGAGACCGCAGCCTTACTCGGCTCGCAGGATTGATGGCGTGGGAAGCGGCTCGCCCCTCGCGCGTGCTGCTGCTTCCCGGAATCCGGTGGATACGTGAGAATCATAGCACGGAAGAAGAGATGGAAGGGACCCTGAGGGTCATCCAGTCCAACCCCCGTGACGGAGGGATCCCCTGGCCCGCAATTGCCAAATACTCTGCTGGTCGATCGTTTCTTTTCTCTGGCGCGTTCGTCACCCGCTTGTGCCGCTTCCCCCCCTCAAATTCCGCTTGCGCTGCCTGGCCCCAAAAAGTAGATTTTGAAAGTTTAGAAAAGCTTTTGCTTATACAGTATTATTATTATTTACTGAATTGTTTACTGAATTTCTATACTGCCCTCTACCCGATGATTACGGGGCAGTTTAAAATATATAAACATAACAAGAGAAAACAAAATAGCAAACAAAACTATTACACACACACACACACACACACACACACACACACGGCCATAGTTTAATCGGTCTAAGGCCTAGTTGAAGAGTACCTTCCCCCCCTGGTGTCTCCCCAGGAGAGCATTCCACAAGTGGGGAGTCACCACAGAAAAGGGAATTATTATTATTATTATTATTATTATTCTGCCACTCAGCCAGAGTTGCACCAGCCACTGTGGGCAGCTTCCAGCAAATGATAAAGCCATAGTAAGCTAGGGTTGCCATATTTCAAAAAATGAACATCTGTTGAGTTTTTTTGGGGGGTGGGGAGCATTGACTGAAGTTGTTGAGCTTTTTTTGAACGATTTTAATATTAAATTAACCAAAATCTACACTTCTGACAGGCTGTCATACGTCCAGGATATTTCAGCATTTTCCGCCTGGATGCTGAATACCGGCTATATTTGGGAAATTCTGGACATATGGCAACCCTGGTAAAACATTACACATTACAGGGCTGCCTTCAAATGTCTTCTAAACGTTATATAGTTACTCATCTCCTTGACATCTGATGGGAGGGTGTTCCACAGGGAGGGCATAGCTGTCAACGTTTCCCTTTTTTTAAGGGAAATTCCCTTATTCCGAATAGGATTCCTTGCAAGAAAAGGGAAAAATTGTCAGCTTTGCAGGGAGGGTGCCACCACCGAAAAGGCCTGGTTCCCTGTAACCTCACAGTGAGGTTACAGTGAGGGAACCACCAGAAGGCCCTCGGAGCTGGACCTCAGTGTCCGGGCTGAACGATGGAAGTGGAGATGCTACTTCAGGTATGCTGGACCAAGGCCGTTTAGGGCTTTAAAGGTCAGCACCAACACTTTGAATTGTGCTCGGAAACGTACCGGGAGCCAATGTAGGTCTTTCAAGGCCAGTGTTATGTGGTCCCGGCGGCCGCTCCCATTCAACAGTCTAGCTGCTGCACCTTCAGCATGTAGATATGTAGACAGCAGCACCTTCAGGGCATGTAGGTATCCCTTGCTGATTCCAGTATCCATCCGGTCAAGACCAGATAGTCCTTAAGCTTTTAATGTTTGATGGATTACTGTATTTGAATATTTTGTTGGAAGCCGCCCAGAGTGGCTGGGGAAGCCCAGCCAGATGGGTGGGGTATAAATAATAAAGTATTATTATTATTATTATTAACAACGACTAAACCTGCCTCCTCGGTAATGACGTGATCTGGTCTCCTCCCTCCCATGATCACTGAGATTGGTTGTCGCAGTCCATCCCCCCCTGTGGAACCTGCCCCAGCCATTTAGTTGGCTGGGATCCACTCCCAAGCAGCCCTGAACCCCCACCGTTCTACCTGGACACGGAGGTTCAGCTCTGAGGGCCTTCTGGGGTTCCCTCACTGCGAGAAGCCAAGTTACAGGGAACAAGGCAGAGGGTCTTCTCGGTGGTGGCACCCGCCCTGTGGGATGCCCTCCCACCAGATGTCAAAGAGAAGAACAACTACCAGACTTTTAGAAGACATCTGAAGGCAGCCCTGTTCAGGGAAGCTTTTAATGTTGGATGGATTACTGTATTTTAATATTTTGTTGGAAGCCACCCAGAGTGGCTGGGGAAGCCCAGCCAGATGGGCGGGGTATAAATAATAAATTATTATTATTATTATTAGTCCCATGATGGGGCCTGAATCCTGATTGGAAGAGGTCCAAATAGTCCGCATCCTCCAGGCATCCCTGGAGTGGGAAGAGAGAGAGGTTTTGAGGTTAGGTACGATTCACCTGCCCTTTACAGCTTTGCAGAAGAATATTACCTACAGTGGTACCTCGGGTTAAGAACTTAATTCGTTCTGGAGGTCCATTCTTAACCTAAAACTGTTCTTAACCTGAGGTACCACTTTAGCTAATGGGGCCTCCTGCTGCCGCCGTGCGATTTCTGTTCTCATCCTGAGGTAAAGTTCTTAACCCAAGGTACTATTTCTGGGTTAGCAGAGTCTGTAACCTGAAGCATCTGTAACTCAAGGTTGCCTTGACCACTGTACTTGTGTTTGATCCTTATTTTCAAGTGGTTGTGACTCCACCCCCCAAAAAATGTCTTTTGCTTTTATTGCAAATAGTTTTGGCAATTGTTTAATGGAAAACTGGTATAAATATTTTACTATTATTATTATTATTATTCAGCTTATTTGTTGCTTGTTACACATCAAAGTCTGTAAGTGACCCAGAAAACTTTAAAAAACCTAAAGGCATAAAATTGGTTAATTCTCTGTTAAAGTCACTCAATATCTGCCATGGGGAGCAGCCCCCTTACTGTCAGTTGCTTGGGAGAGATGGGGAGGGGAGCAACTGGCCTTAGGTTCCTCCTCTTGGGGGACGGGGGACTGGCTTTGTGGCTTTTGGGGACCCACACGCAACTCCCAGAGGCAGCTTTCTTCTGAGCTCTTGTGATTTGAACTGGGAGAAAGTTCTCCAGGAGGTTCAGGCATCAGAATTGGGTCTCACTTCATCTTTCGTGAAAGGAAACTGAGCTGGAGGGAAATAACAGAAAGGAAATGTTTGTCTTGTGGGTTTCCGACTCCACCCACTCAAACCATCCAGCCTCTGTATTTCAACTCCTTAGATGTTTTGAGAAGAGTCATACAGTAGTACCTCGGGTTACAGACGCTTCAGGTTACAGACTCCGCTAACCCAGAAATAGTACCTCAGGTTAAGAACTTTACCTCAGGATGAGAACAGAAATCGCATAGCAGCAGTGGGAGGCCCCATTAGCTAAAGTGGTGCTTCAGGTTAAGAACGGTTTCAGGTTGAATGGACCTCCAGAACGAAATAAGTTCTTAACCCGAGATACCACTGTATTTTGATTGTGTATTTCGTGATTTTATGTGATTTTATCCTGTGGGGTTGAAGTTGTCTACTGGGGCAGGGCGATATATCGATACATCGTCCAAAACGGGTTTTTAAGCCTATATCATGATACCGATTTCATAATTCTAGACCTGTCACGAATCATGGAGTGGGTGGGTGCTGTGCAAAAATTGCAATGCAGGGGAAACCATGAAGGCAGCTGTTGCCTCTCCTTAGCTCCATCCTTATTTAAGACATCACAATATATTGGTATATCGTGACGTTTAGCGGGTGATGTGTCGCAATGTTGAAAACCAGATGTCACCCAGTCCTATTGTCTGCAGCTCATCGTCGCAGTTCCCACAGGGGTGGGGATGCGAGAAGCCTTTGCTAAGACCCCCTTGCCCCCGAATCTCTCGCCAGGCCTTTGTCAGACATTGCTGTGGGGCTCTGATGATCTCGTGGGGTGGGGTCTAGGCAGAGACCAGAGGTCCTAACTTGGTGCCCCCAAATGTGAGGCCATTGTTGGTATAAAATACAGTACTGAGATAGTCTGAGTCTTCTATCCTGTCCTTCATCCCAGGTGAGAATTGAGGGGTGTCAGTTTTTTCTTGGGGGTGTGGAGTGGCCGTGGGGCTGATCGTGTATTCTGTAGGGCCGTGCCACTTGAGAATTTGCTGCAGCTCTCCACCACGGAGCCTTGTTCTCTTCCCGAAGGCACAAAGGGGGCACATGTCCCTTCCATGCTCAGTGTGCATTCACGGCAAGGTGTGGAGAGGGAGGAGGAGAGCAGGATGGTTGTGAACAAGGCAAAAGTTAATCCATCTTCCTTGATGGGGATGATCTGTGTTGGCTCCTTGCGCCATCTAATGGCTAGTGTTGGTATAGCCTATGAGAAAGGGAGCTGCGCTGTCGAGTAATTGATAATTAACGGTACAGTGGTACCTCGGCTTTCAAACTTAATCCGTTGCAGAAGTCTGTTCTTAAACCAAAACTGTTCTTAAACCGAGGCGTGCTTTCCCTAATGAGGCCTCCCGCCGCCGGTGCCCTTAGACCATTCAGCTTCCATTCGTAGACCGAGGTAAAGTTCTCCAACCAAGACACTATTTCTGGTTTTGCGGAGTTTGTAAACCAAATCGTTCTTAAACAGGACTGTTCTTAAAGCGAGGTGCCACTGTATTTATTCCACAGAATACTGTATTTATTCCACTGTATTTATTCCACAGAATCATAGAGTGGGAAGGGACCCTGAGGGTCATCAGCAATCCAGGAATATTTTGCCCACCGTGGGGCTCGAACCCATAACACTCTGGTTCAAAGCCCATCTCAGCCGTGAACTCCCCAGGGGAAGGGAATGAATTATAGGCGTTTGGGAGCACACCTTCCTGTCCTCCCCAGTTCTGTCCACGATGAGGAGTGACGGGGGCATTGCTGCAGGGTGTCAAGGAAATAAACAACCATCTGACTTTTAGAAGACATCAGAAGGCAGTCCTGTATAGAGAAGTTTTTAATGTTTGATGTTTTACTGTGGTTTTACAAGCCACCAAAAGTGGCTGGAGCAACCCAGTCAGATGGGCAGCATGTCAATTTACTATTGTTGTTGTTGTTCTTGCTGCCTCAGCCTCACCTGCTTCATTTATAGAGCTGCCCCATAGCAGAAGGACTCTAGGAAGCCATTGTGGTTAGAGAGTTGGGACGAGGACCTTGGAGATCGGGGTTCAAATCCCCACTCCACCATGAAGCTCACTGGGTGACCTTGGAGTCAGTCACAGCCTCTTCACCTACCTCACAGGGTTGTGGTAGGGATTAACTGAGGAGGGGGGTGAAAAAGGTGGGATCTAAATGCAGTGAATAAGCTCCTCTGCTGAGCCGCTTAAGAAGTCTGGAGGGGCCAGCCAGATGGAGATGTCAGTCACCAGCTTAGCATCCACAGATCTCCATGTGTGCTCACAGTTGGACCCGTGCCAGTTGCAAAACATGCCTGGCGGATTTCAAACACTGATTGATGGGTATGTTGTGTCCTGGAATTAAAAACATGAGGCTTGGTGCAGATTCAACTTCTGCCCTTTCCCCCTTTCTTCCCAATCCCTTTGGGGCAGAAACTTGACAGTGCGGAGCCTTTTAGTCGGTTGCCCCTCAAAGGGAAACAGAGATAGATTGTGGGGTCTGGCCAGGTGTGTGTGTGTGTGTGTTGTTGTTTCCAGGTGTATCTACAGAGCACCTTTGCCTGCCCCCTCTTTTTTATTCCCTTTGAGGCAGCCTCTGGGAGCTGCAAAGATTTATCCCCCTTCCCCTCATTATGCCACAACACTCGAACTTTCTGTTCCCATGGCTCCTGATTCCCCCCAAATTTTGTTTTTTTACACTCTATCCCTCAATTCTCTCCCAGTTTATTTGCAATTTTTCCATGGAAATGGAATATACCTCAAATAGGGGAATGGCAGTGGGGAAGCTATGAAATGTTTTGTTTTCATTCTACAGAGCATAGGTGCTGGGAAGGGGCATTGCTACAAACCCACTGCCATATACACCTCAGATCTTCCGTTTGGGGGCTGCTGGATTGTCAGAGAGCCCTCAGCTGCAGGACCCCTAACGCTGCCCCCTTTTCTCTTCCTTTCCAGGCTCCACTTCTCACTCCCTGCGCTACTTCTACACAGCCGTGTCTGAGCCTGGCCAGGGGCTGCCCCAGTTCATTTCTGTGGGGTACGTGGATGACCAGCAATTTGTTCAGTACGACAGTGACACCCAGGAGGCGCTGCCTCAGGTCCCCTGGATGAGGAAGGTGGAAAAGGAGGATCCTCTGTACTGGAAGAAGATCACACATCTCTTTCGGGACACTGAGAGAGTGCTGGGGTGGAACCTGGCAACCCTGCAGACTCGCTTCAACCAGAGCGGAGGTGAGTGGAAGGCAGGAGAGGCAGAGACCCCCAATATTCATCTCTCTGATGCTCAGGAGGCAAAGGGAGATGCCTGCTGATACGAAAGGGGCGAGGTGATGGGCGGGATGTTCTCCAACCTGGGCAGAAGTCCTTCCCTCTCCCCTTCCAATCTGTACCTGCACTTTCTCAAAAAGATATATTTTTACTCTGCAAAAAGGCACTTGGGAATGAGCTGCAGGTCGGTTATATGATAATGGTCATCATCCTGATTTGTGAAATTGACCGATTGGGCCAGTCACTGTGCAAACCCCTGGCGAAGAGAAAAGGAGAATTGCTCTTTCCTTGAGAACCCATGCTGAGGCAGGGATCTTGTTTTTTGGAGGAACTGAGAAGGCGCTGTCCAGAGTGCTGGTCAATGAGGCCCAGCTGCTTTCTGATTACAGTTGTACCCTGGCATCCGTTCCAGAAGTCCGTTTGACTTCCAAAACGTTCGGAAACCAAAGCCAATTGGAAGCTGCAGAAGCCTCATCGGACATTCGGCTTCCAAAATAATGTTCGGAAACCAGAACACTCACTTCTGGGTTTTGATCCTTTGGGATCTGGAACATTCTACTCCCAAGACATTCGGGAGCTGAGGTACAACTGTACGGAGTTTACCAGGAATTGCCAACATGTGTTCAAGCAAGATAAAACTTTGCTTCCCCTGAGGGGAAAAAAACAAAACCTCTAACATTCTCAGGGTGCTAAATTTTGTGTCATATTCTGGAAAACAAACACAATTCTGGAACTGTTGTGTGATGGTTCAAAGTGAAAAGCAATGTATATTTGGCATTTAGAAACTGCAACAAAGATTTAACATAGTGGGGGGCGAGGCGGGAAAGATGGTGACTGCGATACAGCAGCGGTGCGAAAGCATCCTATTGCTACCTACATAAGCTTCGCTGTTGAAAGGAAATTACTCAGTGTAATAATAGTAATAGTAATAATAATAATAATATATTTTATTATTTAAAGCCCACCCATCTGGTTGGGTTTCCCCAGCCACTCCGGGCGGCTCCCAAAAGAATATTAAAAACACGATAAAACATCAAACATTAAAAACTTCCCTAAACAAGTTTTTACTCTGCTAACTATACGTCGGAATCTGCTCTGGATCAATATGAGTAGAATTTGTGACAGGATAAGAGGCATGAGGGGACGCGGGTGGCGCTGTGGGTAAAACCTCAGTGCCTAGGGCTTGCCGATCGTATGGTCGGCGGTTCGAATCCCCGCGGCGGGGTGAACTCCCGTCTTTCGGTCCCAGCTCCTGCCCACCTAGCAGTTCGAAAGCACCCTTAAGTGCAAGTAGATAAATAGGTACCGCTTTATAGCAGGAAGGTAAACGGCGTTTCCGTGTGCTGTGCTGGTGCTGGCTCGCCAGAGCAGCTTCGTCACGCTGGCCACGTGACCCGGAAGTGTCTCCGGACAGCGTTGGCCCCCGGCCTCTTAAGCGAGATGGGCGCACAACCCTAGAGTCGGACACGACTGGCCCGTACGGGCAGGGGTCCCTTTACCTTTACCTAAGAGGCATGAAGCGGTCTGGTGGACAGCTTTGTTGGAAAAACTAACATGGAAACTGTGGGTAGCAACAGGCCAAGAGGAAAACGATAACTTCTACACAGTATGGGGCGATTTTATTGGACACACAGGTAGTGAGGCCCATGGGGGGGGGGTTGGGTTTGGGGGGGTAACACAGTATGGAATTCATGAAGTATACATTTTAACCTTTCAAACTGTCGTGGACATTATGTACTCCTTCCCTTTAATGAGATTAGAGTACATGATGTGTTGTTTTATGATTTTTAAGGTTATGAGAACGTTTGAAATATATGCTGTGACAAATAAACTATTTTTAAATGGGGGGAAAAGAAAAATAAACTGCAAAATAACCCCCGACCCCAAACAAACTCCAAGATCGTAATCCAACACAGGAGTAAGTAAAAGAAGACTCATATATTTCAGTGAAATCAGGACTGCAATTCTATACACGGATATACCTGGAGTAAGTCTCACTGGTGTGGTGTTTACTCAGTGGTGTTTACTTCTGGTTAGACACAAATATAATTGCACTGTAAACTACTCAGTTTTGTGTTGGATTATGGTTAAAACCGAGTGGGGGGGGGAGAGATATAACATCCATTTCTTTCCATTTCCCCCTCATGGTTCACATGCTGCCTCTGACTCTTCCCTGAACCTGAGGTTGTTTCCCTGAAACTGAGAGTGTTTAAATATATATATATATCTCCTGTTCTGAACTTCTCTTTGCGTTCCTGGTCTGGTTCTGTCTCTTGCCTGGCATCACATGTCTCTAGGCGCCAAGCGAAAACATCCCTATTCTCCCAGGCCTTTGGCTAATTCAACAATCTATGTTCTTTTAAACTGGAAGGGGCTGTGTGCTATTATTATTATTTATTTGTTTGCCTCTATGGTATATATTTTGGTGGTGTTCTCTTGTAAACCATCCTGTGGTCTTTGGATGAAGGCCGGTATAGAACTTGAATAAAGGAATAATAATCTCTCTCTTGTGCACACACAACTCTTGACATCTCGGGTGTCTCCTTCCACCCCCACCCCCAGGTTTTCCCTCCCTGCAGGAGATGCTTGGTTGTGAGCTGAGGTCAGACGGGCGCAAAGAAGGATATTGGCAGTTTGGCTACAACGGGAGGGACTTCATCGCCTTTGACAAGGAGACCCTCACCTGGACAGCAGCTGATACAGGGGCCAAAGTGACCAAGAGGAAGTGGGATCCTATCGTGGAGCAGAACAAGTACCGGAGGGCCTACCTGGAGGAGACTTGCATTGAGTGGCTGCAGAGATACCTGGAGTACGGGAAGGAGACTCTGCTGAGGACAGGTGAGGGGGGCAGTGGGGAGGGGAGGGGGGCTCAGTGGGGCAGTTTCCCTACAAATTCCCCTCCCCCCCTTAACAGTCTTCCTTTCTGGACCAAACAGCAAACACTCTTCTTGGTGGTGATGGGAGAAGAAAGGGGGTCACTTCAGAGTATGAGGGGGGGAGATGCTTAAAAACAGCCCCACATGCCCCTTTGGCTAGAATAAGGGATGGCAAAAGACAAATGGGGGGAGGAGACACAGAAGCAGCAGGGAAGTGGTCAGTAAAGCAAAATGCATTTTAAATTAAATTTAAAAAGAAAATTGAAATGGACAGATTTGAGGGGAGATACAGAAAACCTCTTGCCTTTAAAGTCTTTAAAAGTAGATAAATTAACATTTTTTAAAAAAATAGAAAATGTGTGGGGAGTCCATAAAATATGTCTTAGAGGGCAGGATGCAGCCCCCTCACTAAGACTGTAGGTTAGCAGAAAACCTGCACATGGTGAGAGAGTATGGGAATTCCCACTTCTTATATTTTTTATTTGTGAGGAATTTCCTTTTTCCCATGGAGAACATTCAGAAGTGTCATCTTCCCCAACCCCATGCCTTGAAATGGTACAGTCCACTCTTCTGCCTTCAGGAATCTGTCACGGGGCCAATCACATGATCCAGTGTTTTGACTGGGATGGACCATTGCACAATGGGGGGGGGGGGCTGGGAATCCAGCCCATGGGAGAATCCTGCCCTATATTGAGAGCGAAATCCGTCATGCTATGTAGGAAGCAGTGCCTGACCAAGGACCTCCCTCTGTGTCCTCCAGGACTGGGAGGTTAAGGTCCAGCGGAGGCTGAGGGCACCTAGACCAGGTGGGGCTCCTGGGAGGTCACATGACCAACCCCCAGGTCCCCATCTCCTTCCTTGAAAAGGAAACATTGGACACTTGAGCAGAACAGTTGTCCAAGTCCATAGCACCTTCAGAAGGTGTCCCTGCTTACTCCCATGTAAGCGGACACAGGATGGCATCCTACAACAGATTTAGAAATTCCGAGTGTATCTATATCATTTTGCTTGGTCTATGTTCCAGACCGAGGAGTTTAGTTGGTATCCCTGAAGTTGCCTCTCGCCATGATGGATCTGCTGCAGATGGGGAGGGAAAGTCAGACCAGCCAAGAGAAGCATGAGGGGTCCTGTCTCTCTCTTACTAAGTTTTGTTAAAATGAAAATTAATTAAAAATGAAATAATTCTAGCACCCTCCCTTTTTGAGGCCTGACACATGCGTATTAGCCGTGCTTAGAGAGATCTGAGCAAATTCATCTATGGGGGCCTGGTGATAATTCACCCCAGAGACACTGAGCATATTTGTTGAGGTTGAGGATTTCACCCCAAAAGCCACATTGAAGCGTTTTCAAGGGTGACAACGTGCAAAGGAGGCTGGGACTCATCCTCTTTAGGATGGATGTTCTCTTGAGGACAGGTGAGGGGTTGGATGGGGTGGGAGGTCTTGTTTCGGGTTTCTGTGGGGAAAGGGCTTGAACTTCCTTCCTTCCTGCTCCCCCCAGCAGAGTCACATCCCCTCCTAGACCGAGTTTCCAGTCCAGGCACTGCAAAGCGGGTGGGATCCTGGAACAGCCCCTTCAGACAACAGCTACCCAGGGAGCCAGTTTTTAAACAAGGGTTACATTCTGCAAATCGTGCCTAAAGCCAAAATTGTGTATATTGGATTCAAGGGCGATTGGGTTGCCAAAGTCCTTCTTCCCCAGACACCCACCTCCTCTTTTGGGTTTTTAGAATATTTTTGGCAAGTGCGTAAAGCTGTATGTGCACAAGTTAAATGTGCGCAAGTTGCTGGCTTACTGGGCCTCCTGGTCTGCCCTTTCCACTCCAGGGGAGGCTGCCGTGGAGAAGGGAGATGGGCCCTTTCCAACCTCAAGGGACCCTTTCAGGGCAGGAGGGAGAACTAGAAAGGAGCTCTGTCTTTCCCAGGGCTGTTGGCTTTGTTCACTAACTATTGGGCTGAAAAGTCCCAGAGAACAGAGAGCAGCGAGTCCAGCATTTCTTCCCCCTCAAGGGGGGAACCAGGATCAGCTCCCTGGGACAATATTGGAACCACAAGTAGTGTTAGAGCTTTTCAAGATAATAAATTAATTTGTGCCTAGTCCTACCTCCCAAAGGAGTCTGCTTTGGCAAACAAAGGATAAAACATCTGAAAACAGTTCCACAGTAGACACTGACTGGGGAAGATGCCAAGGCAGGTTGAGGAATCCCATTTATTCACAGTTATTTTTAATTTATGCAGATGTGAGTTTCTGACTAGGTTGCCACTTGGGTCCCTGCTCCTCTGCTCTTAAAAAATACAGGATTCCTCCAGGCTCCCGTTGTGGATGTCTCTCTGTTAACCCCAATGCGGCCCTTTTGCAGAGGCTCCGGTGGTGAAGGTGACCAGGAAGGCAGACTATGACGGCCTGGAGACCCTCGTTTGCCAAGTCCACGGCTTCTACCCCAAGGAGATTGAGGCCAACTGGGTGAAGGACGGGGAGGTCTGGCAGGAGGGCACCCTCCGAGGATTGGTCGCCCCCAACTCGGACGGGACCTACTATCTCTTGCTCAGTGTCCAGATCGACCCCGAGGAGAGGGAGCGCTTCCGGTGCCGCGTGGAGCATGACAGCCTGGAGAAGCCTCTGGACGTGGCCTGGGAGAAGGAGCCTGGTGAGAGACAGAGAGACAGACAGACAGACAGGAGGGGAAGGGGTGGGCTCTGGGAGGGGGATTTCCACCCAGCTCCTCCCTTCAGCAGCAGCACAGCTCAGATGGGGAACCCCAGTTGGATCCTGTCTGTGTCTCTGGAGGGAAGCAGCTGAATCGGAATCTGTAGATTTCGACAGAGATGCAGCCTTTTCTGGCAAGTGTCTCATAGGCCTTAAACTCAAATTGGTTTTTGTAGGTAAATACTAGCCGTCACCTTTTTGCCTTTAAGCCCAAGTAGTTGTGATGTCACAGAATGTGGGCAGATATTTTACTTCTTCAAAATCAAATGTGTCAGCAGAGTATGTGGAATAAAACTTTATTATGACACCCATCTGTGGAAAGAGACCCCCCCTTTCCAATTTCATTTCTGTAGGTACTTGTGGTGACCTTGGGAGGAGATGAGGGTTGTTTGGGAGGCATTTTTGGTTATCCTCCCTCTTGGGATCTCCTTGCATTTCACAAGCTCTGGTGTTAGGGTTGCCATATTTTGATGAGCAGAAAAGAGGACACATTTGGCAACTTCTACTTTTAACTTCGAATTTGTATGACGACTCTCATTTTAAATACCTCTGTTATTTGTAGGCTATAGAGGCTGTGATATATTGCTAGTAGCAATGTTCTTAACTTTCAAAAACAAAATAACAATATTGTTATTTATTTATTTATTTATTTATTTGCTTTAATTAATTATCCTCTATTTAAAACCTGGGCATTTTGCTTTATTTTAAAAATCTGTCTCGACAGATATTTTAAGTCTGAAAAAGGAGGGCATGTTTAGGAAAAACTGGACATATGGCAACCCTACACAAGATGCTTTTTCCTAAGGGTTTGTGCCTTCCCTGAAGGCCTGTAATGCTGTGCTCTGGGGGGTCTCAGAGGGGAGGGAATCCCTTCCTCTCAGGGTCAGGACAGAGAAGGCTGAAGCGCCTGAGCAGGAGGAGATCTGCTTTTAAGTCTGGAGTCTGTGATGAAACAGGTGTGCCTGTCTACTGTCTTCCTTAAATGAATTGATTATTTTGAAGACCTCTAATGCTGGATTCTGGTGGGGGGAAAACTCCCTTGTGTTGGGGCCACTACAGAGAGGACCTTGGCATGTTAGGAGAGAGTTGAGGAAGAAAGAGTGCCAGGCTCATAGCTCAGCACCTCCACTCAAATCTCCTGCTTGAGGCCTTGGGGAGCTGCTGCCGCCAGTCTGAATAAAAATGTCTCTTGTCCCCTTTTAGTCAACCTGGGGCTCATTGTGGGAGCCATTGTGGGTGTCATGGCTGCCATCCTGCTGGTCTCTGGGACCATCATCTTCTTCATCCGCAGTAAGTAAACCCTGGATGCGTTTGCTGCCTCTCCTGTGTCCTTCTGTCTCGGCCTCCGACTGGGAATGTCCTGGTGGAGCTTCCTGGCAATTGTCGCTGGCATCCCTACAGAGACCCCTCCCCATAAAGCACCCTTTGAACCAAAAGTAATGCTGGCCATTGTTTGCGCTCACTCTGTGCTCAGGAAATTCAATTTCCACCTGATGTTTTTATTTTATTATGTATTTTGTGCAATCATTTTGTATTTTTATGTTGTGAACCGTCTTCCCATCTTCAGATGAAGGGCGGTATACACATTTAATCAATAAATGAACAAATATTGATCTGGGAGGACGCTGTATTGAACTGAATAGGACGTTCCTCTGAGTAGACATTCCTAGAATTGCAATGTTAAAGTTCATTATCTCTTCCTCCCCCACCCCCCCTTCTCTGGGCAAATTTGAGGATTAGGGGTCTGCTGGGAGTGAAATAATCTGAAAAGGAATGAGCGAAGGGACTGGATAATGTTTCCTTCCAGCCTCTTGGAATTTGTCCACTGCCTGGTTTCCCCATGTTGATTTTCTAATTTAATTTTCTCAATTTTTTCTATTTCTTTGTAACCTGAGTTCCATGAAAAGCTCACCTTCCTTGGAGGTGTTTGGAAGAAACAGCAGGAACATCTGCTGGGAAGGTTTCAGCATTGGAGAGCCAAATAGCCGAAATGGATTTGAGTGGCCTCTGGAGGTCCCTTCCAGCTCTGACCTTCTGCTTTTGTCTCTACAGGGAAACAAAGCAAGAAATTAGCCTACAAAGCAGCCTCAAGTGAGTGACTCCTCCCTTCTCTCTGTCTATTTCCCCCCAATATGGAGCAGGAACAGGTTACAAACAGACTAAACTAAACCTGGTGGTGGCCTGGTCCTTAAGCCCAAGACCCTGATGGAAAGCTTAAGCCTGTCTGTGGACAGCAAGGGGTCCCTCAGGGCCAGAAAAAGGCTGCAGAGAGACTGTCGGCTGAGGGAGGGGCTCCAAGAAGGAGCAGGAGGAAGAGCCGAGGGTGCGGGAGAGAGGGATCTCTGGTGGTTTAATCTACTAGAACCTGAAGCTAATGAATTGGTTGGTTGGCTCAAGTCTGTGGATGTCAGGAACTCACCCCTCCTCATTTGGCACCACTGCTCCCCCCCCCGCTTCTGCCTTTCTGCCCTCTTCCTTCCCAAATCACACCCACCCCCGCTCTAGTCCCCCGCTGCCTCCATGCCAGGCTGTGCCCATCTCTCTTTGCCCTCCAGCACCTGCTTCTCCCTCTAATGCCGTCCTTGAGCCCCCTTGCCTCTGGGCTGCCTGTCCCTGAACTCGTCTTAGGCGCCCCCCCCATTGAGACTGATTTGGGATGGGGGTTGGAAGGAGGGAGGAGAAGGGCTGGGGGATGGGATCTCCCTCCCCAGGATCCTGACTCCTGTGTTTCCTCCCTTTTGCAGCAAGCAGCCAGGAGTCCGACAGCTCTGCCAGTGGTAAGTGGGGGTGCAGGTGGGGGCAAAGTGGAGCTCTGGCAGAAGACTCCATGGGGAACATCCTCAAATGGGGAAAAGCTTCCCCTGTTACCCACCTTGGGGTTTCCAAGAGTGACATCTAGAGGGTCCATTGAGCTGAAAAAAGCTCTTGTGGCACATTCTGTCTGTCCATCTAAGCTCCACAGAGGATCCCCTCTACCTGACAAATGGGTTCTACACAGGATCTGAATGACAGATAGTCACATTTTGGGGTCTGGAAAAGGATTTCTCCTTCCGGTATTCCCCCAAAGAGTGCAGCTTGGCTCACTTGCTGGAGCTGCCCTCTGCAGGCATTTGCTCTGCAGGCCCATTTTGGTGGTACTCCTGGCATATCTCAGGTCTGATTTGACATGATGAGGGATGGTGGCTTCCCTTGGGAAGCTGGACTAGATGGCCTTTGGGTTCCCACTAGCTCTGTAATGCTGATGCCCCCACACCATGATGTTGGCTTAACTTTGAAACACTCTTGTTGTTTATTTTTCCACAGTTTTGCTCAGAGCTCCTGCTGTCCTTTAATGCTGTTTATGATGCTCATTAATCCTGGCTCTCACTCATCTATTCTGACTCCATCTGTAACTTGAATTTGAGGATAATCATGTTTTTCTGATGGATTTTGGCTAATTTTGCTTTGTAGCTGATTTTCAGAAATGTGTTTGTATTCATCAGAAATGTGCTGGATATACACAACTAAAAGCTTTAAAAAGGGGTGGGGAGATTGAGCAGTGATTTTGATGGTTTCTCTTGGTTTTTTGTTGCTGTGGTTCCCTCCACAAGCCCTTCCCCAATCTTGTGTCACTCACTTTCCATCCAAATTGAAGGAAAGGCAACATCTGAGAACTGCTTTAGGTGTATTATGCATGAAATAGGCTAAATTGTTACTGCCGACCTGCTTCTTGGGCCGCCCAGCCTTTGGCTAAGCGGATGTAATGTCATGGAATGTATAAAAGCAGCCTAACTGCTCTGGCTGAGTGTTTTCAACCCACCTTCTGTGTGAGGAAGTGAAGAAACTGGCAGTGAGGGATGGTTGGCAAGGAGGAGGGATGCTTAGATGCTCAGGTGTTGAAGCTGAAAGAGAGAAGGAACAGAGTGGCTGAAGAGAGAGGCGACTTTCCTACAGGAGATGAGAGGGATTCTTGCTTCAGATTCTGCTGACAGCCAAGGATGAAGCCAGCAAGGAGAAGACGCAGATCAGGAGCTTCATGGCCAGAGTTTGATCTGAAATAAGCAGCCCCTTCTTTTGGGCTGTAGGCCTCCAGTTCATGAGACTTGTTGCCTGGTCCCCACAGCCTTCTAGGAAGGGTGACCCACTGGGAGTGGGGCCACATGAACTCTTCCAAGTAAACTAGTTTTGTTGCCTTCAATTTGCCTAATTTTTATCTCATACATTCTTGCTTTTCCACCTGTGGCCCTTGAGGAACATACTCCGTCCATCTGTGGTTCCCACCATATGATTCCCTCCATCTTCCTTCCCTTCTCATAGGCCGGCATTACTTAAGGAGACTCTCTCATAGAAATAAGAATGCAATAACTCTCTTAAACCTCCAGGGGCTGCAGGACTCTTCTTGCCTAACCCAATGGATTTGCTGCAGCTTATTTTGAAGACACTGGATGTACCGTATTTTTCGCCCCATAGGGCGCACCGGCCCATAGGGCGCACCTAGTTTTTTTTGGGGGGGGGGAAATAAAGAAAAAAAAATTCTTTCCCCCCCAGGCGCGGGGTCTCCCCAGGCTTGCGGATATCTGCCCGATATCTGTTCAGCGCGCCCCAGGCTTCGGGATGCAGGCAGCTCTCTGCAAGCCGTGGGAGCCCGGCGCGACTTCCCACCGGGCTCCTACGGCTTGCGGAGAGCTGCCCAAAGCCCGGGGCGCACTCCACTGCGCTCCCCAGGTTTTGGGCTGCAGGCTGCTGTCCGCAAGCCTTGGGAGCCCGGTGCGACTTCCCGCCGGGCTCCCTAGGCTTGTGGATAGCTTTCTGAAGCCTGGAGAGCGAGAGGGGGCAGTGCGCACCGACCCCTCTCGCTCTCCAAGCTTCAGCGAAAGCCTGCATTCGCCCCATAGGACGCACACAGATTTCCCCTTCATTTTTGGAGGGGAAAAAGTGCATCCTATAGGGCGAAAAATACGGTAATTGTTATTATTTTTTCCAGAAGGTAGCCCTGTTTAAGGAAATTTTTAATGTTTGAAGTTTTACTCTGTTATTAATGGAAACCCAGCCAGATGGGCAGAGTATAAATAATAAAATTATAATTTTTAATATCCATTTTTATGAAATAAATAAGTGTGCACCCCCTTCGTCTTTAGTGGTTCTTCTTATCACAGGAGTTCCAGAGATCAACATCTCCTGAGAATATTCACAGACTCTGGCAGGGAGGTGCCAATAATTGGTCTTCTGTTGCAAAGTGAGTGAAGAACTAGAGTCCAAAGTGAGATGGGGACAGAATCTGTGGTTTTGCAGGGGTGGGATTAAGTTACATGAGGCCAAGCGTGTCTGAAGTCAGTGCCCGGGTGGGGGACCACCTGGATGCTGCTTTTGGTTCCAGGTTGGAAGAAAGGATGGTTGGGGCGAATATAATAAAAGAAATATATAGATATCTGATCTGGGGCAGAGTGTGGTGGGAAATGACCAAGGCAGGGTTCCCCCAAAAGTCCGCAATCCCAGGAGGAAGTTCTCCCACTGAAATGAAAAGATGATGCCCAAAATATTTAATTTGTTTTACATTTTTATCCCACTCTTCCTCCCAAGGAGCTCAGGGCATCAAACACCAAAATGTTAAAACAATACCATTTAAAATGAGCTAATCTTTCTCCCACTGCCCTGGATGTGAATCTTCCCTCGCTGCTTCTTCCCTGGTGGGGAGTGGGATGCCATTTGGGGCCTGCCTCATGTGTCAAAATGTGTTGGGCTGGCCTTGGTGTGTGAGTTATGCTACGTACAATGGGACTTCACGGAAAACACAACTTAAGGCAATAGTGGAGCACTGCAAAATCATTTGTGTGTGAACATCTAGGAAACACATGGAGAACTGCACTGATGATTGCAAAACACTCCTAATTATTATTCCTGTACCATTATAATTTTATTGTATAATCTTAGAAGGTTGTAGACTGAGACGTATGTTAACATTTGAGCAGCTCCTCCATTGGTGTGGGGGTCGGTGCCCACCTTGAAAACGCCTCCGTGGAGAGGGGATCAATTTTTTTAAAAAAATCATTTGCATTTTCATAAACAGGAACAGAGAGCATATTGAACCCCTCTCTCCTTCCCTCGTCCCACTTACAACTTCATACCAAATACAGCATGTATACATATACCATATGACTTTCCTTCCAGACTTTTCCTGGTTCCTTTGCTTTTCTACTACTCTGCGTAATCCACATCTTTTTAATCATCCAATTTGTTATCTATTAAAATACTCCCATCCATTTCAACTGCTGGATTTATACGAGCCCTGCTAAGCTATGTCTTTCTCTAGACTGGTTCTTGAAATATTCACTAGGCATTATCCATTCCTCCTTATATTCCTTATATCTGTTTTCTCTTATCCTGTTCGTCAGACCAGCCAGTTCAGTATTCAAACATTTTACACTGCCATTCTTCCTGAGTGGGTGCTATTCTTGTTCTCCACCTTTGTGCCAATAAGGTTCTAACTGCGGCAGAGGCGCATAGTAATAAACTTTTGTTTTTGGGGGACCTCTGTTGTTACCATCCCCAAAAGGAAACTCTCAGGTGTTTCTTTTAAAATTCATTTTATATCGTTTCCCAATATCCCTTAATTGTTTTACACGACCAACACATGTGAATAAAAGATCCCTCAATTTCATTACACTTCCAATATATTCCTTTTTCTTCTTTAGACATTTCTTTCATTCTGGTGGGTGTTATATACCATCTGTGGGCCATTTTCATATACAATTTTTTATTGCATAACTTGCCGTAAAATTCATAATTGTTTTCCACAACTTTCCCCATAATTCATGATCAATATTGTGACTCACATCCTGTGCCCACTAAATTTCACAAATTCCTCTTTGTGAAATTTCTTTGTGAATTTCACAAATTCTTCTTTCGTTTCCCACTCCAACATCAGTTTGTACATTTTTGATAATACTTTTATATTTGTATCTAATAGGTCTTTGGTAAACTGAGACTTTTGTTCTGCAAAGCCATTTTTCCTACCTATCTTAAACTATTCATTAATGTGATGTACCTGTAGCTAATTGGTAACGAGATTTCTTAATTCTTCAGGATTTCTCAGTTTTTGTTCCTGTCCTGTAAGATCTAAAATTTCACTGTAAGTTAACCAGTGCTTATCCATATTCATTCTTTTCCTGGTTGTAGCTTCCACTGGGGATATCCACAGTGGTGCTTTTCTTTCTAATAAGTTTTTATACGTTCCCCATACTCTGAATAGGTTTTTTCTGATTACGTGATTTGTAAAACTTTTATATATTTCCGCTTTTCCACACCATAGGTAGGCATACACTCACTTGCACCGATTCCAAAGCTGTGACATATGTGGGAACCTTGACTTTTTTTTGCAACCCATGACTTGCTTCAACTGGTCCCTTGAAGGATTTCCTAGAAATCACCTGATTTCCATTTCAGCCAGGGAAGAAAGCAGCCGGCAGGGGGCAGCGGAGGATCGCAAAAAGGGGAAAACGAGAAAAGACAACTAGGGACTGTGGAGAAATGGGTGAGGGTGTCTTGTGGCAGAGAGAGAGTGTGAGGGCAGGAATCCATCCTGGAAACAAACACACCCCAGTGTTAATGAAGGATGAGTACTTTCTCAGCAAAATCTGCCTCCATTCTTCAATTCCTGTGAGAAATGTCAGTCAAGCAGCCTGAGATGCAGTCACTTGAGATTCCTTTGGTAGCTTGGTATGCTAACGAAATTTAGATTATTGTAACTCACCAAAGACTGTTTACTGCACCCTCAGCTATTCTTCTTATAAGTAAAAGTGAAAACAAACATTTAAAATAAAAAGGCCTTGTTCTGGGAACTGCCCTGGGACTTTCCCAGCTGACTCACAGGTTGCTGAGGGAGGCAGGAGGGGACAAAGTCTCCTGGGAAACAATCCAGTTTGGAACGGAGAAACACACCAAGGACGTTTTTATGCCATCATCTATTTGCTAGACTCCATATTCTGTTTCCACACAATACCAAGAAGGGGACAAACATAATGTCAGGAGAGATGTCCCTGCAGGCCTGGTCTTGAGAGGTGGAGAAGCCTACAAGGATCCAGTGTGGGGCTGTGGTTTGACTGGGATATGGGAGCCTGGGAGTCCTGGGTTCAAATCCCCACACAGCCATGAAGCTCCCTCAGGGACCTGGGGCCTGTCAGGGCCGTTATGAGGAGAACATGAATGCCACCTGGATAGAAATATTCATTTCTGAAGGTACAGTCAGCTAGAGAGGAAGATGCCTTTTGCCTGCCAGAAAGAGGACCCAGGAGTCCTGGCTCCTGCCGAGTCTCCTCCCAAAGGGGACCCAGGAGTCCTGGCCACTTGGCCTTGAGGAAGAGAGCTGTGGGGGCTCAGGGTTTTGTCCTTCATGCTGAGGGAGACGGGTCTTTCCAAGGCTGGAGGGGGCCCAGGCCAGGCCAAGAGGGATAAATGCCAAAGGTCTCCCCATCTGGGCGCTGAGGGACATCGTGGGGAGAAAGAAAACGTCTTCCCCTGAGCGACATTTCTGCCTGCCGATCTCCCAGTCAGGCAACCTGATCTGTGGCCTGCTGTGGCTTTCGGTTTCTGCCTTGCTTGGCTGCTCTCCCTTGCACCAAAGGTCTCCTCTGCAGGAAGGGAAGCGGGGAGGCTGAGGCAGCCCCACCCGGCCTGCTTGTTGGGCATGGAAGCCATTTTGTGGAGGGCTGGCAGTGAAGCAGAAAGGGAGGGGAAATGGCTGCCTCCTTCCTGGAAGGGCTGCCTCAAGCAGCTGCTTTGTTATTTGTTCATCTTCATGCCACCATTTCCCTAACTTGATTCAAGGGTGGTTTAAAGCCACATAACAAAGCTATCCAGCAGGAAAACAGAGCTACAGGCAATGTCTAAAGTCCTGAAAACTTTTTAGAAAGTCTGTGAAGAAGGAAACATTTTCCTCCTGGCCGTTAGTTGTTGTCGCCCACTGCACCTCCATGAAGAAGGGAAAGGAGAGGGAGAAAAGCCTCCACAGAGGAGAGCAGGGGAGGAGAAGGCGCCTCAAGCCACCGAGGACTTTCTAAAACAAGACTAGCACTTTGAATTGAACTCAGAACCAGACAAACAGGCAGAGGGTCTTTTGGCCCTGGTGAGGTCTAAATGAGCTGCAGCAGTGAAAATCCTGTCAGGTTTATCTTGTAGCAGCTGAAGCTTCCCTACTGTATTGGGAAAAACAACATGTTACAATAATCCTGTCAGGAGGTGAGCAGAATATGGATCCTTGTGGGCAGACTATCCCTGTCCAGAAAAACTAGATGGAGCAGGTGAAAAGTGAAGCATAAGACGTCCCTGAGGTGACTGAGCCCATCGAGTCCCAAAAGTGGGTCCTGGAGAGCCCCCCTCAAAACAGCCAGCCTCCTTCTTCACAGGGGCTTATCTTGCAACCCTGAATTGTCGCTGTGAATAATGGCCGAGAAGAGAACGGACTCTGAGAGAGTCGCTTTGACTGGGGAAACAAGAAGAAGAGCCTGGCTGGATCCGGCCAAAGGTCCCTTGAGTCCAGCCTTTGGTCCTCACAATCATAGAATCATAGAGTTGGAAGAGACCCCAAGGGCCATCGAGTCCAACCCCCGGCCAAGCAGGAAACACCATCAGAGCACTCCTGACATATGGTTGTCAAGCCTCTGCTTAAAGACCTCCAAAGAAGGAGACTCCACCACACTCCTTGGCAGCAAATTCCACTGTCGAACAGCTCTTACTGTCAGGAAGTTCTTCCTAATGTTTAGGTGGAAACTTCTTTCTTGTAGTTTGGATCCATTGCTCCGTGTCCGCTTCTCTGGAGCAGCAGAAAACAACCTTTCTCCCTCCTCTATGTGACATCCTTTTATATATTTGAACATGGCTATCATATCACCCCTTAACCTCCTCTTCTCCAGGCTAAACATGCCCAGCTCCCTTAGCCGTTCCTCATAAGGCATCGTTTCCAGGCCTTTGACCATTTTGGTTGCCCTCCTCTGGACACGTTCCAGTTTGTCAGTGTCCTTCTTGAACTGTGGTGCCCAGAACTGGACACAGTACTCCAGGTGAGGTCTGACCAGAGCAGAATACAGTGGCACTATTACTTCCCTTGATCTAGATGCTATACTCCTATTGATGCAGCCCAGAATTGCATTGGCTTTTTTAGCTGCCGCGTCACACTGTTGGCTCATGTCAAGTTTGTGGTCAACCAAGACTCCTAGATCCTTTTCACATGTACTGCTCTCAAGCCAGGTGTCACACATCTTGTATTTGTGCCTCTCATTTTTTTTGCCCAAGTGCAATACTTTACATTTCTCCCTGTTAAAATTCATCTTGTTTGTTTTGGCCCAGTTCTCTAATCTGTCAAGGTCGTTTTGAAGTGTGATCCTGTCCTCTGGGGTGTTAGCCACCCCTCCCAGTTTGGTGTCATCTGCAAATTTGATCAGGATGCCCTTGAGTCCATCATCCAAGTCGTTGATAAAATGTTGAATAAGACCGGGCCCAAGACAGAACCCTGTGGCACCCCACTAGTCACTCTTCTCCAGGATGAAGAGGAACCATTGATGAGCACCCTTTGGGTTCAGTCAGTCAGCCAGTTACAAATCCACTGAGTGGTAGCATAGTCAAGACCGCATTTTACCAGCTTCTTTACAAGAATATCATGGGGCACCTTGTCAAATGCCTTGCTGAAATCAAGGTAGGCTACATCCACTGCGTTCCCTTCATCTACCAGGCTTGTAATTCTGTCAAAAACGAGATCAGGTTAGTCTGACATGACTTATTTTTCAGAAATCCATGCTGACTATTGGTGATCACAGCATTCCTTTCTAGGTGCTCACAGACTGTTTGCTTAATGATCTGCTCCAGAATCTTCCCTGGTATTGATGTCCGACTGACTGGGCGGTAATTATTTGGGTCCTCTCTTTTCCCTTTTTGAAAATAGGGACAACATTTGCCCTCCTCCAGTCTGCCGGGACTTCGCCTGTTCTCCAGGAATTCTCAAAGATGACTGCCAGTGGTTCTGAGATCACATCTGCCAGTTCTTTTAATACAGTGGTGCCTCGCAAGACGAAATTAATTCGTTCCGCGAGTTTTTTCGTCTAGCGAATTTTTCGTCTTGCGAAGCACGGTTTCCCATAGGAATGCATTGAAATTCAATTAATGCGTTCCTATGGTCAAAAAGTCCAAACAAAGCCAAATTTGGTACAACAAGAGTTTATTAACTGCTCTTTAAAGTCACACATACTTTAAAGAGCATATCAAAAATTGAAGGAACAATAAATTAAGTTTCTAAACATGACAGGAAAAACATTTAAAAATCAAAAAGGGTACATTACATTTTCTAAGACTCTGGGGACCACTCGAATAAGGTTCCTCTTCCACTCTTTGCTTCTTGCTGAGGAACCTGTCCATGGTCTGCTGCTTCATCCGCCTTTTCAGCAGCTCCCTGAGAGGCAACATGACCGTTGTATCAAAAGTGTTCGCTTGGTCATGTGCCACGTGCTTGATAGGGTGGTGCCGCTCTGCAAAGCCTGCACCTCCTTCCACTTCTGGCAAATGTCCCTCAGTTCTTTGGAGGACGGCCGTCCTCAGTTGCTTCCTCCTCTTCCAGCGAGGCCTGCTCCTGCGCAACCTCTGACTGCAGTTCAACCAGCTCCTGGGTGGTCAGCTCGTGGTCGTGCTCCTCCACCAGCTCGCAGACATCCTCCTCTGTGACCTCCAGGCCCATGGTCCTCCCCAAGGCAACAATGTCCTGCACCACTGTTGACTCTGGTGCATCAGAGTCACTTGGTGCCACACAGTCCGGCCACAGGCTGCGCCAAGCGCAATTCAAATTTCTCTGGCTGATCCCGTTCCAGGCCGTGGTGATCATCTTCAAGCAGGTGACGATGTCGAAGTGGTCCTTCCAGAATTCCCGCAGGGTGATGGTGGTGCAATCAGTCACCTCGAAGCATCGCCTGAAAAGCTCCTTGGTGTAGAGTTTTGTTATGTACTGAGTTGAATAGGATCCAAACTGCAGCAGTCTGATTGGTCCTAGAACAATAGGATCCAAAAGGCAGCAGTCTGATTGGGACTAGAACAATGCAGCAGTATGATTGGTTGGCAGGAACCACCCAATCCTGCTCCAGATAGAAGTGAATCCACAACCTGATTGGCTTACAGTAGAATTCCAGAATTAACCAATCATGTGCAGCCCATTGTGTAAATAATGTATATAAAGCAGATACTGTGAGGGGACATTCATTCATTCCTCCTCACCACTATGAGCTGAATAAAGAGCATGAAATCACTTTGCGACTCTGAGTATATTGCACTGGCGACGAAGGTGGGATCCCGCTGAGCTGACTGCCACACACAGCACCGCAGCACCGCCACCTGCCGCACCGCTGCCTCGCACCGTGTATCCAGGCTTCAGCTCCGGGACACAAGGAACTCAGAATGGCAGCCAACAGCAGCTTCTCGCCATTCAACCCAGCATCTGGAGACTGGGAAGCGTACGCCTCCCGTTTCACCTTCCTCCTAGAAGCCAAAGGGGTCACTGACGAAGAAGACGCCAAGAAGAGGGCGATATTCTTCAGCGTCTGCGGAGAGGAGACGTTTGAAATCGCCCGGGCTCTCCTTGCGCCTGAAGACGTCGCTACTGTTCCATACAAAACAATAATGGAACAGCTGAAGGGGCACTTTCGCCGCAGCCCTCAGTGGTGGCTCGTCGAAATGCCTTCTACGCAAAGCGGCAAGCCCCTGGGGAAACCATAACTGGGTTTGTGACCTCCCTCCGCCAAGCCGCCCGGTTCTGCAACTTCTCAGAGCTGGAGAACATGCTTCGTGACCGCCTCGTCGGTGGCCTGAAGGATGAGAAGCTGCAACGACGCCTCTACGCTAAGAAGGACCTAACGTTCCAGGTCGCTCTGGAGGAGGCCCTGGCAACAGAAGCTGCCGAGAGGTCGACCCAAGAGGCACGGCCGAGCCTGCCATCCCAACCGAGGGTCCACCACGAAGACCTCACCGACGACTCAAGATCCGACAGGGAGGAGGTGCACCGAGTACAGCAGCGCACTCAAGCAGCGCACAGACCACAGCTGCCTCGACGAGAAGGAGGGAACTGCGCAAGCTGCGGGGAGAGTCACGAGAGGAGGACCTGCCGTTTCCGCAACGCAGAGTGCAGGCAGTGCAGAAAATCGGGACACATCGCCCGGGTGTGTCGGGCTCGGCCCACCCGACACCAGGCATCAGATGACCAATCCAAGAGCCCCAGGTCCCGGGGCCCAACGCACCAAGGCAACTCGACGGAGCTCACGGACTTCCAGGTATACCAGTTGCCCCACCCCAACGTAGAGAAAATTTATGTAGAGGTACAGATAGAGGGGGCCCCTTGCCGCATGGAGCTTGACACGGGTTCAACTCTATCCATAATCTCGGCAAGGACCTTAAGGAAACTGTGTCCTACTGGGGGTCCCAAACTCAGGCCGGCCCCATTCACCCTCCGGGACTTCCAGAAACGTAAGGTCCCCACAATGGGGGTGGGGACCTTCAGGGTGCAATACCGAGGGCGGACGCGGCAACTGGACTTGCTTGTGGTCAAGGGCCCCTACATTAGCTTACTGGGATTGGCATGGTTTGGACCACTGGGGCTAGCTGTCACCGGGGTGAACCACACTAGCTTACAAGTGGACGTGGACGCCATATGCAAGGAATTTCCAGGGGTTTTCGATGGGAAATTGGGACAGTATACGGGCCCCCCCATTGCGCTACAGCTTGACCCCGCAGTACGACCGGTCAGGCTCAAGGCCCGCCGGGTCCCGTTCGCCTTGAAACCCCGTATAGACGAGGAATTGGACCGACTCGTGGAGCAAGGAGTGCTGGAGCCGGTGCCTAATGCCCCCTGGGAAACCCCAATCGTCACACCCGTCAAGCCTAATGGTTCGGTCCGCATCTGCGCAGACTACAAATGTACCATAAACAAGGCCCTCACGGCCCACGCATACCCAGTGCCAGTGGTCAGCCATGTCCTTGCCACCCTGGCTGGGTCGAAAATTTTTGGCAAGCTGGACTTGGCCCAAGCATATCAACAGCTGCCAGTAGATGAGGCCACAGCAGAGGCACAGACGATTGTGACGCACAGAGGAGCGTTCAGGGTAAAGCGGCTGCAATTCGGTGTCAGCGTGGCACCAGGCATATTCCAGAATCTAATGGACTCTCTCCTTAAAGGGATTCCTGGCGTCACCCCTTCTTCGATGATGTGTTGATTGCCGGGCCCACACCAGAGGAGTTTGAGGACCGCCTCCGCACCGTTCTGCACCGTTTCCAGACGGCGGGTCTCAAGGTGAAGCGGGAAAAATGTCTACTAGGAGTGCCTCAGGTGGACTTTCTGGGATTTATGGTGGACGCAGAAGGGGTCCACCCGACTGGGGACAAGGTACGGGCCATTTGTGATGCCCCAGCACCCAAGAGCAAGACTGAACTTCAGGCCTTCTTGGGACTATTGAACTTTTACCATTCCTTCCTTCCCCACAAGGCGGCGGTAGCGGAGCCCCTACACAGACTCCTGGACAAGCGGGCCCCTTGGGTGTGGGGCCAGCGCCAGGAGGCCGCATTCCAGGCAGTCAAGGACTTGCTTGTCTCAAACTCGGTCTTGGCACACTTCGACGAGAGGCTGCCGGTGGTGCTAGCATGCGACGCCTCACCCTATGGCATTGGAGCTGTCCTGGGGCACCAACTCCCGGATGGAAGAGAGGTACCGGTGGCGTACTTTTCCCAGACACTCAACACAACCGAGCGGAACTACTCGCAAATCGACAAGGAGGGTCTGGCAATCGTAAAGGGAGTAAAAAAATTCCATGATTTCTTGTACGGGCGGCCCTTCACCGTGGTGACTGACCACAAGCCGTTGCTTGGCTTGTTTGCCCCCGAAAAGCAGACCCCCCAAGTGCTGTCTCCTCGCGTCCTCAGGTGGTCAATTTTCCTTGCCAGCTACCAGTATGCACTGATTCACCGACCTGGGAAGGCGATGGGCCATGCGGACGCCCTCAGCAGGCTACCACTACCGGAAACAGGCCCTGACCCAGCACCTGCACAAGAGGTTATGAGCCTGGAGCTGCTTCCCGACCGCCCCATTCAGGCACAAGAAGTTGCACACCATTCCAAGAAAGATAGGGTCATCTCCCGGGTCCTGGACTGGGTGTGGAGGGGATGGCCCAGCAGCAGCCCCGGGCCAGAATTCGCCGGCTACACAACCCGCAAACATGAACTGTCAGCCCACAAGGGGTGCCTGTTATGGGGAAGCAGAGTCGTTGTTCCCCAGCCCCTCCACAAAAGGGTCCTCACAGCCCTACACGAGACACATCCAGGGGTAGTAAGAATGAAGGCCCTTGCCAGGAGTTATGTGTGGTGGCCGGGGATCGATGGAGAGATAGAGGCCTGGGTCAAACACTGCCAGGCCTGCCAAGAATCCCGCCCAGATCCCAAGGGCCCCAGTCCAGTCCTGGGAGTCCGCCCGAGCACCATGGTCACGCCTGCATGTGGATTTCGCTGGCCCCTTTCAGGGGAAAACATTCTTCATAGTGGTGGACTCCTACACCAAATGGCTGGAAGTCGCACTGGTACCGTCCACTTCCACGTCCGCAGCCATCCGGGTACTACGCAGGCTGTTTGCAACCCACGGGCTCCCTGACACTCTCGTCTCAGACAACGGGACTGCATTTACGTCAGGAGAATTCCAAACCTTCACAGCGCAGAACGCCATCCGCCACATCCGTTCGGCACCGTTCCACCCTGCCACCAATGGCCAAGCAGAACGCATGGTGCGGACCACCAAGGACACCCTTCGCCGCATGACGCAAGGGGACTGGGAGTACCGCCTTGCCACATTCCTTCTAGCACAGCACAGCACCCCCAGCTCAACGACTGGCCGGAGCCCCGCTGAACTACTAATGGGTCGGCGCCTTGCAATCAGATTGGACCGCCTTCACCCCGATAGAGCTCAGGATGAGGTAGTGGTGGGGAAGGCAGGAACCCCGGACCTTCGAGGCCCAGGACCCAGTGTACGCAAAGAATTTTGGGGCAGGCCCAGCATGGGTACCCGCCACAGTCACCAGGGTCACTGGCCCCGTGTCGTACGAGGTGCTAACGGATGGGGGCAATGCTGGCGCCGCCACTGCGACCAGATACGGCGACGATTCCCGGGAGAAAACCAGGAGGAGGACAGGTCAGAGGAGTCCCAAGGGAACAGCGGGGCAGTGAGGCCCATAGAGCAGGAAGGGCCAGCAGGAGAGGCAGAATCAGTAAATGCAGAGAGGACCCGTGAGGCCGAAAGGACACCGGAACCAGAACCACGACTGAGCGAGCCGGTTGCACCAGATCAAACAGCCCCATCACAGCCAGCATCCTTGGTACACGAGCCAGAACCTGGAGCCCGGACCAGGGAACACCCCAGGCCACAACGCACACGTAGGCTGCCGGCATACCTTGAGGACTATGAATGCGACCTCCCGGGCAGGACTGGAACTTAGAGGGAGGGGTGTTATGTACTGAGTTGAATAGGATCCAAACTGCAGCAGTCTGATTGGTCCTAGAACAATAGGATCCAAAAGGCAGCAGTCTGATTGGGACTAGAACAATGCAGCAGTATGATTGGTTGGCAGGAACCACCCAATCCTGCTCCAGATAGAAGTGAATCCACAACCTGATTGGCTTACAGTAGAATTCCAGAATTAACCAATCATGTGCAGCCCATTGTGTAAATAATGTATATAAAGCAGATACTGTGAGGGGACATTCATTCATTCCTCCTCACCACTATGAGCTGAATAAAGAGCATGAAATCACTTTGCGACTCTGAGTATATTGCAAGTTTCTTGAAATTGGCGATGACCTGCTGATCCATCGGCTGGAGCAGTGGCGTGGTGTTAGGCGGCAGGAACATGATGTTGATGAAGCTGAACTCCTCCAACAAGTCCACCTCAAGGCCTTTAGGATGAGCAGGAGCATTGTCCATCAGAAGCAAAGCCTTCAGCGGCAGGTCATTGTCCAGCAGGTACTATTTGACAGCAGGGCCAAAAGCAAGATTGACCCAGTCCACAAACAGCACACGTGTGACCCAAGCCTTGCTGTTGGATCGCCACATGACACTCAGCCGCTCCTTGTCGACCTTGTGTTTCTTGAAGGCCCGTGGGTTCTCCGAGTGGTACACCAGCAGGGGCTTGATCTTCAGGTTGCCGCTTGCGTTGGCACAGAAGAGCAGGGTCAGACGGTCCTTCATGGGCTTGTGGCCAGGCAACTTGGCCTCCTCCTGTGTGAGGAAAGTCCTTTTGGGCATCCTCTTCCAAAACAGCCCGGTCTCGTCGCAGTTGAAGACCTGCTGTGGAACGTAGCCCTCCGTCTTCACAACCTCCAGGAACTCCAAGGCAAAGTCTTCAGCCGCAGGAACATCAGAACTGGCAGCCTCTCCATGCCTGACCACGCTGTGGATTCCAGATCTTGCCTTGAACCGGTCAAACCAGCCTCTGCTTGCCTTGAAGACTTCTGGCTCGGCCGAGTTCCTGGCTGTTCCCGGATGAGGTCTGCGTGCAAGGCCTTGGCCTTCTCACAAATGACGGCCTCAGTCACTGTGTCCCCTGCACGCTGCTTCTCTTCTAACCAGATGAGCAGCAACTTCTCGACCTCCTCCAGAACAGCTGGGCGGTTCTTCACGATCCTGGTGACTCCCTTGGCTGCATCAGTCGCAAGGATCTTCTCCCTCATCTTCAGGATGGTCCCGATGGTCGATGGGTTCCTGCCGTACTCCCTGGCGAGGTCCGTCACACGCATTCCACCGTCGTGCTTCCGGATGATCTCCTTCTTCATCTCCAGCGTCACCTTCTCCTTCTTCCTCTCGCCGGCCTCCGCAGCAGCAGCAGTCTTATTGGGTCCCATGGCAGCACAGCTGTTACCTTTGTAAACTCAGAAAAAGAAAAAAAAAATCAGCAATTCAAACCCAGAACCAAGTCCTTGAATTCCAAACACCCAACCCAAAATCCAAAAACCCAAAAAAGTTTTAAAAGTTTAACTTACGAAATGGCTGCAAATCACCAAAGTCTTCAAAATCCTCAAATGGCTGCAAAAGAAGTTTTGGGATAGCTTTAAAAATCACTAAAGTCTTCAAAAACCTCAACTGTTCCCCCAGCCCCGCCCCAACTGTTGCCAACCCCGCCCCAACTGTTGCAAACCCCACCCCAACTGTTGCAAACCCCTCCTCAACTGTTCCCCCAGCCACCCAGCACACAGAAATTCAAAACCCAGAAAGTTTTTCAAAAAAAAACAACATGGCCCAATGGTCACAGAAAACCATAAAAATTCCAAAAAAAACCCCCACACAAGCTCCCAGATTCCTGCAAACCCCTCCCCAGCTGTTCCCCCAGCCACCCAGCACACAGAAATTCAAAACCCAGAAAATTTTTCAAAAAACAACAACATGGCCCAATGGTCACAGAAAATCATAAAAATGCAGAAAAAACCCACACAAGCTCCCAGATTCCTGCAAACCCCTCCCCAGCTGTTCCCCCATCCACCCAGCACACAGAAATTCAAAACCCAGAATTTTTTTTCAAAAAACAACAACATGGCCCAATGGTCACAGAAAACCATAAAAATTCAAAAAAAAAAAAACCCACACAAGCTCCCAGATTCCTGCAAACCCCTCCCCAGCTGTTCCCCCAGCCACCCAGCACACAGAACTTCAAAACCCAGAAAATTTTTCAAAAAACAACAACATGGCCCAATGGTCACAGAAAATCATAAAAATGCAGGAAAAAACCACACAAGCTCCCAGATTCCTGCAAACCCCTCCCCAGCTGTTCCCCCATCCACCCAGCACACAGAAATTCAAAACCCAGAATTTTTTTTCAAAAAACAACAACATGGCCCAATGGTCACAGAAAATCATAAAAATGCAGAAAAAAACCACACAAGCTCCCAGATTCTTGCAAACCCCTCCCCAGCTGTTCCCCCATCCACCCAGCACACAGAAATTCAAAAATTCAAAACCCAGATTTTTTTTTAAAAAAAATAAACATGGCCCAATGGTCACAGAAAATCATAAAAATGCAGAAAAAAACACACAAGCTCCCAGATTCTTGCAAACCCCTCCCCAGCTGTTCCCCCATCCACCCAGCACACAGAAATTCAAAAATTCAAACCCAGATTTTTTTTTTTTTAAAATAAACATGGCCCAATGGTCACAGAAAATCATAAAAATGCAGAAAAAAACCACACAAGCTCCCAGATTCTTGCAAACCCCTCCCCAACACCAAGTCCTTGAATTCTAAACACCCCAACCCAAAATCCAAAAACCCCAAAAAGTTTTAAAAGTTTAACTTACCAAACAGCTGCAAAAGAAGTTTTGGAAAAGCTTCAAAATCCAGCAAACTCTTTAAAAAGCTCAGAAAGGCCACCACACCGCGTGCAATGTGTTGCTCCTCGAGGTCAAGTCGCAACTGCACCTCTTCCAGCAATGCACCCTGGGTTTTAACGGTTTTACGAAAAAGGAAACAAACTTGCAAGACCTTTTCGTCTTGCGAAGCAAGCCCATAGGGAAATTCGTCTTGCGAAGCAACTCGAAAACGAAAAACCTTTCGTCTTGCGAGTTTTTCGTCTTGCGAGGCGTTCGTCTTGCAGGGCACCACTGTACTCTTGGATGCAGTTCATCTGGCCCTGGAGACTTGAATACATCTAAACTAGCCAAGTATTCTTGTACTATCTCCTTAGTTATTCTGGGCTGTGTTTCCTCTGCTGAATCATTTGCTCCAAATTCTTCAGGTCGGGCATTGTTTTCTTTATCGGAGAAGACTGAGGCAAAGAAGGCATTGAGGAGTTCAGCCCTTTCTGTGTCCCCTGTTTGCATTTCACCATCTTCTCCTCTGAGTGACCCCACTGTTTCTTTGTTCTTCCTTTTGCTACGAACATACCCATAAAAGCCTTTTTTGTTGCTTTTAACCTCTCTAGCAAGCCTGAGTTCATTCTGTGCTTTAGCTTTTCTGACTTTGTGTCTACACGTGCTGGCTATTTCTTTGAATTCCTCTTTGGTGGTTTCCCCCCTTTTCCATTTTTTGTACATATCCTTTTTTAATCTTAACTCAGTTAAAAGTTCTTTAGATAGCCACCCTGGCTTCTTTAGGCACCTTCCATGTTTCCGTCTCATTGGTATTGCCTGAAGTTGTGCTTTACTATCTCCCTCTTAACAAACTCCCAGCCATCATGAACTCCCTTTCCTTTTAGTATTACTGTCCATGGGATCTCACCCAGCACTTCCCTAAGTTTTATGAAGTCGGCTTTCTTAAAGTCAAGAAATTGAGTCCTAGTATGTTTGGCTGCTCCTTTCCGCTGTATAGTAAACTTCAGAAGAGCATGATCACTCGCGCCTAATGATCCTTCCACTTCTACCCCACTAACCAGGTCATCAACATTGGTTAGGACCAGATCTAAAATGGCTGTTCCTCTTGTTGCTTCTCCCACTTTCTGGACAATGAAGTTGTCTGCAAGGCCAGTGAGGAATCTGTTTGACCTTATGCTCTTGGCTGAGTTTGACATCCAACAAATATCCGGGTAATTGAAGTCCCCCATTACTACTATCTCCCTTCCTTTTGCATGCTTGGCCATCTGTTCCAGGAAGGCATCATCTATGTCCTCCGTTTGGCTTGGGGATCTATAGTAAACTCCCACAATGAGGTCACTGTTATTCTTCTCTCCCTTAATTTTGACCCAAATGCTCTCACTTTGGCTTTGAGGTTCTAAATCTTGGATCTCTTCACAGGTATACACATACCTGACATATAACGCCACTCCTCCACCTTTCTTGTCTGGTCTGTTTCTCTGAAATACATTGTATCCCTCCATTATTACATTCCAATTGTGGGACTTATCCCACCAGGTTTCAGTGATGCCTATTATGTCATATTTAGTTTGCTGTAGCAAGAGCTCAAGCTCATCTTGTTTATTTCCCATGCTTTGCGCATTAGTGCTTTGCGCAATGGCCGACTAGATGATGCCTCTCCTGGGAATCCCAAAAACAGGCCCTGAGCGCCAGAGCCACACTCTGCTCTCCTCCTGGGGCTTCCAGAAACGGGGATCCAGAAGCATAGCCCTCTCCTCCTCCATGAATTAGACTCAACCTCTTTTAAAGCCATCCAAGAGATATTCTGCAGCAACAGAACAAAATGTGAACTATTTGACACGTTTGTCAATGTTTAGGACGGGGTAAATGGCATCTCCCTGAGCAGCATTTGCGCCTTGTTTGGGGAGGGAGGTTCAGTTTGTTGACCCTCAACCAGCCCATCGCGGACTCTAGATGCTGGTCCATCTGTCCCTCAGTCTCCCCCTTCTGCAAATGATTATGGGGGTTATTTTCTTCATATATGTTTGAATATACTGTCACACAGCACCCAGACTCCGAGAGGGGTAAGATTTCAGGGAATCCAGGCATTTACACTGAGAGTTGGGTTTCCTTAGAAGGAGGGATGGAAAAGATGGTGGTGTCTTTAGGGTGTGGGGTTTATTTGCACTTATAGACCACCTGAGCCTTCGATGGAGGGGCTCACAGCATTCACCCCGCAGGAGATCTTGCTTCTCCCAGAGTCACCGCTTTGGCATCCAACAGAAATCAAGCCTGGCACTGAAACAGCTTCTCCACCTGCAGCCTCTTTTCAGCTCACACACAACAGTGAAACTTTTTGACTTTCTAACTACAGTGATACCTTGGTTTACAACCGTAATCTGTTCCGGAGGTCCGTTTGTAAACCAAAACAAGTTGTAACCCAAGGTGCGCTTTCGCCAATGGGGCCTCCAAAAAATTTTGGTGTGTAATCCCAAAAAATGGGTTGTAATCCAAAAAAAGTTTGCAAACCGGGACACACACTTCCGGGGTTGACGTGTTTGTAATCCAAAACGTATGCAAACAAAGGTACCACTGTACCGGGCAGTTTGGGGGTGAGAGCAACTTCTTTTGTTAAACTAGTGAGGGTGCTTAGGTGAAAACTACGGCCATCATCTCACTGAGATAGTTCAACAATGGATCCCTCCATTAGATTTCTACCTTGGCTGGATCCAGGACCCCAGGAATCAGAAAGAACTCAGGCATCCTGCAGACTAACCCCGCCCCCAAACTCACAATAATACCTTGGCATCAGACAAGGGGAAATAGGGATGACAGAGATCATGCAGCTTGGGAAAAAGAGACCCCCCCCCCAATTCTTTACCTTCCGACTTCACAGCCCCCCCCCCCCCATTAAATGAAAGCTTCCTTGTACCTGGGCAAGGAGCGGCCACTACTTGTCTCTTTCCTGATTTCTTGGAAAAGGCAGCAGCTTCTGCTGTGTCCCATGCTTAGCTCAGGTTTCAAACGTTCAGGCTTCTGGAAGTGGGATGTGGGCCAAGCACTCTCTGGGCCAAGCACCCAGCCTTGGCTCAGGGCCTTCCAGAAGAGGCTTGGCAGCCGCTGGGTCTTGCTGGCTGTGCAGGGGGCCTCCCTGACCCCAACACCCAGGGCCTGCAGACTTAAGAGGGTCCCAGGCAGGGGGAGAGAAACTCATGGTGGGGCCAGTAGGACGAGAGAAGGAAGTAGAGATATGTGGGGATATAAAATGCCCCATTAAAAAGCACATGGAGAAAGGAAATTGTGGCAAGCTGGTGGGCTCTGGCCTGTTTGTCAGTCTCCCAGCACCTGCTGTGCTTCTTTATGTGGTCATTTCTTTCTCTCTCTCTTGCGTGAGATTTGGTCTGAATGGTCTACCCTGAGGTTCAGCCCTAGTTGCAACACTGAGCATTTCTTTACAAGGCACACAGTTAACCGCTGGAACCCCCTGCCACTAGATAGAGGGACTCAGGAGAAGAGCCGGGCTGCTGGATCACCCCAAAGGGGCCCATCAAGTCCAGCATGGCGGTCTCCCAGTGGCCACCCAGATGTCCCAGTAAGGAAGCATGCAAGGAGGACACAAGGGACACCCATTGAGTGGGACGCTAATGCATTTACTGTCTCTGACAGTGGAGGAAGAAGGGAGCCATATTTGAAGCCATGCAAGGGCTTCTTAAGAATAGGACCCAGGAGGCTGCCTTGCACTGACTTGGGCCACGAGTCCATCTCCCTGGGGATCTCACAGCCCCTCTCACCAGTTTCTGAGAGGGGGACATTCCCAGACCCCCCCTGGAGATGCGGGGATTGAACCTGGGGTCCTCCCCTGGCAACCCCCCTCCGCCCTCCCTGCAGGGCAGGACAGGAAGAGCTGCCGGGGGAAAGAGGGAAAGAGGGAGGAAGGGAGGGAGGCGGCGACTCCCAGCGAGGAGCTGCAATCACTTTCTCTTTCCCTCGCCAGCCTCGCTCCCAAACTTGCGCCTCGAGTTCTGCCTGGCGACCGGTGCCGCAATCAGCGCGCCGATTTCTGATTGGCGGAATATTTTCCCCTCGCCCAATCCCAGCTCTCGCTGCTGCTGGTTCCGCAGGCGGGGCAGAGAGCGGGTCTCAAAGAGTCGGAGGGAGAAGGACGTCGCTGGAGTAAGAGGAGGAAAAAGGAGCTTCGTTTTGGGGGGAGATGGGGGTCTTCCTCCGCTGGCCCCCCCTGATCCTGTGGGCGGCTGCCCACCTGCTGCTCCTGGACTGCGCAGGTAAGGACTCTGCTCTGGGGCGGGGGGAGAAAATCATTTGCACTAAGCTCTGGGGCGGGGGGGGGGGACTGGACACATGAGACTTTGTGAATTGCATTTCGTGGGCACTGAAAGGGCGATCGGGGGGATTCCTGACCGAGGTGGAGCCGGATCCCTTCCCAGACATCTGTTTCCCAGACTTGGGGCTTATTTTGTATGCCGTCCGGGGCAGGGGCCGCTTCACTCCTTGGCTCGTAAGGTCAATCAAAGAATTAAACAAAGCTTGAAGGTGTTGGCAGGAATAATGGTGGGGAAAGTGACTCGCTTGTCCCCCCCCCCCCCGCAGCTTCGTGTTGACTCTGGTGTGTGTGTGTGTGTGTGAGAGAGAGAGAGAGAGAGAGAGAGAGAGAGACAGACAGAGTACAGGTCCTTCCTTTTCTATTTTTTACCTTCCCTCTTCTAACCCTCTAACCCTCAGCCGCTCTGAAAACTCAGCTAAACACTCAGGAGACCAGCCTGGGGGTGGGAGCTGGACACGTGTAGCAGTCTTTATGGGGGGGGGGGATGGGGACGTCTGAATAAGGGGTCCCCACCCGCAATTCCCAATGTTGTTTTGTTCAGGAATTCCCTTTCACAGCCACAGTCATAATCAGGTTCGCCTGCTTTACAGTTCTGACTCCCCCCCCCCCCAAAAAAAACAAACACTTTCCTGTTGTCTGTCAGAAATGTGGATTTTGTAAATTATGCAGGGAGCTCCTCTGTGCCGTTCCTGTACAGCCCCTTTCACTACGTTTTGAACACTGTGTATCCGAAGAAGTGTGAATGCACACGGAAGCTTATACCCAGAACAAACTTAGCTGGTCTCTAAGGTGCTACTGGACAATTTTTTAATTTCGACTGTGTCAGACCAACACGGCTACCTACTTGAATCTTTTTTGTAAATAATTCTTGTGGTTTTCTAATGGAAAATGGTGTGAATATAATACTATCTTTAGTTTAAAAGTTGCTTGTTGCATAAAAATTCTCAATGTAACTTAAAAGCTTTAAGAACTAAAGAGTAAGACCTGTTATTTCTCTCTTGAACCCTCCCCATATGGGGGGCTGCCCCCTCACTGTGCTACAGGGCTGGGCAAAGGGTGGTGGAGACCACTGTTTCCTTCAGATTCCTCCTCATTTTGGGGACTCAAGTGTGACTCATTTTGTGGCTCTTTGTCTCCTGACCACTGAGCAGAACTGCCTGTGTTGTTCAGCCAGATGCCACAACCAGAGGCAGCCTTGCTCTGAGCTCTTGTGGTTTGAACTGGGGGGAGCCCCTGCCCTGGGAGGGCTGGCCTTGGAAGTGGATCCCATTTGATCTTGCCTGAAAGGAAACCAAACCAACCATCAAGGCATATGTGAGTCAAGCAAACACATCTTGCAGGTTTTCGCTTCCTTGAACTTTGTTTTCCGCAGTGGATCTCCCTCAGAAGGTGGTAGATTCTACTTCCTTGGAGATTTGTTAGCAGAGGCTGTATGGCCTTCTGCCATGTATGCTGCAGTCGAGATGCCAGCATCGCAGGGGGGTTGGACCCTCAGAGTCCCGTCTATGGTTTTTATTTTAGTTTCCTAGTTGTTTTGAGATGAGTCACTGGCCAAACTCAAGCGGGCTTCTTCCTCCTTGAGGGTGAAGTTGTCCAGAGTGCATTCAAGACAATTTTCACAGGGTCCTCAAGGACCACCTCTTTCTCTATGAACCCACCTGGACCCTGAGATCATCTTCTGAGGCCCTCCTTCCTCTGCCTCCTCCTCTAGTGGTGTGGAGGGCGGAGGGTGACAGCAGAGCGAGAACAGGGCCTTCTCTGCAGTGGCTCCCTGTCTGTGGAAGGCTCTCCCCCGGGAAGTTCGCCTGGCACCTTCATTATACACCTTTTGACTAAATCAGGCAAAAACAATCCCTTTTAACCAGGCCTTTGATTGATTTGATTGACATCCTTTTAAAAGTATTGGGTTTTGGGGGGGTATTGGCTTTTTTATTATTGAATATTTTGTGGTTTTATATTTTGATTTCTGAATCTCTGGTGAGCCATGCCTGAGAACCATCCAGGTAGTAGAAGTAGCAGTATATAAATTCAACAAATAATAATAATTATACGTCCCATTTCTGCTACCTGAGGCAAAACAGGAATAGCCCCCTCTTCCCCTTTTAGCACTGTGCCCCTTTACCTTCCGCCAGGAAAATGCCCCATCTCTCGCTGAACTCGACTCAGCTTTTCCCTCAGAGGGGGTGTCCTGGTGGGGGCAGGAGCCCCAGGTATGATGCTGAAAGCCTGTGATGAGCTCCCTCCCTCCCCAAGTCTTTGTGAGCTGTTTCTGTGGGTCTCGGATAATCTCTAGGCAGAGAATGGGACAGGTGTTGAAAGGAAGGAAGCCTTTCTTGGTATTGACATAGTCATCTTTTAAAATTGAGTTTATATCCCCACGTTCCTCCCAAAGGAATTAAGGGGCTGCAGCTGTCTTGGGGGGCCCTCTCTGTGGGGCTCATCCTGTACCCTAGAGAAGATTACGAGTACCATGTAGCCTTGGCTCTTTCCTCATGCACAAGGGAGGCACACAGCCCCCTTAGTACACATTCACTGTGACTTGGGAAGAGGGTTAAGGAGTGTGGGGAGTGAGCAGAAACAGCAAAATCTGCTGATGGACGTCAACAAAAGTTAATTGCTTCTGATGGGGATCTGCTGTGGAGACTCATTAGGCCCCCTGGTGGCCAGAGCTCTGTCCCCCTTCCTGTGTTCGATCTTGTGAAGGGGCAAGTGGGGGGAAAGGGGATGTGGGGCCACATGTTGAGACCTGACCCCAGAGTTGCATTTGCCCTCCTGCCCCTGATATCCCTGTGGGGCCTTCTTTCTCAAGTGGGGAACCCGCTCTGTGGGTGGCAGCTCAGACCATTGAAAGATTGCAGCATTGAACCATTTAAACACTGATTCTCAAAAGGGGATCCAGGAAGGATCTCGGAAATCACAGGCCAATTAACTTTACATCTCCCTGGAAAACTGGTGAAAAGTGCAGGAAACTGGAATGCATTTACCTTGAAGGACTTCAGCTGTATGCTGGAACCACACCAATTATATATGCAGAAGGCAGAGAGCTCTTTTTGTGCAAGGTTTTCCCAGTACTGAAAGAGTTTTGAAGCTCTCTGCCTTGCATAACAGACTCTGGCAGGTTCTCACAGGATCTTGTGGGGCTCTCCTGAGTTCCCAGGAGATCTTTCCAAAGCCTCCCAGAGCCCAGGAAGCAAGACACAGTTCAGACCTAGTCAGTGCCTGGCTCCAGAAGGTCAGATTGTGGGGCGGCTCCAAGGGAGTGGCTTCACTAGGCCCGTTTCTGCAGATATGAGCCATCCCAGTCAGGACAGACAACTCTGAGCTACCTGGACCAGTGTTCTGACCCAGGAGGAGGCAGCTTGCTGTTCTCCCAATATACGGATTTTGCTTCGTCTGGTCTCCCCTCCATCCACTTCCCAGACCTGAGCCTGCTTAGCTTCTGTTCAGTGCCTGCATCCTGAGCCTTCAGACCATGTTGTGGGAGCTCTCATCAGCCTGGCGCTTGCAAGTGGGGGGCAATTCCTGCCCCCTTGGCAAAAAGGGAGGGGCTGGCCTCTCTCTCCCTCACACGGAGTCTCAGCAGAGACATGCAGAGATTTAGTGCTGCCTGGCAGAGCTTTTTCTCGCCCTCTGCTCCATGGGCTATTGTTGTTGTTACTTGTATTTATATCCTCTCCCCTTTCCAACTCTCTGATTCTTAGGCTCCCTCTGCTCTGCCTCCTCTGTGTTTAAAGGCAGGCCTACAAACTCCCCCAAACCCTGCTGAACTTTGGATCTCCTAATTTAGGGCTGCTGCCTGCAATACAGCAGGATTAGGCCACTGCCTTCATCTGCAGGACCCCTAACTCTCTGCCCCCTTTTCTCTTCCTTTCCAGGCTCCACTTCTCACTCCATGCGCTACTTTGCCACAGCCGTGTCTGAGCCTGGCCAGGAGCTGCCCCAGTTCATTACTGTGGGGTACGTGGATGACCAGCAATTTGTTCAGTACGACAGTGACACCAAGGAGTATCTGCCTCGCGTCCCCTGGATGAGGAAGGTGGAAAAGGAGGATCCTCAGTACTGGCACAGGAACACTCAGATCGCTCAGGGCAATGAGCTGCGGTTCAGGGTGGATCTGCAGACTCTGCGGAATCGCTACAACCAGAGCGGAGGTGAGTGGAAGGCAGGAGAGACACAGAGTCACACCTCTCCCCCCCATAACGTTTCCTCCAAGGGCCAGAATTGCAGGGAGGGGGCTGCTGGGAGGAAAGGAAATGGAGGGTGGGGGTCTCCACCAGGGCAGAGGCATCTCCCCTTCCCTTAATGAAGGTCTTAATGGGGGCTGGGATGGTGTGGGGTGGGGAGGACAGAGAACAAGACTTGGAGGGGAGAGGACCCCCCCCCCCCCCAGTATGACCCTCTCTGGACCTGCACATCCTACCAAGGAAATGTCTCCATTGCCTGCCCTTCCTTCCATGCTAGGCTCAACTTAGGCTTTTTGAGGTGGAAATCTGTCTAGTTCGTTTTCCTCTGGGGGGGAGGGGAAGAGAAGGGTGGGGATCCTGAGGCTGAGACAAGCAAGCCTTGAGTTCTGGTCCTGCTTAAGGAGAAGCCAGCTGCCCAGACAGAGGTGCTGATTGGCTGACCCTTCTGACCATCACAAGCCCCTCCCACTCCCCGGCACAGTGTTGAAAGAGAAGCCTTTTTAAGGAACTTGAACGGACTGGCTTCTGTGGGTGAAAGTGGCAACTACATGGTTAAAACCATAAGCACACTTCATTGCAATAAAATTTCTAAACAGATTTGTAAGAAATACTAAAATTATTGGTAAATATAGTTTAAAACAACAGACAAAAACAATTAAAACATTTTTGGAAATGAAGATTAAGAGGAAAAAAGATTTAAACATTGACATCTATGTGTTTGGTTAGGCTTGCCTAAACATAAATCTTTTTAGCAGGCACCAAAAGTTAGATTCCATGGGCCTCTTATCTCGCAGCCAAGCTGTTCTTATGATCTGTAATGGCTTAACTAACCCTAAGGCCAGTTCAAACAGTTCAGTCCTAAGGTGTCTGGAAGAGCTTACTTCCTAAGAATGACATTTACGATTGATGCTTTAAGATACTCCCAGTTTTTTCTCTGCACAATTTTCAGCATAAATAAAATAGAATTCTATAATAGTTCAAAAAATCATAGGATCGTAGGGTCGGAAGGGAACCCAGGGCTCATCTAGTCCAACCCCCTGTAGTGCAGGAATCTCAGCTAAAGCATCCATGACAGTTGACCACCCAGCCTCTGCTTAAAAACCTCCAAGGAAGGAGATTCCATCACTTCCCAAGGGAGCCCTTTCCGCCGTTGAGCAGCTCTTACCATTAATATGAATGGAGGGCAGGGACAGAGGGAACGGACCCAAAGATTTCTGTTTCCTGGAACAGACACGTCTAGTCTCCATGCAGCTGAAGCCACTATTCCATGTTGCAGGGACCCAAGTGGCAAGCGATAATGTCCACACAGAACGGGGGTGGGGAACCTGTGGCTGTGGGCCAGTCTTGGCCTGCCAGGGGGTAGGATTTGCCCCATGAGCAGAAGTAAAATCCTGCTCAGTTTGGCAGGACTTCATGTTCCGGATTCAGGAGGGGATTTGCGTCAGAATGTGGCTGAAATGAAGGGCTTCCCCTGGAGATGAGGAAGAAGCAGTTTGCCAGCTTCCCCAAGGGCTGAGTGCAAGGCAGGCAGCGCCCCTTGTGTTGCAGTTCCCAAGAGGCTGCGCACCTGCTGGGTGCTTGGAAACCCCTTCAAGGGCTTTTGGAAGGTGGGTGAGATGGACGGGTGGGCTATGCCATGATGCCAGCTTCAGCCTCCTGCCCCTTTTGGCCCAGGGGGACAATCCTGATCAGGATCTGGGCCCTGAAGCCAAAGAGATTCCCCACCTGTGACACAGAATAATGGAGGTGGAAGGAGCCTTGCCAAAGGGGTCAGCCTGAGTGTATCCAAAGCCCTCTGGGGCCTTCGTTTGCCTTGTCAGGCTTGCAAGGAAGAAACCCAGGGGGTCAGCTGAGACCAAGCCAGCGCTGCAATGGGCAGGTCTGCTTTTCTTGCCGTGGGATCAGGCCTGGCCTTGCCTTGCAGGCTTCCTCTTGGGCTCCTGGGAATTCTGCTTCTCCCCCTTTTAAAAATGGGGATTGGGTCCCTCCTGAGCCCCTGCACCTATCCATGGAAAATGCCCCATAAATGTCACCAAGGAGCGCCTCTCGTTTCCTGATCATTTCTTGCAATTGCTTAGCTCAGAGAATCCCAAACTAATGAGGTGGCCACTTTAAAAGTGCCACGGACAGCCCTGGAAATGTTATCTGATTCTATTTAAAAACAATGTTGAAGGTACAGGTGTATCGGGATTGATCCCACTTAACAGCTTGAGGAAACGGGAGGGGAATGAGCTTCATTCATAAAATGAGGGAGAAAGCAACTTATGCTGAAGAAGCAATGAGACAAAGCAACTCCCCTCCAAGCAAAAGCTCCATATCCAGACCAGCTGGTGGGGTTTGTGGTTTGGTTTGTTGTTTGCATAGGTCAACCACAAACCATTGTTTGAGTGCATAAAAAGAACTATATCACCTTGGGACATGGTCTTGTAGAAGGTTCTTCTTCTTCTTCTTCTTCTTCTTCTTCTTCTTCTTCTTCTTCTTCTTCTTCTTCTTCAATATGTTGAGTAGTTCTAGAGGGAGGACTCCAAAGTAGTAGCTCTGTTACAATCATTCTACTTCCCAGTGGGAGCAATTTCCCTTCTCCTCCCCCCGCACACATTTCTGGGGTTTCTCCCAGCCCCCAACCCTACCCCACCCCCCCAGCTGATTTGTGGGGAAGGAGATGGGGAGAAAGCCCCAGTTGTGCAAGTAAGACTTGGTTTTTAGACTAGCTGTGTTAGCTGAATCCAGCCCAGGAAAGCAGGATTTCTGTTGAGAGAGGCTTCTGTAATGCAAGACATTCTATACCCAAACTCAATTCAGCTGTAAGCCAGAGGCTCCTGAGATGAAAGGGGAAGCCTGAATCAGAAGTGAGAGCAACCTGGTGTCCTCTGGGACAGCCTCTCCTCCATTGCTGAGCTCCCTCAGGCTACCAAAGAGCAACAGAACTCTGTGCATGGCCAGGAGCAGCCATTGCCATTTCCCATCCTGTCTTGGGGTGCCTGACGTAGCTTCTCTCCATGGTTTTGTTGTGGGAAATCCAAATGGCTGTCTGCTGTCCCTGCTGGCTGGCCTAGAGGAGACAGGGCTGGGGTCCTCAGCACCCGTGGGCCCTGCCAGGGGTCTGGGGTCTCAGCGGGTGCCGGGTGATGCCACCTGCCAAGTGAAAACACCACATCAATGCTTCAGATACTGGAATTGAAGAGCAGATTTAAAAGTCACGAGCATTAGCATATATAAGAACATCTCACAGTTATGTGGTCTGAATGAGAGCAGAATAATCTATATTTCCATTTCAACCAGTTGTGACTGAAGTAACAGAGGTCAAAATTTATCCACGGCACCTCTTTCCACAGCAATAAATGGGATGTATTGAATCTTTGAGCTGCCTTCCAATAAAGTCAGTTGATTCCACTCCCATTTGACTCCCGGAACCGTTCGAAAACCGAGACGCAGCTTCCTGCACTCAATCGGAAGTTTGGCTTCCAAAGAACGTTTGCAAACCAGAACACTTACTTCTGGGTTTGCGGTGTTCGGAAGCCAAGCCGTTTGACATCCAAGGAACCACTGTGTTCGTTGAAGAAGGATTTATTAGGTGGACATGGACTGGCTAATGAAAACCAGCTCTTCTTTTATTATCAATTGACTGAAGGTTTTATTAAAGTATTTATAATATATACTTTCCATAAAAGTGTATCAAGATAGTATACAACCTAGAAAGTTATAATAAAATCAGGAAAAATCCATTGTTACGGTAAAATCTGGGTGCGAGGCTGCTCTGCCACCCAGCTCGTCGGACTAAGTCCGCGGGTCCCTGCGGAGGAAAATGAGCTCAGCCGGAGACGGGAGCAAGTTGCAGAAGATCCGAGTTTATTGCGCAACAGGTTCAAGGCGAGATGGAACAGCGAGAAAGGGGTGACATGAACTTTTGAAACTTCCCTCCATGTCCCAGAATACAGTGCAAAATACATCCCAGTTACATCATGAATACATTAAGAAGAGGTTGGGTTACACTGATTACATCATGAATACATTAAGAAGAGGTTGGGTTACACAGGATTAACATATGGAGGAGGGAGGGGGGAATATGCAGAGCTGGAGATTTGCGCTGATAAGCACATCCTGAGAAGACAATGGTCCATGTATGCATAGTCTGCCACCTGGCATCGCCAGGAGGAAGGGCTTGGCAGAGCGATTTGACAGGATTAGGGTCTTGACACCTTGCTTGAGGGATTATGGAGGACAGGGGAGGTGTCATGGAGTCCTAGAGAAATTGAGCAAATTGGCACATTGATTTTCTATGAATTTTATAGATTTTAGTCCCTTTTGACATTGACAATTGGAAATAAATGGATATATTGTAGCGAAGAAGAAGGTGAAGAAGACATGCCCCCCCCTTCCGTATCAGCATAAAATGTACATAAAACATCAGCAAACACTATTTATTTATTTATTTATTTATTTATTTAAATGTTATTGTTGTTTTGAAGATTTGGTGGTAGCCCCCTGGGGTGGGCAGGAGGATGCAGGGACCCGCCATCTTTGACAAGGGCAACCTGGCTTCTGCTGAGAAGGGGGCCCATTTTGAAGTGGGGCAAACCCCCCTTGTGGCTATGAGGAAACTTCTTTTTCCGAAGGCCCTTCCATGACTTTCCTCCTTTTAGGGAAAAGGTCCTTGATATTGAGAAGCTGGGGGAGAGAGATGGAGGGGAAGAGGAGCCCTACTCTCTTGAAAGGGCCCCCAATGTGTGGGTGTCCCCCTTCCATGTTGCCCCTTTCTTCTTTTTCGGGGGGGGGGGGATCTGAGGCGTCTCTCCCAAAGGGGCAAGATCCAGAGGAGCAGAGCTGGGGGCAAAGAGGGACAGACTGTGACCTCCGACCTGCAAGGGATGCTCCCCACCCCTCCCCCGCCTCCAGGGAGTTGGGAGAATCCACAGGGAATTAGGGGGGGGAGAGAGAGAGGCGATGGGGGGGCAATTACAGGGGGACTTGTAGCGTTTGCCTCAGTGAACGTGTTATGCGGATGAGCCTTCAGAAAGATAGAGTGCTGGTTGATTTTTCTCCCCTCTGACTGCTGCCTCTTCCCTGAGTCTGAGGCAAATGAATCCTTTTTCCTGGACTCTTTTGCTGATGGGGGAGGGGCTGCTCTGACCCCCCCTTGACCTTCTGGGCCTCTTTTGACCCTTCCAGGGATCCACATCATTCAGAAGATGTACGGCTGTGAGCTGAGGTCAGACGGGCGCAAAGGAGGAGGGTATTTCCAGTACAGCTATGACGGGAGAGACTTCATCGCCTTTGACAAGGAGACCCAGACCTGGACGGCAGCCCAGACGGAGGCTGAAGCGAGCAAGAGGAAGTTGGATCCTGACTTGGCCCAGAACCAGTACCAGAAAGCCTACCTGGAGGAGGAGTGCATTGAGTGGCTGCAGAAATACCTGGACTACGGGAAGGAGACTCTGCTGAGGACAGGTAAGGGGGGGAGGGGAGGGGGGCTCAGTGGGGCAGTTTCCCTACAAGCTCCCCTCCCCCCCTTAACAATCTTCCTTTCTGGACCAAACAGCAAACACTTTTCTTGGTGGGGGCGGCAGAAATAAGTTTGGGCCTCTGGGAGGAGAAAAGGGGTCACTTCAGAGTATGATGGGGGAGAGGAGATGCTTAAAAACAGCCCCACATGCCTAGAATAAGGGATGGCAAAAGACAAATGGGGGAGGGGGCAGAAAGAAACAGCAGGGAAGGGGCCAGGAAAGCAAAATGCGTTTTAAATTAAGTAAAAAAAGAAAATTGAAATGGACAGATTTGAGGCGGGATACAGAAAAACCTTTTGCCTTTACACTTGGGTAGGGGAAAGTGGGGCAGATTGATGCAGAAAAATTATGTCTCATCTTTTATGTACCAAAATGAGTCAAATAATTGCTTTATGCATGGCATAACTAATCAATATTATAACAGCCATCAAAAGAGCCATTAAAGTTAGAAGATAATGAGAATATAATGACTTGAATAAAAAATGGGTTTTGTATCATTCTGCCGCAACTACGGGGCACTTTGATACAGTGGATGGGGCACTTTGATACAAAGAGTAAATTGTATGAGAATGGTAATTATTTACAAAAATGTAATGAACAAAACAATTTTTATTATGAGAGCTTATAATCAGCCCTACAATTTGTTACTTAAAAACCTAAATTACGTATCAAAACTAACACAGTTTCACACATGTCATAGACTTTATGGCAGGTTTTCTTAACGAAACATCAAAACTTGTATTAATCTTTCCTCAAACACCTATCCATTTAAAGAAAATCTTTGGAAAAGGTTTTAAAAGTATAGGAACTCACATTAGGTAGTCAAAAAATATGCTTAGAAAAAATAATATATTTCCTTAACATTTAGCTTCTTTTGCACATTATATCCACTGAAGTCAAAAGAAAAAGTATAAAGAGATGATGTTCGAGATGTGCCCTTTGAGAAATTTGGTTTGCCAACTGCAAAACAACATCCTTGAAATCAATGCTTGCCTTATCTTCTAAAATGGGGAAGACAAACATACAAGATCCTGGATATTTCCTCAGATATGACATTTGATAATCAATCATATTATATTTAGAAATGACTTTGGCTACGTAGTAAACAACAGTTTGTTTGTTTTTCACATTTCACGAGTAGGAAATCAGTTTAGAGATTTCATGCAAACTTGTATATTGGGGCACTGTTGTACACTAGCGGGGCCCCATGTCTATACGTATCAAGCGCCCCACCGTGACTTAGTGTATCAGAAATGCTCCAACGAATTATTCAGAAAACCACTGAACTTATTTTAAAATCAGGTGTAATCCTGATTACTGAATGAGATAATTTACCTTTGGTATTTTAAAATCTTAACTAAACGACGAAAAACAACATTGGAACACTTTTACACTTAATAATAATAATAATAATAATTTTTATTTATATCCTGCCCTCCCCAGCCGAAGCCGGGCTCAGGGCGGCTAACAACAATAAAATAGTACTTCACATAATTTTTTAGTTGGCCGCGCTAAAAACACACCTCTCGTCAAATGCCAGTGGAGAACTGGCGGGCAGCGCGGTCGCAACTGTCATACTCACAGTTGTATAGACATGTTTTAGTGATGTCACGACACGAATAACGTTTCTCAATATTGAAATATTGTTGGTGTATCAATGTGCCCTTTGCATCAATGTGCCCTGCCTCCTCCTACATACCTATGGGGAAAGTCTTTAAAACTAAATTAATTAACTTTTTTTAAAATAGAAAATGTGTGGGGAGCCCATGAAGTATGGATGCAGCCCCCTCATTAAGTCTGTAGGTTAGCCACTTGTGGCCTAGAAGCAGAAAACCTGCACATAGTGAGAGAGTATGGGAAGTCCCTCTTCTACCTTCTTACATCTTTTATTTGTGATGAATTTTACTTTTTCCCATGGGGAACATTCAGAAGTGTCATCTTCCCCAACCCCATGCCTTGAAATGGTACAGTCCACTCTTCTGCCTTCAGGAATCTGGCACAGGGGCCAGTCACATGATCAAGTGTTTGGACTGGCTTTCTTCCTGTCTCTATTAGCTTTGCTGATACTAACATTAATTGAAAATGAAATAATTCTAGCACCCTCCGTTTTTGAGGACTGACACATACGTATTAGCCGTGCTTAGAGAGATCTGAGCAAATTCATCTATGGGGCCTGGTGATAATTCACCCCAGAGACACTGAGCATATTTGTTGAGGTTGAGGATTTCGCTCCAAAATCCACAAGGGTGACAACGTGCAAAGGAGGCTGGGAATCATCCTCTTTGGGACGGAGGTTCTGCTGAGGTCAGGTGGGGTGGGGTGGGGAGGTCTTGTTTTGGGTTTTTGTGGGGAAAGGGCTTGACCTTCCTTCCTTCCTTCCTTCTCCCCCCAGCAGAGTCACATCCCCTCCCAGACCTGAGTTTCCAGTACAGGCATTGCAAAGTGGGTGGGATCCTGGAACAGCCCCTTCAGACAACAGCTACCCAGGGAGCCAGTTTTTGAACAAGGGTTACATTCTGCAAATCTTGCCTAAAGCCACAATCGTGTATAGTCAAAACACATTGGATTCATGGGCGACTGGGTTTGCCAAAGTCCTTCTTTCCCAGATGCCCGCCTCCTCTTTTTGTTTTTTAGAATATTTTTGGCAAGTGCGTAAAGCTGAATGTGCACAAGTTAAATGTGCGCAAGTTGCTGGCTTACTGGGCCTCCTGGTCTGCCCTTTCCACTCCAGGGGAGGCTGCCGTGGAGAAGGGAGATGGGCCCTTTCCAACCTCAAGGGACCCTTTCAGGGCAGGCGGGAGAACTAGAAAGGAGCTCTGTCTTTCCCAGGGCTGTTGGCTTTGTTCACTAACCATGGAGCTGAAAAGTCCCGGAGAACAGAGAGCAGTGAGTCCAGCATTTCTTTCCCCTCAAGAGAGAAATCAGGATCAGTTCATGACTTGCAACTTGGAAGGATCTGAAGGCATCCCACTATTGGGGACCTGGTGAAATTTGCCCCTCAGCCTAGAGGCAGCTCCCTGGGACAATCTTGGAACCACAAGTTGTCATGTTTGAGTAGCGTTAGAGCTTTATCAAGATTGTCAGCATTGCCCTTGAGCCAGTGCCACCAACTGGACTCATCCACTTCAGCCCCGACTGGGCTAGGCGAGCTGGGTAGCACTTCCAGAGACCACCTTCTGCACAGGAACAGGTCAAAGTGCTGTGGACTCACAGCTTAGAGTTGTGAGCACCGGATTCACTCCAACAAGAAGACAGTCGTCGCACAGCAGAGTCTAGCAGAGTATATAAACAACTCGGAGAGCAGCTCTGTAGAATATCTTCTTTATTCTATCTACAACTATTATACAACTATATACAGAGCTAAATAGGTCTAAGCATAAATAAATGCTGCACTGCACTGAGTGTCTGCAGCTGCTCTTAGCAGCAACCTTATCTATACACACGATCTCTAACACTCAGTCTCTCTCTCTCTCTCCGACACTGACTGACTGACTGATTTGGTGCTGGAGCAGAATAAGTAGAGAGCAGAACATGCCTCCTCCTCTCTGGAGAATCAGCAGACTCCTCAGGAGATTCTTGGATATGGGAGGGGTGAAATCTCCTCAAAGATGACAAATTAATTTAATTTTTACCCAGCCCTCCATCCCAAAGGAGTCTGCTTTGGCAAACAAAGGATAAAACATTTAAAACAGTTCCAGCATAGACACTGACTGGGGAAGATGCCAAGGCAGGTTGAGGAAATCCCATTTATTCAAAGTTCTTTTTAATTTCTGCAGATGTGAGATTCTGACTAGGTTGCCCCTTGTATCCCTGCTCCTCTGCTCTTTAAAAATACAGGATTCCTTCTGTTGTGGATGTCTCTCTGTTAACCCCAATGAACGATTGCCCTTTTTGCAGAGGCTCCGGTGGTGAAGGTGACCAGGAAGGCAGACTATGACGGCCTGGAGACCCTCGTTTGCCAAGTCCACGGCTTCTACCCCAAGGAGATTGAGGCCAACTGGGTGAAGGACGGGGAGGTCTGGCAGGAGGGCACCCTCCGAGGATTGGTCGCCCCCAACTCGGACGGGACCTACTATCTCTTGCTCAGTGTCCAGATCGACCCCGAGGAGAGGGAGCGCTTCCGGTGCCGCGTGGAGCATGACAGCCTGGAGAAGCCTCTGGACGTGGCCTGGGAGAAGGAGCCTGGTGAGAGACAGACAGACAGAAAGGCAGGAGGGGAAGGGGTGGGGAACCCCAGCTGGATCCTGTCTATGTCTCTAGAGCAGCAGTTCTCAACCTGTGCGTCCCCAGATGATGTTGGACTACAACTCCCATCATCCCTGAGCTCTGGCCTTGCTAGCTAGGAGTGATGGGAGTTGTAGTTCAACATCTGCGGATCCACAGGTTGAGAAAGGCTGCTCTGGAGGGAAGCAACTGAATCGGAATCTGTAGATTTCAGCAGAGATGCAGCCTTTTCTGGCAAGTGTCTCATAGGCCTTGAACTCAAATTGGATGTCGTAGGTAAAAACTAGCCGTCACCTTTTTGCCTTTAAGCCCAAGTAGTTGTGATGTCAAAGAATGTGGGGACATATTTTACTACTTCAGAATCAAAGACTCTTCACATGGCTGACTAGCTCACTGCTGCGGCTGAAAAAGGAGCAACGAACTTGAAAGAGGGAGTCCCAGACTGACTGTACTTCACAGTGAAAAAGATTCTCACTCGCTCCTCCTCACACTCGCGCCCAGCTAGAAAAACTGATACTCATCCCCACTCAGCCCAAACACCCGCACACCTCTGGGAAGAGCAGGAAGGGTTTTTTAATAATGCTCGTCTCTCACACACCGCCAGGAAAGCTGCACCTGCAGGAACCAAAGCAGAATGTCTAAGAGCAAGACTCCCTTTTCCCCAGCAGGAGCACATGAACGCACATCCCCACCCACACCCCAGACTCCCCTTCTCACAGGCAGGCAAGCGAGAATTATGGAAGCGGACCTTGAGCCAAAGACTCACACAGGCAGGGTAGAGGGGACCAGGGCTCACTCACCAGCGCTACGGACTTCAGAGATTCCACCCAAACAAAAAAACCTGGACATTTTGCCTCATTTTAAGAATCTGTCTGGACAGACATTTTAAGTCTGAAAAAGAGGGCGTGCCCAGGAAAAACCAGACGTATGGCAACCCTACACAAGATGCTTCTTCCTAAGGGTTTGTGCCTTCCCTGAAGGCCTGTAATGCTGGGCTCTGGGGGGTCTCAGAGGGGAGGGAATCTCTTCTTCTCAGGGTCAGGACAGAGAAGGCTGAAGCGCCTGAGCAGGAGGAGACCTGCTTTTAAGTTTTGAGTCTGTAATGAAACAGGTGTGCCTGTCAACTGTCTTCCTTAAATGAATTGGTTATTTTGAAGACCTCTAATGCTGGACTCTGGTGGAAAAAATCTCCCTTGTATCGGGGCCACTACAGAGAGGACCTTGGCCTGTCAGGAGAGAGAGAGGGCCTGCTTTTCACACGTAAAATCCTCCCGGGCTCATAGCCCAGCACCTCCACTCCAATCTCCTGCTTGAGGCCTTGGGGAGCTGCTGCTGCCAGTCTGAATAAAAATGTCTCTTGTCCCCTTTTAGTCAACCTGGGGCTCATTGTGGGAGCTATTCTGGGTGTCATGGCTGCTATCCTGCTGGTCTCTGGGATCATCTTCTTCTTCATCCGCAGTAAGTAAACCCTGGATGTGTTTGCTGCCTCTCCTGTGTCCTTCTGTCTCGGCCTCCAACTGGGAATGTGCTGGTGGAGCTTCCTGGCAATTGTCGCTGGCATCCCTACAGAGACCCCTCCCCATAAAACACCCTTTGAACATGAACCAAAAGTCCTGTTGGTCATTGCTTTGCGCTCACTCTGTGCTCAGGAAGTTCACTTTCCACCTGACGTTTTAAACAGTCCTAAGCCTTCAGTCCTGTGCACACTTACCAGGGAGCCTTCCTTGCATATCTTTAGGCGCCAGGCAAAAACATTTCTCTCCAACCAGGCCTTTGGCCTTTTAAATGTTGTTTGTGGGAGGGGAGTTACTGGTTTGTTTTTGCTTTATTCTGTATTTTGTGCTCTCATTTTGTATTTTTATGTTGTGAAGCACCCTGCTATCTTCAATAAATGAATAAATAAATATTGATCTGGGAGGATGCTGTATTGAACTGAATAGGACTTTCTTCTGAGTAGACTTGCCTAGAATTGCACTGTTAAAGTTCATTATGTCTTCCCTCCCCCCTCTCCGGGCAAATTTAAGGATTAGGGGTCTGCTGGGAGTGCAATAATAATCTGAAATGGAATGAGTGAAGGGATTGGATTCCCATGGTTCCCATGTTGATTTTTTAATTTAATTTCCTCAATTTTTTCTACTTCTTTGTAAAATGAGTTCCTTGAAATGCTCCCCTTCTGGGCTTCCCTTCCTTGGAGGTGTTTGGAAGAGACAAGAGGAGCATGTGCTGGGAAGGTTTCAGCATCTTGAGAGCCAGATTGTCGAAATGTAATTGTGTGGCCTCTGGAGGTCCCTTCCAGCTCTGACCTTCTGCTTTTGTCTTCACAGGGCAACGGAGCAAGAAAGCAGCCTACGAAAAAACCGCAAGTGAGTGACTCCTCCCTTCTCTCTGTCTATTTTCCCCCAATATGGGGCAGGAACAGGTTACAAACAGACAAAACTAAACCTGGTGGTGGCCTGGTCCTTAAGCCCAAGACCCTGATGGAAAGCTTAAGCCTGTCTGCTCAGCCTGTCTGTGGACAGCAAGGGGTCCCTCAGGGCCAGGAAAAGGCTGCAGAGAGACTGTCGGCTGAGGGAGGGGCTCCAGGAACGAGCAGGAGGAAGAGCCGAGGGTGCGGGGAAAGAGGGATCTCTGGTGGTTTAATCTACCTGAAGCTAAAGATTTGGTTGGTTAGCTGTAGTCTGTGGGTGTTAGGAACCCACCATTGCTCTCCCCCACTCCTTCTGCCTTTCTGCCCAGATCGCATCCACCCCCGCTCTAGTCCCCCGCTGCCTCCATGCCAGGCTGTGCCCATCTCTCTTTGCCGCCCAGCACCTGCTTCTCCCCCCACTGCTGTCCTTGAGCCCCCTTGCCTCTGGGCTGCCTGTCCCTGAACTCTTCTTAGACCCCTCCCCATATTGAGACTGATTTGGGATGGGGTTGGAAGGAGGGAGGAGAAGGGCTGGGGGGATGGGATCTCCCTCCCCGGGATCCTGACTCTTATGTTTCCTCCCTTTTGCAGCAAATGACCAGGGGTCCGACAGCTCCGCCAGGGGTAAGTGGGGGTGCAGGTGGGGGCAAAGGGGGTCTTTTGCAGAAGACTCCGTGGGGAACATCCCCAAATGGGGGAAAGGTTCTGTTACCCACCTTGGGGTTTCCAAGAGTGACATAATCTGCAGTGTCCATTGAGCTGAAAATCGCTCTTGTGACTCATTCTGTGTGTTCATCTGAGCTTCATGGAGAATTCTCTCCATTTGAGAAACGGTTTCTACCCACTATCCGAATGACAGATAGTCACATTTTGGGTTCTGGAAGAGATTTTTCCTTCTGGTAGGACTGCTTTGTGTCCTTCCGGTATTCCCCCAAAGTGTGCAGCTTGACTCACTTGCTTGAGCTGCCCTCTGCAGGCATTTGCTCTACAGGCCCATTTTGGTGACACTACTAGCATATCTTAGGTCTGATCTGACATGATGAGGGATGGTGGCTTTCCTTGGGAGGCTGGACTAGATGTCCTTTGGGTTCCCACTAGCTCTGTAATGCTGATGCCCCCACACCATGATGTTGGCTTAACTTTGAAACACTTCTGTTCTTTATTTCTGCAGTTTCATACCAGCCTGGTGTGTGAGGTGAGACCAGAAGGAGCCTGCCCAAGTTTTGCTGTGAATTGCAGAGGCTCAGATCCCCTCCCGTCCTTAAATGCTGTTTATGATGTTCCTTAATCTTGGCTCTCACCCATCTATTCTGACTACAGCTGTAACTTGAATTTGAGAATAATCATGTTTTTCTGATGGATTTTGGCTGATTGTGCTTCGCAGCTGATTTTCAGAAATGTGCTTGTGTTAATCAAAAATGTGCCAGATATACGCAACTAAAAGCTTTAAAAAGGGATGAGGAGATTGAGCATGACTTGCAGTGATTTTGATGGTTTCTCTTGGTTCTTTGTTGCTGTGTTTCCCTCTACAGTCCCTTCCCCAGCAGAGAATGAGGAGCTCCAGGGGGCATTCAGACCCTCCCCATGGCAATGGCAGCTGCTGAGGCAGTTTCCTCCAGACCCTCTCTCTGTCCTGATACCTTCAAGGCTCCAGTTCTGCAGCCTGGTTCATGGAGCTCCACGTTCAGGACAACCAGCTGCTGTTCTCTGGGGCTCCACCCTAGGCTTCCCATGATGCCCTGGGGCAGTGAGTTGAGAAATAGGCTGGAGGGGGAGGAAGAAGCAGTTGAAGGGGGAAGCGGAGAAGCAGGGAACTGAGAGGAGGTAGAGAGGCTGAGGGGATGGGGTGTAGTGACTCTCCTACAGGAGATGAGAGGGGCTGATCCTGCTGACAGCCAAGGAGGAAGCCAGCAAGGAGAAGAGGCAGGTGAGGAACTGCATGGCCACAATTTCATCTGAAATAAGGAGCCCCATATTTTTGGCTGCAGTTCATGAGACTTCTAGCCTGGTCCCCACAGTCTTCTAGGAGGGGTGACCCATTGAGAGTCAGACCACATGGACTCTTGAAAGTTAACTGGTTTTGTTGCCTTCAATTCGCCTAATTTTTATCTCGCCCATTCTTGCTTTTCCACCTGTGGCCCTTGAGGAACATACTCTGCCCATTCTGCAATTCCCACCGTCTTCCTTCCCTTCTCATAGGCTGGCATTCCTTAAGGAGACACTTTTCAAGAAATAAGAATGCATAACTCTTTTAGGCCTCAATGGATTTGCTGCACCTTGCTTTGAAGACACTGGATGTAATTGTTATTATTCCTTTTGCAATATTTGTTGGACTGAAATAAACCAGGGTGCCCCCCCTTCTTCTTTAGTGGTTCTTTCCTTCTTATGACAGGAGTTCCAGAGATTTTGATGTTCCTGTGAATATTCGGAGTTTGTAGCCTCTGGCAGGGAGGTGCCAATAATCGTTCTTCCATTGCAAAGTGGCTGAAGAACAAGTGTCCAAAGCGAGATGAGGACATAATCTCTGGTTTTGCAGGGGTGGGCTTAAGCCACATGAGGCCGCCATGTTTCTGAAGCCAAGAGGGTGTGAAGTCTGCTCAGGGCCTGGATGGGGAACCACCTGGATGCTGCCTTTGGTTCCAGGACAGAAGAAAGGAGGGTTGGGAATATAATAAAAGAAATGTGTAGATATCTGATCTGGGGCAGGGGGTGGCGGGAGATGACCAAGGCAGGATTGCCCCAAAAGTCCACAGTCGGAGGAGGAATTTCTCCCACTGAGATGAAAAGAAGATCCCCAAAATACTATTTTAAATTTTTATCCCACTCTTCCTCCCAAAGGAGCTCAGGGCAGCAAACATCAAAAGGTTAAAACAATACCATTTAAAAGATTTAAAATGAAAATAAGCTAATTTAAAACCACCTAAAATCACTGTAAAACAGTTGGAATACGCTAGTGGCATGTGGTTCATGGACTAGTGCGACTAGCCTGAGACCTACATAGGGCTGTATATAAAATTTTATTATTATTATTATTAGCCTAGTTCCCTTACTGTCCTCAGCAGGACCTTTCCGTTTACCTGCTTGGCTAGTGTCTCCAAGCTCTGTGTACGTGTGTGCATATGTCTGTCTGTCTGTCTCCCCCTCTTTTTCTCTGTCTGATTACATCTGTGAACGTTGCAAAACTGCACAATTCTGCAGAGCAATGCACACAACCTGAGCAGGAAATGGCTGTTTGAAGCAGAACTGCAGCCCCTTCATTTTTTTAATGAAGAGCAGTCGGAAAGCCTGACGTGCCTATGGGATGGGGGTGGAAGATCCCTACAACCTTCATATCTCACTTCCTCCTTTCCTTCAGCCTCGTATGTTTGTGTCTTGTGTGTTTTCAAAGTGTGGTGTTTTAATAAAATAAGCCCGCAGCCCCAATCTGTCAGAACCTGAAGGATCAGCAGCAACATGCAACAACCAGCAACAACATGGTCATAGAAAGGGAGATGATGAAGAAAGGAGGGGTGTTTAAAATGGTTTTTTTTCAAGGGGGGGGGAATCCACCTGTCCACCTGGGGCTGTCTTTTTCAAAAAAAACAAAGCAAAGCCAAACTTTTCTTTTTGCAAACTGCTAGGAACTGGCAAATTGGCTGGCCAGGGAATGGACTTTCTTGGGAGGTTGTGGATCCTCCTTCATTAAAGGTTTTTAGGCATCTGCCAGGGATGCTTGAGGGATGCGGGTGGCGCTGTGGGTTAAACCACAGAGCCTAGGACGTGCCGATCAGAAGGTCAGCAGTTTGAATCCCCGTGACGGGGTGAGCTCCCATGGTCCCTGCTCCTGCCAACCTAGCGGTTCAAAAGCACGTCAAAGTGCAAGTAGATAAATAGGTACCACTCTGGTGGGAATGTAAACGGCATTTCCGTGTGCTGCTCTGGTGCACCAGAAGCGGCTTAGTCATGCTGGCCACGACCCAGAAGCTGTGCGCCGGCTCCCTCGGCCAGTAAAGCAAGATGAGCATCGCAACCCCAGAGTCGGCCACTACTGGACCTGATGGTCAGGGGTCCCTTTACCTTTAGGGATGCTTGAGTGGAGATTTCTGCCTTGCAGGCGGTTGTATTAGATTACCCTAACACTATATACAGCCCTATCTGTTCGCCTATGAAAAATTTCACAACATGCCACTGGAATACCCACACACACAGCTAAAAATGTATTCGCTCCAAAGAAAGAAAACTTCACACCAGTGTTCCTACAGGTACGACCAAATCTTGAACCTTGGAAAGGTTTATCATGATCAGGACACGTGGCTGCGGTAAAGATGGCTATCCTGCTGAAATGTTTGTTTCCTCTTTCAAGTGCTGCCAATCATCATTACACCCAGACAATTTAAAATTTGTTAGTGCTGAATAAACAAGTCTATTCATGAAGGGAAAAAAGCACAACTGGGCTCCAGAATTATATGGAAGTGTCCAAAACGGCAGGCTTGTAATCCCACATTGCCAAGCTCATTACAACGCCTTCCAGCTAAAGCATTTGGTTTTTTTTTAATATGATATTTATTGAAAAATTTTTAGAATTACAAAAGAAAACAAAGCAGAAAAAGAAAAAGAAAAAACAAGAAAAAAACAAACCACATCAAACAATACAAGTTCAAAAAACAAAAATACACCACAAACACTCAAAAACAAATCCATCATTCTCAAATCCTCAACTGTCATTACCTTCTTTCTTTGACCTCCTCCTCCTCCCTTTTTTTTGTATCCTGATTGTTAATTGTCGCAGCAAATCCTTTCCATATTTCATAATATTCTGTCATTACATTACCTTAATCTATTTTAATCTTATCTTACTATAAAAAACCTTAAAGCTTAAAACTTAAGTCTTATTTTTACCAACTTCTCATAACCATAATATTCTTACATAATTCTTTAAACATTTTTGCTAAAGCCAAGTAATTTCGTTCCAACATTTTTCTAACATTCATCAATTTTATAAGACAATCCTAGTAATAAAAAGAAAATAAAAATCCAATCTTCATCCAACGTCCCTTCCTCCTGGTCCCGGGTTTTGTCAGCCCTTTTTATCCCATCAATCTAGCGCATTAACCTGGCAATCTTGTATCCGAGGCCCTTAAGTCTCTTCCATGTCCCTTCCGCGGCTCTTCTTCATATTTATAGCTGTATTTTCCTTTGTCTCCTGCTCCTTTCACTCGTGGGAACTCCAGCTTAACAATGTTTTTGACCCTTCTCGACAAATCAGCCCCTTTTCCATAGTCCACACTAAACTCCATATGGTATTTAAGAACATGTTTCAAAGTCCCTCCAAAATTAAGAGCCCCCACAACCCCAAACATCTCACGGCCCATTGCCAGACTTGAAAAGTCCAAACATCCCTGCATAGGGGGGTCTATCCAACCCCCCCATTTCCAAACCAGACCAAACTTTATCTTTCCAAATCTGGCTTTTTCCAAGTTCATTTGTCAAATCCAAAAGCTCATGATCCTGCTGGGCCACAGCTCCCTCCATCTCTGGCGCCCCAGATTCAGCAACATCCTCTTCCCTCATCTGTTCTGTCAGGGCATACTCCTGATTTAATTCCTGGGTGGGCTCCATATAATTTCCCACTGCCTGTTCAAAATTTCTGATCGCATCAGTCATCAAGTCCGTCTTCTCATGTAGCTGTTCCAGTAGGGCATTTGTTTTACAGAGAGCACACATCAGAGCTTCTGAATACATTGTTCTGCAAGGTCAGAGTCTATTCCCACGATTGTAATCAGTAACAGCTGCAAGCTGGTTACAGTTTCACAGTCTCCCTCTAGGGGGAAAACTTCTATTTGTTCTTTCTTTTAAAGACAAGTCTGACAACAAAGTTTCCTTTTTCAGATATTTTGTCAATATTTGTTCCTTTAAAATGCGAAGGGGAACAATGGAATCACTATGTTTCTCTTCTTTTAGCTATCTGTCAAAGACGTTTGTCTCTGGTCAATGAGCTTCAAAAAACGTCAGTCCTGACACCCCGCTCCAGGATCAAGACGGTGGAAAGTTACTTTATTTTGCACTCACTTCTGCAGGTTTAAACAGTCCGGAAAAAATCCCCCCTCTTCTCCTGCTTCCGAAGGGGGTTCAACAATTTTAAATGATGAAAGTTAACCTTTTACAAGCGATTTTCTGAGCTCTAGTTTGCCATGTCTTTGCTTTAATCTATCTAC